GCACTGGAGCATGCGCCCCGCGTTCTTGAACGGACTCTTGCCGTTGGCGTGCACGACGCTGAGTTGACTAAAGTTTTTGGGGGCGAGGGTGCCATTGAGCTGGCCGTGCTGGCTCGCGTTGCGCACCAAGACGGTCGCGTCGCTTGTCGTGTGCTGAGTGTAGAGCACCTTGGCACCGCGTGGGTTGTTAAAGTCTTGGTTGTACCTAGAGCGCCTTGGATGAGACGACTCTTTTCGGGATGCATCAACGCAATGGACCACGCCCAGATGCGGTTGTACTCATCGCGCGACTTGGCCAAGACAATGTCCACGCGGTGGTAGTGCGATCGGTTTTAGCTCGCCCATCTCGACGTTGGGCATGAGCACGATCTTTTTCGTGGACGGAAAGCGTGGCATTTCGTGGACCTCTTCCCAGTAGTGGTTCATAAAGAGGATGGCCGAGCGCGGACACAGCTCAAAGTACGTGGTGGCACTGCCGTCCTCATCCGTGAACGTCGTCTCGAGAACCCATTTGGGAATTGCGCGCGACTGCAGATGCAGCGTGTACGCCATCGCGTCTTCGCAGTACCCGTGGTCTCGGACGCCCGTGTTGAGGTAAATGTCGACGGCAGGGCACTTGCGCAATTCGGCCAGAATCGCTGCGTGCGGACTGTCGCGGTGCAGCATGTCGCTCGAGTTGCGGGCGGTCCACGGGATGAGCACGTTGTCTTCCTTGCGGCAAAAGACGTTCAACGCGATCAAGTGCAAGAGCTCGTCGTCGTGCGCCGCGTGGAGCGCGTCAATGGCTGCGATGTCAACCCAGTTGGGCTCGTAGTTGGCTTGTACCGGTACGCGCACACTGGGTGAGGAGGACCTGCCAAAGCTGCCCGCCACCAGCGCGAGGTGTACGAGCGTGAAGACAGCAAGCGCCACGAAGGCGGCCTTGACCCATGCGTCGGTCGATGGCATTGCGATCTTTTTTCGAGCTACGGTTGACAGAGCTGCGCGATCAAAACCAGATGGTGCAATCTCCTCTGCGTGCACAGCCATGCCGTTCATTTCGCCACCACGGCAATCTACTGTACTCGAGGTGGAAGCGGGAGAGGAGACGACTCTATCGTGCACCAATTTTAATCCATTCGAGGTGACGACGAGGCGTACAGCTAAGGCGCGGACCCCGCGAGGTTAGAAAAGTCGGACAGAAATCTTTCGAACTTTCCATCGTCTGCTGGACAGACGTCGGCCATGTTTCGAAAAGAAAATCAGGCGCCCGACACGATCGTGTTGGGCGCTGGTCCCCATACGACATGCAGTCTCGGTTGAATTCCCAAGTGCAATGAGAATCTCGAGCTAGTTGTAGTTGTTAAACTGAGTTGAAATTAGAAAAAAATATGGTGGACTTCTTACTGCGCTCGTGAGGCGGTGTGTGAAGCAAGGAGCGTTCGTGGCCGTAATTCGAGATTGGGCGAGGGACCAGGTAGCGCGCACACCAAGGTCGTCGCGGAGAACGTTGTCAAGAGATGGCACCACAGCGCAACGAGCCAAGTGCCGGACATGCAGTCGTGCGATGGTAGCTGCCCGGATCGCAAGCGCGGCAGCGGGAAGTTGCGTCGGCGTCTTGCAGAAGACACGGTTGTTGCGAGATTCACGAGCTATTATAGTTGCATCGAACGACGACGAACCACGTTAACGGGTCATTTTTTTGTCGCTAGTATCGAGTGTATCATGATCGTCGTCGATGGAATATATCGTTTGGACGACCAATGCGGGTGCCGCATACGAGATTCACAGCCAATCGGCATGCCCGTACGGACGACTTTTGACCAATGCATGGGCTGGATCTTCACCCAGCGAATCTTTGACGTGTCCCACTCTGCGCGTCACTCTCGGCATCACCAGCTTCTAGCACTGCGGTGACGAACGTCTCCATCCATCCGCCGAGCATCCAGCGTCTTGGCACCCAAAACAGCGAAGAAAACAGAGAAAAACTTCAAAAGCAGGTCGTTCCAATCGGGGAGAGCTGTCGCCATAGCGCTGGTCCATCGCCGTCACGGCGCGCCGACACATACAGTGACACCCTGTTTCTCCGGCACCACATCTTGTCCAGCCCTGTCCAATCATACTCGGTCGAATCGAAGGGTTCGAGACACGACGCGGAATCAATGCGGCTGAATTTAGGGGCAGCAGTCCCCTAGACCGTGCTCTATCGACAGCAACCCAGAGGGCCGCGTCACCCTCCACTTTCAACACTGCGTGCTGGCTGGGTCGAGGAAGAAGCTCCAGAGCAAACGTGCAATAGACAATAGTATCTTCGTATTTATAGTCGAAGCTGCATGTCGCAGGGTTTTGAACCAATCAAACGTGCCCATGGACCATCGCCTGAAGGATTGAAAAAGTGCATTCTCCCAACGGGCAGCAACATGCCATCGAGCGGCGCATGGACCAAGGCCGCCTTCGTGGCGCTTGCTGTCTTCACGCTCGTACACCTCTCGCTGGAGACGCGGGAGATGGCCGCGCCTAGCGTGCTCCAGCGATACGCCGCTGAGCCAGCGTCGACGAGTAGCATTGACGCGCTCCACGCGGCGCACGACGACGAGCTCTTGCACTTGATCGCGTTGAACGTCTTTTGCCGCAAGGAAGACAACGTGCTCATCCCGTGGACCGCCCGCAACTCGAGCGACATGCTGCACCGCGACAGTCCGCACGCAGCGATTCTGGCCGAATTGCGCAAGTGCCCTGCCGTCGACATTTACCTCAACACGGGCGTCCGAGACCACGGGTACTGCGAAGACGCGATGGCGTACACGCTGCATCTGCAGTCGCGCGCAATTCCCAAATGGGTTCTCGAGACGACGTTCACGGATGAGGACGGCAGTGCCACCACGTACTTTGAGCTGTGTCCGCGCTCGGCCATCCTCTTTATGAACCACTACTGGGAAGAGGTCCACGAAATGCCACGCTTTCCGTCCACGAAAAAGATCGTGCTCATGCCCAACGTCGAGATGGGCGAGCTAAAACCATCGCACTACCACCGCGTGGACATTGTCTTGGCCAAGTCGCGCGATGCGTACAACCGCATCTGGGCGTGGTCCGTTGCGTTGATGCATCCCGAAAAGAGTCGTCTCATCCAAGGCGCTCTAGGTACAACCAAGACTTTAACAACCCACGCGGTGCCAAGGTGCTCTACACTCAGCACACGACGAGCGACGCGACCGTCTTGGTGCGCAACGCGAGCCAGCACGGCCAGCTCAATGGCACCCTCGCCCCCAAAAACTTTAGTCAACTCAGCGTCGTGCACGCCAACGGCAAGAGTCCGTTCAAGAACGCGGGGCGCATGCTCCAGTGCTGGAAAGACCACCCCGAGTTCCCGATCTTGCACCAGTACTCGAGCGACGACTGGTCCAACGGCACGTACAACGAGCTCTGGCGCGACAAGCCGCCGGCCAACGTCGACTTTCACTTTGGCAAGTACGTCTCATCTTTGGGCTTTGCAAAGATCTTGAACGACGCGACGGTGATTGTGTGTCCGAGTGCCATGGAAGGTACCCTCGACTACGATCCGGTATGACTGACTCGCTCATCGAGTAGGTTTGGCCACTACATCAACCAAGCGCGCGCGGCGGGCGCCCTCGTTGTGACGACGGACGCGCCTCCCATGGACGAGTTTGTCGACGACGACTCGGGGGTGCTCATCCACGGCATCACGCCGTGGGCCGACAAGGCCACGATGGGCCAGAACTTTATGTTTGAAGTGCCGACGCGCGCCATTTGCGAGTCGATTCAAGACATCCTGGCCATGGACCCGCACGAGCGGGCGCGGCGCGCGGCCAACGGCGTGCGGCGATATTTCAAGCAACGACAGTATTTCAAACAGAGTATGCAGACGTTGCAAGCGATGGTGTATCAACGCTAATCGAATGCGTCATGTTTCGTCAACACAAGAAGATAGTCGGCGTCAATCGACGCGTTTCGTTGGAGTGAATATCTGTACGAGCATGGATTTGCGATGGGCGTCGAGGACAGGTCGTGTCGCACCGGCACTTGCACATCGCACCGTGAATTCTCGCAGCCAAGTGTACAATAGACATAACCTACAACACGAAATACCATGATATAAATATACCAAAGGGCTTGGCATCCCATATGGCAGCGTCGTGCGAACGCCCAAATGACGTATAGCGCACGATACCACTATGACATTATTTCAAACTGAGTGCGCAGATGCTTTGCATGCAGTTTATCTATCTATCTATCTATCTATCTATCTATCTATCTATCTATCTATCTATCTATCTATCTATCTATCTATCTATCTATCTATCTATCTATCTATCTATCTATCTATCTATCTATCTATCGATTTCCAATGTGGTGGATTCAAGATTTTCGATGACAGACGACATGTTTTTGAAAGAGAATTCATCGCCTGTGGGCTAGGAGGTTCCTACAGCATTACAGCGTAAACTGACTACGGATCGCTGTGCACTTGCCCGGCGTCAAATTGACGGTGGCCGAGACGACTTGGCCGCTAAAGGACGTCAAGCTCACTTGGGTCTTGCTGAGCGGAATGTTGGACGTGGTCGAGACGTAAAAGTAGTTGGACTCTGCGTTCATGAGCGGGCTTTTCTTGCCGTTGATGCTCATACTCGCGACGCCCGAGCGCGTGTTGCCGGCCTGCACCGCGAGCCAATACTGGTTGCTTCCTTCCTTCGCACACACTTGAATGTTGCCAGCAACCGGGCAGTTGACGAACGACCACGAGATCGAGTACCGGTCGGTCGTGTCGCCCGTCACTTGCTTGAAAAAGGCAGCGTGAGGTCGAGGCCGCCGTATCCGCACTCGTGGCACTGGTCGGTCACTTGGCCAATGACCTTGGCATGCGACTTGCAGCGCTTGTCCGTGCACGTGACTTGGACGCAGCGGCCGCAGTTGCGGCCCGAGTCCCACTGCTGGTGGTTGATTGCGACGTGAAAGGCCTTGGCGTTGGGGACCGACGCCATGAGACCGCAGTTGCCGCCTTGGACGTCGACGCCGTCGGGGCCGCCGTACGTTGTCGCGGGGCCCGAGAAGGCATTCGCCGTCGCGGTAGCAGCGAGGAGGAAAAGAAGCGAGGTGGGCGCCATGGCAGGGACCAGGCAAATTGAAAAATGAGCAAAGTGGCGCGCTCGAGGGACAAGTGCGCGTGGGTGCTGCATTACGAGACCTACGTATGATACGCCGACCATGATGGTTTGGTAGCACATCCAAGGCGTTCGAATACTCGTGACGACTTGTGGTCGCGAATATGATCGCCGCAGGGACGTACCAGCTGGCGCCAACGCACATGCGGTCACGTCGTAGAGGGTTCGAGCCCGCCACTGTGCATAATATCATCCGATTCCATCGTGGATGGCTTCGTGATGCGATGCATGGGATCAGCGTTGCCGACACTGGCTCGTTGAAGCGGCACCGCTGCGCCAGTCCCAGACGCAGCGGTGACAAGCTCCTGTGATGCCAGGACGCAGAGGCTAACGCTGCGATCGAGGGCGCCTCGCTCGTAATGTCTCTCGTACGTGATCAAGGTTCTTCACAGGCCGTCGTACGAGGAAACCAATGACAGTCAGCGAGTGAGACCCTTCCGTTGACGGAGCCCTTTCGTAGGGTACCGTCGAGTGTACTGCGACTAAAGAGGCATGTCAGCGGGCGCCTTGAACTCTATGTCGCTTCAACTGATGGGTACGCAGGTGCAAGCATGGGTCCATGAACTCAGACCCGTCGATCGCATGTGGAGAGGCACCGATACAAACACATGTTACGTCACGATGACGTGTTTCTGGGTCGACTCAGAGCCGCGCAACGCTGCCACTTGTAGCCAGTGAGGCGGTGTTTGGGGCTGCAGGTAGCGCAACGTAAAGAGGTTGGTTGGACTGGGACGGCTCTGTCGGTCACTGTAATGCCACTCGCTCGTCGTCGGGCTGTGATCATGTAGATCATGTATTAGTAGACGTTTTGCGGTCGACGGAATGATCTGCTATGTGCTACCGATTTGGTGGCTGGTGAACGACGTCCTCTATCGAACAGAACATAACAGAGCATACTAGAAGAGAAAATTCGATGCTCAACTTGTCACGTTGTGTAGTACATATACATGAGATAGGTCGAGGCTGGTGGGGACGGAACAGGCACGGAAGCATGATCCGCGGGACGATGTGCGGCCACTCGTGTTGTGCTTGAAGCCGAAGAGCCCAAGCAGATTTGGCTCTTGTTTGGACGAGGCTGTAAAGTAGGTGCCATGGACCGACGCTTGCCATCGTGACGGATAGCGTTTCTAGACTGAGCAGGGGTCGGTCTGTGCGGATGACGCACTCGTTTTGAGCGCGCCAGACAAGGAGCCAGAGGCGCGGGCCAGAAGCTTTGGATCGCGACATGGTGAATCATGCAGGTCGTCTTGGGCGTCGAGAAGAGGTACATCCCGAGATCGACGTCGGCTTGACTACGCCCAAGGCGCGTGAAGCGTGCCACCAGGACGTCGCAGTCGACGAGCAAGGCGCCGGACGTCCTGTGAGAGCAAAGAAAGCGCGCTTGAATGGACTTGGTAACGCGACGCTGGACCTTCTTTCAACACCCAAGACGCCGCCATCCATGTTATGGAGGCCATCCGGCTTGGTGGACGCTATTACTATTCTGTACGGGAGACGCCGACGGAAGTAGTTTGTCGTATGCGAATTGTACAACTGGATCGACGAGGGACATGCGTTTTGAATGTTGGATTATTGCTTGAGTCGCAGCTTGCGGTGCTCGCCGTCCAGCACTTTTCTAATGCGGTCGAGCATCGCCTTGTTGGTGCTCTGGCACGACGCCGACGCGTACGGTGGCAGGATCACGACTTCGTGCATGACGCGGATGTTCTGGTCCTCCCACTCGCATGGCATCGTCTTGCTCAGCGCGTCAAAGATGGCTTGGCCGGTCGGCGACACATTCTTGCCAATTGACGCGATCGCCTTCTCGGCCTGCTGGCGCGTGCGCAGCTCGAGCTTCCGGAGGTCATCTTCCGTGACGCAGAGCGCCGGCGCTGCACTCGGCGGCGTGTCCATGGCCTCGATGCGCACGACCGCGTCCATGTGCACGAGCTGCGTCGCGTCTTGAGCCTCGAGCACGAGGAAGCCCGAGGTCGGGTCCAGCGTGAAGAGGCTGCCTTCCAGCGGCGCCGCGTCCGTGCTCATAAAGACGCGGATCCAGCTGCCGAGGCTCGCCTTGGCCAGCGACGATGGCGCCGTGGCCACCGACTTGGGGACCCAGACCTCGTGCTCCGTCGCCATGCGGCTTGTGGCTGTAGCAATGCTCTGGACTGGAAATGAATGCGCCGGGGTGCGCTAAACACGTTAAACGGGCCAAACCAGAGGAATATTAACTTGAATCCACCGATATTGGGTCACCATCCGGCACGTCCGTGGCACGTGCATGGCACAATTCAAGCAAACCGATCCCGCTTCCGCCTTCTATCGTGGTGAATACATCGAGGCGACATGACAAGCTATCATGCGATCGGCGCAATCGGCTGAGCAAGCAGCACGACCTGCCAGGATCGCGTAATCGAGGCTGCACATGACAAGAGCGTGTTACCTTACTTGCCCCAATAAAACGTACACGTTCAAGTAAAAACCATGTGAGATTGCACACCGGATAGCGTCATCATCCGGCAGCATGGCGACGGTCGCGGCAACGAGGGGCAGCGATGGCCGGCTCCGCATCGCCATGTGCTGCGACTTCTTCTACCCGCGGCTCGGCGGCGTCGAGATGCACATCTGGAGCCTCTCGCAGTGTCTGCTTCGGCAAGGCCACAAGGTCATCGTCATCACGCACATGACCGAAGGCTCGGAGAAGCGCCAGGGCATTCGGTACATGACCAACAACCTCAAGGTCTACTACCTCCCGCTCGTGACCATGGTCGACAACGTGACGCTGCCGACGTTCACGGCCGGCTTTGCGCTCTTCCGCACGGTCCTCATCCGCGAGCGCATCCAGATTGTGCATGGCCACCAAGCCACGTCGGCGTTCATGCACGAGTGCATCGTGCAGGCCAAGACGATGGGCTACAAGGCCATCTACACGGACCACTCGCTCTTTGGCTTTGCCGACGCCGCGTCCGTGCACCTCAACAAGGTGGTCCATCGACCATCGTTGCCTCCTGTCGCTCACAACAATATGCGTCGTAGGTCATGAAGTTTACACTCTCGGACATTGACCATGCGATCTGCGTCTCGCACACGTGCCGCGAGAACCTCGTGCTCCGCGCGTCCTTGGACCCGACGATCGTCTCGACGATCCCCAACGCGGTCGACGCGACCAAGTTTACGCCCAAGGAGAACAGCGAGGCCAAGCCGCCGACCGACCCGCTCCACGACCCGATCACGGTCGTCATCATCTCGCGCCTCGTGTACCGCAAAGGCATCGACTTGGTCGGCAAGGTAGCGTGCTGGCTGCATCCCAACGTATCAATGATCTATCGAGTGAATACCCTGGGTAGACGATCGAGCTGGTCTGTGCACGGTGCCCGAACGTCAAGTTCCTCATTGGCGGCGACGGCAACAAGCGGCTCCTCCTCGAGGAAATGCGCGAAAAGTGCCAGCTCCACGACCGCGTCACGCTCTGGGGCGCCGTGCCGCACGCAGAAGTGCGCAACGTGCTGAGCCAAGGCCACATCTTCCTCAACTCGAGCTTGACCGAGTCGTTTTGCATTGCCATCCTCGAAGCAGCGGCCTGTGGCCTCTACGTCGTGAGTACACGGTAGCTGCTTTCTTGGTGATGTTGCGGCTCATATGTATGGGGGTAGGGTTGGCGGGGTCCCGGAAGTGCTACCGCCCGATATGATTCGCTTCTCGAAAGACATCACACCCGAAGACTTGGCCGACGCGGTCGTCGAGTCGCTGCCGCTGCTCGCCAAGGTAGGCTCGTGTACGGTGGTGTCGGATCTTATTTTTGAAAATGATGAGGTCAACAAACAAGAGTTTCACGATCGCGTCCAGCAAATGTACAACTGGGACGCGGTCGCTGCGCGCACCGAGCGTGTCTACCGCAACGTGATTGAGCTCCCGACACCGTCGCTCATCCATCGGTACGCTTTTCTGTACATCGCGATCGTCGGTTCCACCACGAGGGGTAGGTTTCGCAAGATTTACGGCATGGGCCCCGTGGCCGGTATCATTGGCTGCATCATTGCGTCCTGTCTCTTTATGTACCTCCAGTTCCTCGAGTACCGCAAGCCGTACGACGACATTGAAGTGGCGCTTGAATTCCCACCGCCGGCGACGGCAACGACCGACGAACCGCCAGTGCAAGCGACCGCGTAGACACCATCGCGGTCGAGGCTAGACATGTGAATAGACAAAAGCTACTAGTACATCAGACTGTGTTCCAGGCAGTGTGCACACTATTGTCTTTAAACAGACTAGTACGAATCAGTGGGTGAAGTCGTCGATGCAATGGACCAAAAAATGAAGTTCATGTAGTAATAAATAACCCGTGGTCGTTGGCGCGAGCAGCTAGCTACCGAGGGATATAAGATTTCTTCAATTCTTATATCGCTTGCAGCGACGACCTTTCTACATCAACCACGACGGTGGTGGTTGCGCCATCCCTTGACGAGCTCGATGCGATTTGCAGTCGATAGCTGGCGGTTGCTGCACGCCTTGCTACGCACTGTAGCTCGGGCGCTTCTCGGTGCAGTGTTCAAGGCCGCCTCGGATTTCCCTCCATTGCATTCGCTCTAGTAGAGGGAGCGGTAGAGCAAGCCATGCCGACCATCAATGCACACAAAGGCTACATAATGCAACATCTTCTCAATCAAAAGTAGCTGCCAGCGGTGTCGTCGTCGTCCATATCGACGGCGACGCTAAAGTCGGTCTGTGGTCCGCGGGGCGCCTTCTTGCTCTCGCGCTCGAGCTGCTTCAGGTCCCTTCGACCATGGCGGCGCTCTCGTCGCTCATGGGCGCTCGTCGCAGGATGGTACGGTTGACGAGGTCGATGTCTACGACGGCGGCGCCGGTCCGCGCCTCCCGACTCCGCTTGTCCGCATCAAAATGCGCATTGGCATCAATGACCGTCTACATGCATGCGCATCAGAGAGGTAGCAAGGTACGTGAGAGGCTCTACCGTGCGCTGGGACTGGGTTGCATCGAGCGCAAGGAGGCGGTCGCGGTGCTCGCGCGCGGCCACGACGTCGGGAGCGTCGCGCGGGTCTTCCGTGTACTCGAGCGCTTTGCCGCAGAAGGAGCAGTCGTCGCGGCCGTCCACCTCGATCTTGCCGCAGCCTGTGCAGTTGATGATCGGGCCCATTGTCACGACCGCCACGACCGGGCCGTCGCGCTCGGCCACGAGCTGGTCGGCGAGCGACGCGGCGACGTCGGCCTTCTCGTCGCCAAACATGTTGATGAGCGCGTCGTGCATCTCGTCGCGCGTCGCCAGCGACCGGATGAAGGCGGCGATCTCCTGCACCTCGGCGAAGCCCATGGCCTCGGCCAGGGCGGCCTCAAGCCAGTCGTCCAGCATCGGCCCGCGAGCTTTCTGTTGTGGGCGTGTCACCGCGGCCCAATCGGTCCGGATCCTAACCGGTTAAGATGGATCCTTCAGCCGGCTAGCACAGCCGGCGAGCCAAGCCGGACGGTTCCGGCAGACGAACAAGTCACCGCAGCTCGTCCAAGCTCTGCTCGCCAAAGGGTCAAGTCGACTCGATGGTTGCATAACGGTACGAATCATTAGGAAATAATGCTATTCATTCCTTAGACGTATCTTTACCACGGACACCAAGATGAAGAGGAATGCAAGCGGTGCGAGAATCGTCCGCTCGACCAGCCGGCCACCGAGTTGTCGCCCGGGTCGTCGTCGTCATGCAGAGGATACCTCATCGGGATACCTCCTTCGATTTGGAGCATACAACATTACCGCCAAGAGTCAAGAGCAGTCCCAGTCGCTAACGCCATCAACCGACGCTGAATCGTTCGGTTACGCTACCGATTATCGCTACACGACCAGCACTCCGAGACCGTCACTAACCGATTGCCGCGCGCCTTGCGAGCGTTCCGAGCGCACACCGTGTGGCTTCAAGCCTGCATCGCAGTAGCGACGAAGCACAACTTGTATCACGACGGCGGGCGATGCGGTGCTGGGCTCATTTTCTGTATAAAATAGTCCACCGGCGTTGGGTTTCCGTTCTATATTTTCTATCTTTTCTTGCATTTCACTCATTTTCATCTTGGCCATGTTTCGCCTCCTCGACCCGCAAGCCACGGCCGCCGTCTCGATCGACTTTCCCGAGATCGCAGCCGACCCATCGCGGTTCCTCGCCATCATGGCCGAGCAAGGCTTTGCCGTCGTCACCAACGTTGTCGACGACGTCCCGTTCGCCGAAGGTCTCTGGGCGTCGGACCTGCGCGCGATTCTCGATATGGAGCACAGCGCCGAGACGCGCGCGCTTGCAGAGGACCCCGTGCATACGTGGCCAGCCGATGTGCCTCTCGGCCGGCCCGTGGAGCACGGCCTTGCCCAAGGCCAGCTCGCGTGGCACATTCGACGCAACCGCAACATTCGCCACTGCTACGAGGTGCTCCACCAAACGAAGGAGCTCGTCGTCGGCACGGACAGCATCATGTTCAACCGGTTTCCGCCAACGAAGCTGCGCGAACCGTGGGGCCATGTCGACTACCACCGCGACTTGGTTGCGCACGAGTGCTTCCAGTCGATCGTGTATCTCTGGGACACGGACGACGAGTCAAGCACGACGGTCGTCTGGCCCGGATCGCACATCACCAAGTACGAGGCGGTCATGGACGCCAACCCGGTGCCGCGGCTCTTTAGCCTCATCCCGGAAGCGATGGTGCAAGAGTACCAAGCCAGCGCGTGCCGGGTTCGCATTCCGAAAGGCGCCATGATTGTGTGGAACTCGAAGCTCGTGCATCAAGGCTACGACTGGGGCCCGCGCCTCGCGGTGCCCGTGTGCTTTGAGCCCACGGCGCTCCGTCCCGATAATGTGTACGCGAAGAAGTGTGCGCTTGTGGCGTCCGGCGTCAGTGGCACGCACTGGGCAGCGGTTTTCCACACGCATGCGGCGACAAGCGCCCGGAAGAACGCGCCGCGCGGGCCGAGCCAAGAGTTTGGGCGCGTTCGTCTCCTCCACCGCGCCCACTTGCACCTCTTGGACGACAATGGGCAGCTCAAAAGAGAGTTTACCGCGCTCTTGTAGCGCAACGTCGATTCGTAGAGTAGAAGTACTCTTTATGGACTCTACTAATGGAATTCATTCTTGGTTTTGGGGTTTGAAGGGACGCATTTTGCGCACGTTGGAGTACACTGGGTCGATGTTTCGAGATGAAGAGAGGCCACGTTCAATCGCGTTGCTCGCATTATATGACGCCTTTACATTGCGAGTCCGCCCAGAACTCATCGACCATCGCATCCCGCACGTCTGCCGTCGCCGTGTTGAATATGCTGGCATACGAGGTGGGGCCCGCAAGGTACTTGAAGAACGCAAGCTTCGTGGTTGCGCTGTACCCACGGTTGCTGTAGTGCTCTTCAAACGTAGCCATGGCCACTTCTATGGCGTTGACGCGGGTGATGCTTGCGGCGAGCAACTTGATCGACTTGGCCATTGCGAGATAACCTCGCTCGGCGTCGGTCCAGGCGGCACGCTTGCTCATGGAGGCGTCGAAAAGATGTATGTCACGTGTCTATATTACTTTAGATTGCAAGCCCGCCCACCAGTCGTTTGGCCGTGAGTCACTCTGCTCCCGTCAAGGACCGAGTCCTTGATGAGCGTGGAATAATTGCCCTGCGAACCGAACGCGTTTTGGTCAATAATGGACCTGCACACTCAATTCTTATTTTCGCATTTTCCTGGTACCGGGAACGTTCCAGCACGCCAGGGTACATTCTGGCCATCCCATTGGCTATATATCACTCTATTTTGACCAATGAAACGCAGTATCATTGGTCTCAGCCAATCATATCGCGCGAAACCACGCTTGACAGGTTTGGATCCAACTTGAAGACGGCAGTGAAAAGATAGAGTAGCGCAGGGCGGTCCAGGCAGTGCATGGCGCCCCGTGGTTGCCTCCACCGCGTTTCCTGCGGGCCCCGACGCAAGGTGACAGTAGTGCTCATATTTTACTGTAGATTACACTACAAAAGCGCGGCAAACTCTCCTTGGAGCTGCCCGTTTTCGTCCAAGAGATGCAAGTGGGCGCGGTGAAGGAGACGAACGCGCCCAAACTCTTGACTCGGCCCGCGCGGACGGTTGTTTAGATCGCGTGTCGTCCTGTGCGTGCGGAACACCGCCGCCCAGTGGGTGCCACTGACGCCAGACGCGACGAGCGCGCACTTTCTTCTCAACACATTCCTGGAGCGGTGCTTTGCAGGCTCAAAAGACACGGGCACCGCGAGGGGCGCGTCGTAGCCTTGATGCACGAGCTTCGAGTTCCACACAATCATGGCGCCTTTCGGAATACGAACCCGGCACGCGCCGGCTCGGTACTCTTGCACCATGGCTTCCGGGATGAGGCTAAAGAGCCGCGGCACCGGGTTGGCGTCCATGACCGCCTCGTACTGTGTGATGTGCGATCCGGGCCAGACGATCTTCGTGCCCGACTCGTCGTCCGTGTCCCAGAGGTACACGATCGACTGGAAGCACTCGTGCTCAACCAAGTCGCGGTGGTAGTCGACATGGCCCCACGGTTCGCGCAGCTTCGTTGGCGGCGTTGGTCGTTTGAACAGGATGCTGTCCGTGCTGATGACGAGCTCCTTCGTGTGGTGGAGCACCTCGTAGCAGTGGCGAATGTTGCGGTTGCGTCGAATGTGCCGCGCGAGCTGGCCTTGGGCAAGGCCGTGCTCCACGGGCCGGCCGAGAGGCACATCGGCTGGCCACGTATGCACGGGGTCCTCTGCAAGCGCACGCGTCTCGGCGCTGTGCTCCATATCGAGAATCGCGCGCAGGTCCGACGCCCAGAGACCTTCGGCGTACGGGACGTCGTCGACAACGTTGGTGACGACGGCAAAGCCTTGCTCGGCCATGATGGCGAGGAACCGCGATGGGTCGGCTGCGATCTCGGGAAAGTCGATCGAGACGGCGGCCGTGGCTTGCGGGTCGAGGAGGCGGAGCATGGCCAACGTGAAAATGAGTGACATGCAAGAAATGGCAAATAATATAGAAGAGTTGCCACCGGCGTTGGCCCCATTTTCTCCTTCCGCCAGCGCGATGCCGTTGGACCCAGCCGCTGCATTCGAGGCTAGGCGGGGTGCGTGCTCGGAACCCTCTCACCGAACTGCTTGGCGAAGATTAGTGTGTATTACTGTTCTGGGCAAAATTGAGAACTGGGCGATAGAAATCGAGCTGTGGCCACAACATCAACATGACATTTTACATTGTAATCGACGCATCAGTGTGTCGCGGGAGGGCAATCGCCCAAAATGTATATCTTTCACCTCCTCGCCTTGAAGCGTGCTCATTCGGGTGCTACAGCTCCATGATTCAGACCCGGATCTACCTGGTGATAATTGTCTAAACCGCTCGACCAAACGAAGTCGGGCCACTCCTTCTGGACTGCATATTCAATACATTCAATTGGGGCCAAGCAACTCGAGGCTGGCTCGCAAAAGCGCTCCAAACAATCCAAACGAGCCCTGCCACAGTTTGACTGTGTGGCAATAGTGGACAGCGCACGACTTTTACTTCCATGCATTCGCCAAGCTTGCCAGCCAATTGAGGAGGTCTTGGAACGCGCGTGGCCACTAGTGTCATTGGAATCAACACTTGGAAGGCGATGTTTCTAATGTCGTTCTATGTATGTGATGGATGATGATCTGTCGACGGATGGTCGTTGGCTTTCATGTACGAGTAGCTTGCTTTGAGTTATCACTTAGCTATCTTTGAGCTATTTGCTTCTTCTCACAAAAGCAAAGGCGTGCGTAAAAGATTTGTGCGGTTCAGTGTGCTGCGAGGAGAATGCGCCACGTCATCCGGATACAAAGCCGCCTTTCCCAAGTTTCGCGAATCTTGGAAAAGCGACAGTGTGAAATCACGTCGCCACAAGAGACGATGCACCCCAACGCCCGCCGGAGCCAAGCATGCTTGCTGCAGTACCGCGACCGCCGTCAGCTACCGATATTGCCCACGACCAAGTGCACAGCACCAACGAGCGATCCTCCCCACGAGAGTACCGAGACGGTAATCGCCTTGCGCGCAGCCGTCGACTTATGGTATCGACGCACGTAGCCTCTCGAGACGACCGACGATGCAAGTGCGGATGCAGCCGCAATGTGTGTTGAGAACTGCGTGCTAAAGGCGCAGCTCGCGGCACTGCGAGACCATGACGGTGAGCGCAACCGGCATCTGACGTCGCTGCAGACAGAGCTTGCAGCGCTGCGTGCGCGCAGCATCGCGCTCGAGGCCGAGCTGCGCGTGCTGCGGCACCTCGTGCGGCGCACGCCAATGCATGGTAGCCTGTAGCTAAGGCGATAGTCCAATGGGCTCTTTCTACGGGATTAAAACGACACCAAAGTGTCTTATTTCCACTTGGTCAAGAACGTGGTGGGGTCCGGGTGCGCGATCGGCGCGGGCTTGGTCTGGCGACTGAGAAACCGGGATCGGTACGACGGTGTCGACTTGGGCCGGTATGGGTTGGGATGACGTGGCGTCTCGAGAGAAACGGGACTGCGAATCTACCGCACGCACCAATCAAACGCCATACGACACAATACGAAGCCCAACCATGTCCTCCAACGCAGCTTCAGACACGACGACTTTGGTCGCTGCCTCTGCACGCGGAGTCTCAGAACAACCGGATAGCACACAGCGCAGACGCACCAGAGACGCGAAATGCACTGACGCGAACGGCGCTCTTGGTATCGAGCGCGGCCTTGCCGTGCGGACCGGCGCTGCGCGGGTGGCGGGCCTTGACCACATGCAGGAGCGAGAAATCGCTCGCGGCTGGGTCGCAGCGAAACTTGAGCGTCCGGCTCTAAGCGAAGACATAGGCACCACGTCGCCCAGTCGCTCGTACGGGAAAGCGCTGTGTGGGCTCTGCGCGCGCCACGCGCTCGACCGACATGAGTCCCGTGTCTACACGCAACAATCGTTCAGCGCAATGCATGGATGTGCGTCGGATGTACAGGGGTCGAGCGGGTACTGGGGGTGGAGTGGGTAGTGCGGCGTTGGAATTTGTTGGCTCGGCGGAATCGCCCCCAAGTCGACGAGGTTCAAGTCGAGTCTACAAGATACATGACAACGTGTCCATTTTAGCCACGATGCGTGTACGGCATCAGGCCCTTCGTAGCATGCGCAGGTGAAGGATCCGAGATGGTCTTGTCGTCCTGAAACAAGCTCGAGAGAGCATGCAGAATCTAAACACGGGCGACATGCTGCGCCCGCTTATCATCAAAGAGAATTGGCTACCGCTGCGTTGGTCTGGTCCAAGTGAGTACGCATCTGGCTGCGCTGCTCTAGCACCTGCGTTTGAATACGCTCCTTGGTGCGCAGGGTCTTCTGCAGCACGTGAACAAGTCCCGACCAGTGCGAATCACGCTGGTTGTGGTGGTACGCATGATGCGCCCTTCCCTACGTCACTTCTGTGAACCTTTGTCGATAGAAAGCAGATGCTGCACCTCCAGCACTCGGGCCTGAAGCCGGCGCACGGCTGAGTGGGTCACAAGCGTGCTCCAGTTCAAGACACTCAGTGCGCTCATAACGTCTCGCCGTGCGCGGACGAGCGTCCGCAAGTAGTTGAGACCTTTGGTGTGGTGGTGGGGGTCGGCCATCGGTGGAAGCGCCACCAAGCGTGGCTCCGTCTCGGGTTGTACCTCGTGGGCAGGCTCTTCCAATTCGATGGTGACGGGCGACGGGAGCTCGCGCTGGCTTGTGCTTGCAGCGAGGGCTTCGCGGGCAGGTGGGTGTTGAAGGGAGCGAATGTTGAGCATTGTATGCAGCTCCGTCACTGGTTCATGCTCCAGCTGATTGCTATCTCGTAAACGATGTCCATCGCTGTCAATCATGTGCAGCATCCGCGGCGTCTCGTGCGCTGGTTTGTCGCGGGATGGACTCGTACTGACAACCGCCGACGAGAGCATCGGGAGCGCCACGATGATGGACGTCGTGGGCTTAGTCGCACCATTGCCTTCCGCCGGCAACCGACTGGGACGGCGCTTTGCAGGCGGCGTCAGAGGAAGTACGTCTGCGAACGGTGCAAGGGTCGGGTGCGGAAGTACATGGTCCGAGGTGGCGATTTTGGAGGAGGGGCTTGAATGCATCTTGGACGTTCCCCGTGGCTCTGGTAGCGACGGGAACGGTACACTCGGCACGAGTGGCTCTGCGAGCAACGTGGTCGATGGCGCTGTAGAGGTCGATGGCGCTGAAGAGGTCGAACGCAGGGGTGCTGCGATACCAAGTGTCTCATCGCCGACTGCCGCGACATAGGTGGTCTCGATGGAACTAGCGATCGTCTCTTTAGGGAGTGCGCACTCATGTTGTAGTGCGGTTGCTCTCGCAGCGTCCTCTGTCGACAGCTCATCGACAGCTTCTTCTTCTTCCAACCGTTTTCAGATGCTCTTCTGTGACCACAGCAGCTGACTCCTCCTCTGTTGCTACGGCTTGTTTTTCGACAACGTCATCTAGCAAAAGCGGCGACGACGGAGGGTCGTCATCCATGGCCTCGGCGCCCATGGACGACTCGAGCACGCATTCGAGCAGACGTGGATCGTTCCTTGACGGCACGATCGACACTGGCGGTGTATCCGGAGAAAACGGTGTCGTCAGCGAGGCGGCGCTGGACTCGGTTTTAGAACGGGCAACCGGCGCGACGCGCTGATGCCCGAGCTTGGCTTCCGTGTGCCCGAGCCGCGCGAGGTGCGATTTCTTCTCGTCCGGATACGGCATTTGCTTGGGCGGCCGCGGACTCTTGGGTTGCGAGGTGTTTTGCGACCGCGACTGGCGCGGCTCGGGCTTGCGCTGGCTCGGCTTGCGCTGCTTGCTATGGGCTTGCATTGCCTCATCCGAATCGCGCTTGGCGGTCCACGCATTGTAGAGTGACTTGAGGGCCTCCAAGCTGCGCTGCTTGGTGTCTACGCGCCAAATAAATTTATCAGTATCAAACTATCAACTTGATACAACACGACCATCTTCGGTCGCGGCAGCGATGGTGTTGCCCAAGGCGGTGAACCACGTCCATGCCTCGTGAGGCGTCGCGGCTGCACGACTGGAAAGGGTGTGAAGAAACGCTAGAAACACGCAGTGAAGCCCAGCACGTGATAGTGAAGGCGACCTTGAACGTCGTCGTTGATCGTACTCGTCTCTTGGCTTGGACCCGCGGCCGCGCGCATCTTGCGCACCTCGCTGAAGCATGGTAAGGAGCGTGCAAATAGACAGAAGAGGTGTACACTTGCACGAGGTAGTTGGTCTTGTAGCAGTTGAATTCGGCCAAGAGGCATTGTTGGCCACGGTCGAGCTTGTCGCACTCGGTCTTCCAGAACGCAACTTGCGCGAGCAATCTACAACCCGACGGTGTGTACCGCGTGTGGAAAGGCTGCCGCACCGTTTTCGCATCGTCAGCATTTCGCCGGCGAGACGCGCGAGGTGCGACGACAGCGTGACAATACGCTGCATCTGAACGCACGCCACTTTTTGATGCGACGCTTTGTGCAGCTACCGCACGCATGAGACCACCCTACGTCGAGTCGTAGTGTACCTCAAGCTCGCTCGGTAGAATAGTCTCGACTGGGCTAGCGCGGGCAGCGTCCCACGGCGTCGGGCTCGCGGCACAGGCGCGCTGGAGCTCGGTCCACTCGACTTCGGTTTCGTGCGCGGCGGCTTCGGTGACGCGCGCCAGAGTCTCGGCCTGCGCGTCGTCGTCACTCCACGGAATCAAGGACGCAATGTCGATGTCGGTGGCCGTTTGGAGCGGCGTTGATGGCAGCATCGCACGGGTTGAGAGCTGGGTGAGGTACGACGTTAGCGCCGCCTGCTTGTCCCGCATCGCTGCCGTCGAGGCTTCGCGCAGAGCGCTCAGTGTATCGCAGAGTACCTAGTGTACACACCCAAGTCCTTTCGTGCAACAAGAATGTGGTGTCCTTCTACCGTGATCTCGTCGCGCAGCAGCTGCTGGGCAGCTTCAGAGGCGTGGCGAACCTTGAGCAAACTGGCCTCGGCGGCCGACACATTCTCTCGCAGTGTCCGGAGCATATCGTCTTTGGTGTATAACTCGCCTTGGAGGTCGCTTACCAAGACAGCCTGGTCTCGAAGGAGTGCTTCGAGGGCCTCTATGCGGGTCGCATCCGGAGCCTCGGGGGAGCTCACATCCACCACGGCCGCAGCCTCGATGTGTTTTGGCACCTTGGCCACGACGGCGTCCGTCTGCACGGATAGCGAGGGGTGCGCGCGCGAAGCGCCGGTCGTCGAGGACGCTTCGGTCGTGCGACTGCTGCCTATGCACATAGAGGGAGGCTCAAACGAGACCGGAGACATTGTTCGTACGCGTGCGCGTCGGTATCGCCGCCAGCTGCGCACGCAGCTCGGTCACTACTCGCGTTCGTTGCCATACGTAGTTGGCAGGAACGGCAGCTACCTGTTGTCGCCAACGTCGTTTGCTGGTCCGTCAGCGCGGTGTTGGCAGCGCGTAACTGGGTGACTTCTTCTTGGCGCTGCTCGACCTCGAGTTTGAGCTACCAATACAGCGTCACGTCAGAAGAAGCCGAGCCCGACCCACGAGCACCTCTTGCAGCCGCTGCAGCGAACGCTGGAGCTGCGCATCGGCGTGCACATCAACGGTCGTCGACACAGCCGAAGGGTCGATGATGCCGAGACCGTTGCAATGGAGGCAAGGCACGTGGCTGCTAGACCGCGCGCTCTTTGGTGGCGGCAAGTGCACCTCCAGCATGGCTTCTGGCGCTGGTTCGGGTGCGAGCGTTTGCACGAGCGACGAGAGATGCACCGCCGCCTTGGACGTCTCCATGGGATCGGTGAGAATCGTTGCGACTTGACTCCACACGTCGGGCAGCGCCATGACTTCAATCATGGCCGCTACCGATCGCATTGGTTCGACTCGCCTCCTCGCACAGAATTCCACTGCACCTGCAACGTCACGCGGCGCGACGGTCTGTGCGCTGACTGCGCTATCGATCGCGAGGCGCTCACGGCGTCCGCCAGGCGCGCCGTCGGCCCACCACGGCGTCGTGGCCACTGGGATCGTTGGTGCTGTTGGTGCTGTTGTTGTTGAAAGTGGCGCGGGAAGGTCGGGCTTTGTTAAGAGCGATTTCCGCAGCGCGTCGAGCTCCGCTCTACAATGCACCAGTGTTCACTCGACGGTCCACGGACTCGGTAGCGACGCACCGGGCTTCGCGCGTTCGCTCCTCCCACTTGTCGCGGTCTTGCCGCAGCACAAAGTTGGACTGCTTGCGCTTCTCCAACTCTTTCTGGAGGCCCTCGATCCGGTCGTCCATCGACGGCTCCTAGACATACGCCATGCGCAATCAAATGAACGACGTACGAGAACGTACATCGGCTGCGACCGACGCCTTGCGCGGCGACGTTTCTTCGGCTCTGGCCGCGTCCATGCGACGCCGGTGCAGTTGAAGCCCCGCAATGGCCTCTACCGCCTTGCATCCACACACTTGAACGATGAAGGGCGTGGGTTACCGTCGAGGGCGCGGAGTGTCGCCGGGTCGGTCTTTTGGCGCGTCACGAGCTCGCGGAGCATGAGGATTTCCTTGTAATGGGCCTTTCGCAGCGCGTCCATCTCGTAGCTGCGTCGATCCAAACTCGACCGAAGACCGTCGGTGACGGCGTCGCACTCGGCCATGCGGGCCTCGAGAAGCGTGCATTTCTCCGTCACGCGCGCAATGGTGTGCGTTCGCTCCTTGAGCTCGTCGCGGAAGACCTCGGTCATCGTGTTGAGGTACCTAGAGAGCGCGCTAGGACCACGACGAGACAATGGGTTGGAGGTCGCACTTTGTCTCGCGGTCCTGGACCGCCAATGACAGAGGGCCTTCAAAGAAACCATCGATCAATTGCACGAGATCCTATGTCGTACATTTTGTAGACCACATAGAAAGAGAGGCAAGCGTACGTCTTCCATGTGGGCGACGTCGTGCCGCCGACAGTGGTCGTGCAGCGTGGCCAAGAGGTTGGTGCGGGCACGACCGACGACCGACGTGGTCTCATGCTTGAGCCGCGGAGCGGTCGTCACGAAGCGCGGCACCGGCGCCTCGAGCGCACTGTCATCGTCCGTCTCCGGGATCGCGTCCATCACGAGGCGCGTACTATGGAAAGGCCAGACGGTTTCGGCGCCAAATTAAAGTTTGCGACATCACATGGAGAGGAGGAACCCAGCCCACGAGGCGTGGCCAAAGACGGTGGTCATCGCAACGATGTTTTCTCGTTGTAGTCTGAACCTCTACTCGGCTCGTCTTAGTAGCTGCAATTCAATACAAGAACGCAGACACGCAGCGACAACGCGGCATGATGATGGGTATGTCGAGGCGTTGAGCCGTCGTTCGATGGAGCCCTAAAAGCCTCGTCGCTTCGCACACCGGTGCAATAATTCTCACGGACGCTAGCATGACCCTGACGTGCGTTGCTCGCGACGTCGATGACGCGGCGGCGACGACGCTAAACTTGATGTTGATTGGCTATAATTCACGACCGTGATTTTCATTAAGCCAATCGCATCGTGCCAAGAGTGTTTAGGTACATGGGGAACACACACATGTTCGTAGCAATATTTGGTCTCTTCATAGTATGAATATCCCGCAGTAAAGCGTTTACCCGCACTTGTCTTTCGCCTTTTACTAAAGACAACCGTGGACGTCTTACAAAAATGCGGCTTCACCAATTTCTGACTTCCCTCTGGGAGGACCCCTTCACCCAACATTTCAACATTCTACACACTCTCTTGTACTCTTTACACTTGCTCGCTCACTTTTCACACTCGATTTCAATTCGCTGCATACCATGTCGACTGCCCGCACGCATACATTAGAGCGTACTATCAATACCCTTGCTTATGAGGCACGGGGCTAAACATGTTCTTTTCCAACGGTGTGGGGTCCAGGGCCATCGTCGCTAGCTACGGAGCTCGGCGAGGAGCTGGAGACAGCCGGCAGCCGACGGCGTGAGCTCCATGGTGCTACGCAAGACGCCATCAGATGGAGAAGCCACCGAATGGACGACTACCTCGTCGACAGCGCTGCTAATGGCACAAACATGAGTCGTGTGCTCTCGTACTGATCTTGAGCGTGGACATATCGGTCCTGCACGTCGGCGACCGCGAGTGTGCACTCGATGAGGAAGGCTGAAGCAAACTTTAGACCATGGATGCGATGTCGAATCCAGGAAGTACCGTAGCTCGGCGTCTCGGCGCAGCCTTGAAGCGTCACGCCAAGCAGCAGCGGCGGCGAGAGGGCGCTGCGTGGGACGTTGATCTCCTCCTCAACTTCGGCCGTGATCGAGTCGAAGAGCTCGGCGACGCAGCGCGCGTTGAGCTCATCGCTTGGCACGTAGTCCCGATCGAAGTGCAAACCCAGTTTCTACAAATTGCATGAAACACAAACAGGGCGAAGGCGGCAAGAACCTCGGGCTCCGGGTGGCCACCAGGCACGTCGGCCATGTTGGGGTATGCGCCGACGGCGTTGCTACGCTGGAGGAAGACCACATGCTTGTCGCTTGTCACAAGCGCTATCGTATATCGCATCGGTGCGAAGCGGGTCCATTGGTATTACCTGCGGCGACGCCAACCTTCCTCGAGAGGTGCTGGCGCGGGTCGTCGCCTCCGTCTCGCCGCAACGTAGCCACCATCTCAGGGCGTGAACACGTGCTAATGTACTCTTTATAGCTAGTGAGGCCCCACGTCATGGTGAGGCCGTCCGGCGTCAGTGCAGACGACGCCAAGCGGAACTTGGCACCGTTGAAGAGGTGGGGCTGCATCGCCAGCTTGTCGTCCCACAGCTTGTCCATAGCGTCTTCAAGCTCGCGAGATGCGTGTTGGCGCCGGTTGCCTGCTGGCGATAGCGCGATGCGAACGCGGTCCTGGCCGAGGGGACCACGGCCGCCGGCGAGGAAGGATTCGACCGAGCTCATGAAGTGCACTTTCGGCTTTGACCTGTAGCAACATGTTTAAACGCGTTAAAGGTTGCGGGGATGCGAGAAATTAATTTCCATAACGCGCTCAGGAACCGCATTTTGGCACAGCTTCTGTTCCAATACAATTCAGATGAGTGCCCGCAGTGTTTCACATCCAGCCAGCGCCCGTCCCTATTCCTTGTATTGCGATCTTCGTCGAGGCCGCATTTACCCTCATGTTTAAACGACCCAATTGTCGATGATGATACAGGTCGCCATAAAACCTGTCGCGTTGAATATCCAAAATCAAAGGTTTCCGCGTGACCGCCACAGCATGAGCATCCCTGGCACGACCGTGGTCCTAGGCTACTGCGACTTGGCCGCGGCCGGCGCGCGCCTCCTCCATCACATCTACGTACAAGACGCCGCACTTCTCGAGAGCTCGCTGACCGTCTTGGGCCTCACCGTGGCCATTCGCACATATGCCGAAACCAGCGTGAGCTTCGTCGTCGTCTGCGATCCCGTGCCCGACGCGCTCTGCACAGCCTTTGCCGCCGAGCTCACGGACCTCCTCGTCGGTAAGCGCGTCGTGCTCCTCACGGCGCCCAACGTACCGCTTCCGAGCGCGGACGAGCGCTTCGTCTTTTGGACCCAGTTCCACGCGACCGCGCCGCTGAGCGGACTCTCGTCAGCGCTCTTTCACCCGATTCCGCTGGCCAAGTGGACGCTCAAGGACGCCTTTCTTTGCGCTTGCTTGCATTTCTTCCAAGTGGAGGCGCTGCCGCTGACGGTGCTCTTGGTCCGCGGCTACAAGTACACGGGGCGCGTTGCAGACGGCTCGGCTGAGGTATTCTATCCATCTTTCCTTCGACAAGATCATCCTGGGATCATGGATGCTCATGCGACGATGATACTAGGCCATTGCCACGCTTGGCGAAGCGCTGCCTCTTGTGCTCCAGGCGCTGGGCATGTCCACGTCGTTTGAGGTCGATGCCAAGTCGGCGAGCGTTATGAAGATGCTTTCGATGCACCAAGCTGCGCATGGCGGCGAGTCGAGCGTCCTGTACAACTAACGCGACGGCTTTTACCTCGATCCGACGACCCCTTGCATTCGTGTGTTGATACGTGCATCGACGCCATGCGCCATTCTGGGACAGGGACCGGTAGACTCGTGGGGCGGCGTTGGCAGAAAAACAACCGCCGCGTCGGCTGCTCGCCCACGTCGTCGTCAAGCTTGGTCACGAGATGCGCTTCATTCTTGACGCGTCTCGCCGTTGCGACCCCGAAGCGCGGTCGCAGTGGATGCTATTGTAGCGTCGTCCACACTGCAATGCGAGAGAAGCCCATCATAAGCTCGATTGTAATCGCTTGGCAGACGAGATGTAGCGAGCAATAGCGTTGCACGCACGCAACTGGCGGCGGATGGACGGTTGCAATCGGCGTAGAAAGTGCAGTGGATCATCCGGATATGCAACAAATCCATCCAATCGAATGCGCGCGTGCCTGGGCAGCATCCGGATATCGCGAAATCCAAGCCAACGTCCGCGACGCCGGCTTCCGCCCGTTGGCTCGGAGCTTCAGTCGCGCTCTTCTTCGATCGACACATGTGGCAGTCGGCGCGCGCAACGAGCCGCGCGTGGACGCTCGTGTGCGACAAGCTCGCGGCGACCGACGATCTGCTCTCGACAGCAGAGCTCGACGCACTCCTCGCCAAGGTCGCCTCGCTGCCGCTGCCGCCGCCTCGCCTGCGCACCGACGACGTGGGCGGCACCTTGGCTGCGCTCGCCACCAAGGTGCCCACCAAGTCGGAGCTGCTCGTGGCCGACTTTATGCTTGTGCTACGCCACTGCTGCAAGGAAAAGCTGCCGCTCCGGGCCGAGCACGTGACCATTGTGCTGACGTACTGCATGAACGCACTACTCCACTGCCCCTCGTGGTAGGCGACGACATGCCATGGTTGGATGCAGCGAGGCCAATGATGGCATGGTGCTAGGTACGCCGAGCCGACGCTGACGGGCATGGCTCTGCTGCTGCGCGACAATGCAGACAAGTGCCCTTTGCTGCACGCGTCGATCGTGACGCACCTCGCGGCGTACCTCGACCCGACGAGCGCCGACGTGGGCGCTCGCTTTGCGGCGACGCAGTGCGTCGCGTACCTCCTGCACGCCTCGTCCCTCGCATCCCCGCCGGCCTATGCCCTGCGTCTCTGGACGACGCTCGTCGACAACTTTTTACAGCAGTGTCGCCAGCTCCGCGGTGACGTGCCCGGCGTGCAGTGGACCATGGACCGTATACTGTACAAGGTACGACGAGGCTGTCGCATGACGACAAGGTGTTTATATCGTCTACATGTAGACGTGCGCCGCGAGCCTCGAATGCATTTTGGCGCTACTGCCCGCGAAAGACGCCCCGGACCTCGGCCAGCAAATGCGCTTTGCGCTCTCCAACGTGCTCGCGAGCTTGCGCCAGATCTTGGGTGCTCTTCTTGTTCCTAGTGGAGTCGCACATGCCAATAAGTGTACTGGGGTTAGGGTGTGGTCTCGTGCTCCAGGGCGCGACGTCGTCGTCGATCTCGGACTCGGACTCGGAGACGCTCAAGCAGGGCATGTACGACCGCCTTTTTTGCGTCGTCCTCGGTCAACGATACACGACTATGTATGTAGTGGGCTGAGCGCACGCCTGCGCCACCTGGTGGTGCGTGTGCTGTGTACCATTCTCAAGGTGTACCCCACGAGCATCACGCTGTCGATGAGTCTCTACCTTCCCGAGACCTTCTCAGCGCACATGGTTTTGTACGATCAGTCCCCGTCGATCTTGACGCTACTGCTGTCGGATCCGTACGAGCTTGTGCGCCTTGAAGCGCTCAAGTGGCTCGAACTTCTGTGGCCCGCACTCGAGCTGCGCTGCGACCTAACCCTCGCCAAGGCGCCGACGGCGACGACGTTTCGATCGCGGTCCGCAACCATGCTCTTGATGGTCCACCAAGTGCACATTGCGTTGCTACACGCAATGCGCGTCGAGCCCGACATGGCGGCGCTGGTTCAAATCCTCAAGGTAGGCGGCTTTTTTTTCATTTTTTCGTTGCTTGTCTTCCTTTTTTCATATGTTTCATGTCTTTCTAGACGCTGACGCTGCTCGTGCAACAAGTGCCGTACGGCCACGTGCTCCAGGAGCTCGCGGCCGCGACACCGCCGCTCGCCTCGGTCCTGCACGCCATGCTGGGCCACGTGCACGCCCTCCTCTTCGCGTCGGGTAGAAAATGCCTCGTCACATCACGTGGGTATATCAAGGACGACATGGATGTAGACCACTCGATTCGTGTCGCAGCGCTGGCCTGCATGTCGAGCCTTTTGAGCACGAACGAGCCGTGTGACGTGGTCTTGCGCTGGCTCGAAGGCGAGGCGCTCACGCTGACGCTGCCCACCAAACGAACGCCGTGGATGGCCGCGCGCAAGACGCCATTCTTGGTCGAGATGCTGGTGCAAGCCAAGGCCAACGAGCCACTCGCCGTGCCCTTTCACCGTCTCGACGCCATGGCGCTCCTCTCCAAGGTGGCCAAGAACTATGCGCCCGGCCTTAGGTACGGCGACTTGCTTGCTGTGCAGCTCACACGCCTGGTGCATGTATAGCCGTCATTGGTCGCGCTTGGCCGACTTTTTGCTGGTTGCCTTTCGCGACGTCGACCAAAACGTCCGTCTGCAAGCCGTCAAGATTTTGGAAAACTACATCAAGGGCGATGCGGCCAACAACCACTATGTACGTGCGAGTCGACACATTGCATTGTATCAACTCTATGATTGGTACTAGCTTCCGTTTCTATCCACGCATGTGGTGCGTGCGTTCCATGACCCGTCGCACCACGTCCGCGCCAGTGTCTGTGCGTGCTTTACGCTGCTGCGCGAAGCCGACTGGGCGACGTTGTCGCTGGCGCCGCTGACAAAAACGTTTCTTGCGACGCCCCTCGACGCGTCGGCCGTTGTCCGCGCTGCGGGCTTTCGCCTCCTTGGCGCGCTCGTCTTGCTTCCTATCTTCAAGGTATGTGGACGTCTTGTGCTCTACATGTTTCTTTTTCTTGTATTTGTCGTATTTTTCGTGTATTTTTCGTATCTTTTCGTATCTTTTCGTATTTTTTCGTATTTTTCGCATTGTTGGATGTGTAGACGCCCAGTTTTGTGTCGCAAGTGGTGCAGCTTGGCATGCGCCTCGCCACCGACTCGACGCTCAACGTGCGCGTCCGCGTCGTGTGGGCCATTGGCAATGCGTGCACGACGCCAGGCCCCGATTCGACCGACGCCCAAGACATGTACGTACTTAGGGTTAGGTTAGGGGTAGGGTTTCTGATGTTTTGGCTGGTTTCTAGGCCGTGGCTCATCATGCTGCTCGAGCCCGCGCTTGTCTGCCACGTGCTCGAATGCATGCTCACGATGCTCGATGATAACGACAAGGTCGTATCGAGTGTCGTCCGAACGATGGGTCTTGTCGCGCGCTGGCTCTGCGCGTCCCCGTACCTCTCCCAAGTCGCGCAGCTGGACGTGGCCGTGGCGCCGAGCTGCCTCCTTGCGACAGCCATGGAGAGCTTGGCGCGCAAGATTGGCGACGGTGCACCCAAGGTACGACGCTCTCGAGAGGGTATTATCCTACATATCGCTTTGGGAATGGTAGGTGCGCTGGAACTCGTGCCACGCGCTCGCCAAGATCTTTCAGAGTCCAGAGCTGCCCGTGGCGTCTGCGCCGTGGACGCCCACCGTGTTTGCTGCGCTCCTCGGGGCCATCCAGCAGCAAGACAACTTCAAGGTAGGATTCGGCGTGACGCTCGTATGAATCCCTTGTGTGGCCAGGTGCGGATCAGCGCGACCATGGCGCTTCGCGTGTCCCTCTCCCGCGTCTCGTATGGTGTGTTTTACGAGCCGATTGTGGTTGCGGTCGTCGACACGCTGGACGCCGTCGTCGAGCTCAAGGACATTTGCGAGTTCAAGTACAAGGAACAACTCGAGCTCCAGTTGTCGTTTACGTTGCTGCACTTGGTGGGCGTGGCGCAGTCGCCGGCCGACGAGGCGCTGCTCGGCACCATCTTTTCGCGCCAGTACAAGAATTTTGTCTACGACTGGCTCTACCACCACCAAAACAAGATGGTACGACAATATATATGTCCATGTCGAGCTCAAGGACATTTGCGAGTTCAAGTACAAGGAACAACTCGAGCTCCAGTTGTCGTTTACGTTGCTGCACTTGGTGGGCGTGGCGCAGTCGCCGGCCGACGAGGCGCTGCTCGGCACCATCTTTTCGCGCCAGTACAAGAATTTTGTCTACGACTGGCTCTACCACCACCAAAACAAGATGGTACGACAATATATATGTCCATCTTGAAAAAGGACGACGTGTGCGATGCCTAGTACGCGGCCATCTTTGGGGACGAAGGCGAGGACTGTTGTGGGCCCAGTGACGACGGCCACGAAGTCAACCCGCTGAGCTGCTCGGCGGTCGTGCACGCGTGCGATGTGCTCTACCGCGTCGTCCGCGACCACTGCCCCGCACACGTCGGCGTGCCGTCGGGCAAATCGCCGAAGTCAAGCTCTATTTTCGAGATGGATCTCAACCACCTCGACGGGTTTGAGTTTTGAGTGTGGCATATCGTAACACAAAGCAAGGTTGCCTACAAGGACGTGGTCGTGGTAGTCGCGACGGCCGATGTTTGCCGCAGCGCCACTTGCTCGGACGTCAGCGGCAGGTAGTAGAGCACGGGCTTGGTGGTGGTTTTCCAAAAGAGGTCGTCCATGGTCACGGGCGGGGCTGCGTGCGAGAGTGAGACCTCGCGAGCCGAGATTGCCTTGCTACCTGGGAGCGAGGCGGCCGTCGGCTTGCCCACGGAGGCGACCAGCGTTGGTCTTCGTCGCAGCTCCGGCACGGGGTTCTAGCGTCATATTATCGCCTATACAAAGAGCACGACATGTCGAGAGGCATACCGCCGTTGCGATCGCCTTGGCGGTCGAGACCGCGTAGTCGACCGAGAGGGCCTTGCCGTGGTGGGCCGGCCACACAACACCGTGCAGACGCTGGCGCGTCGCCGTCGCCTACGCTTGCTCCAGTCTTTGTACGCAATGACAGCTGGTCGTACAATCTCGGGGGTCGCAAACGTGACGTAGCAGTGCGTCTTGATGCTGTCGATCCAGAAGCCTTGGTCCTCGACGAAGACGCCGTCGGCCTGCACGAGCGCCTACGGTTATATGGGTTGGTTTTCAGAGCACCAAATGCACAATGATTGCTCTGTACGTGGACAGCTGCACAAAATTGTCGATGCGAAGCGTGCACGACACGGGGTTCCTACATACGGCCCTGTGCAGCGATCGCGGAAGAGGATGCTTGCACGCGTACTTGGCCGGTGGCACGACAGCAGCCGTCTCGTCGACCTTGCGCTTCTTGGCTGGCGGCGCCGCTGTCTCGTCTATTGTTGCATCGGTCGTGGATACTTTGATGTAAAATCCATGTACCGGGGGCCACCGACGACGCAGCAACGTCGGTCGTCGTCGCTGGAATTGCATCGGGCTCTGTGGCCATCGGCTCGTCTGACGTTGTGGTCGCGTCTAGAGAGGCGTCAGATCTGGTGCATGGATTTTTTGGCGTCGTCGTACGGGCATGATCGTCGGCGTTCTCATGGCTCGTCGCGGTAGCCTCGGGCTCGACGGTTGCAGTGGGCTCCAATGGTTTTGAGGGCTCGCTCGCAGCAGAAGGCGCCTCGTTGGCCGGCAACGGCGCTTCTGTTGTAGGAGATGGCACGTCGTCGGCCGGCGCGTCCGTGTTGCAGTCGGACGCAGGAGCCTCTTCGCTCGCCGCAGGCGCATTTGACTCCTATCGCACACCGCTCGTCCGCGCGTGTGTACTGGAGTAGAAATGCGCGCACCTCAAGAAGCGCCACGAGGCGTGCCTTGAGCTCGGCCTAGGCGCGACAACATGGCCTCGCTTCTCGCCGTGTGCGCAAGCACCTACCTTGGTCCCGCGGGTGGCGGCGCCGTGCTTCTGGAGCTCCGCCTGCAGCTTCTTCACCTAGGCGCTGCGTGGGCGGTCCATCCTGGAGGACGAGGTTGCGGGTACCGTCATGCGGTCGATGGCGTCGGTGCTTGGCATCGTCGAGCGAGGTGGAGTGAAATGGAGAGTGCTGCATTTGCACCAATCACCGCACGCCATGCACACGATCACCAATCCCATGCGTTTGTGAGTAATTGCAAGCCACATTATTACCAATGGCATGGCGATTCTATCGTATGCGCTCTTTGATTGGACGAAAAGCATGCGCGATCCAAGATTTCTAGCTGGTCGCCGGGTGAGCGCACCATTTTTCTTCTACCGTGCGCATCGTCCAACGCAGACGAGGGCTCGATGTCGCACAGTACCTACTCTATCATACACGTGTGTTGGTATATGATTTTTGTCTTCAATTCAGACATATTGTACACACGGTCGGCTTGACTAGGAGGCACCGATGTTAATAACTGACGAGTCCACCACCGCCATCCAAGTCAATGAGGCCCGTGACCAGTAAAATGATGAAGGAGGTGGCGGTCGTTGAAGGTACAACGCTGTCGAATAGTACACAAGCGAGCACGGGGCCAAAGTCTCTTGTAGCGTTGACGCCCAGCTGGAACTCCAGAGCCAATTCTCAAACTATCCATGGATCTGTCTGTCTTTCATCATCTATCACTCCGCTCATCGTTCCATGAGAGCCTTCCACATGTCTGATTCAATCCTTATTCTCTGGATATGAAAACAACTCGACAGGTGCGGTCTCAATCCACTGCCACCGTGGTCGTCACCGGGGGCGTGTCTATGTACAAAACGAATTGAAATGTATTTCCACTGTTAGCGTTGCTGCTTACGCCATGGTAGCGGCGGCGAGTACCGCCAGCGCGCTCCAGGTCGCCGAGGCCACCACCGCATTCGAGGTGCCACTGGGCTTGGCGGCTGTCGGCGACCCGTCGTCGTTGTTTTGCGACGTCCCAACCGGTGCCGTGGTCGTCGTCGGTGTCGGCGTCGGTGTCGCTGTCTCGTTCACTACACATCATCATGATGGATTTGCATGGTCGTCCTGGAGCGAGCACGTTCGTACCTGTGGTGGTCGGTGCCAATGTCTCGGTGGCATTCGGTGCCGTCGTCTCGGTGGCGGTCGGTGCCGTCGTCTCGGTTGCGGCCGGCGCTGCCGTGGCGGCAGGTCCCGCGCCCGCTCGAGCGAGCGCCAGAAACACGGGGTACGAAATGCCCGAGATTTGGTCGGACGTGATCACTTTCGGCGCCTTGGTCAAGATGCACGCCGGCGAGATGTTGGCGATGCCGGTCTGCACCGCGCCGTAGACTTTGATGCAGCTCACGTCCTCGGCCATGAGCGCGGCTTGCGCGGCCGTCGCGAGCGCAGGGTACGGCACACCGGTGGGGTCGAGGCCCACGTCGAGTGCGCACTGCAGCACCGAGCCCGACACGGTGAGCACCTCGCTTGTCACTGCCGCCTGGATCTCGTTGGTCGAGCACAGCTCTTGCGCATACGTCATAACGAGCGCCGAGAGGAGAAGCGAGAGCTGCATGGTGCTGCGAAGGAATGCAAAGTTGAAATGGCCTTTTGATCAGCGATCGCGAAAGCTTCGATTTTGGAAGGTGCTTGCTGAGCATCGAAATCGAAGAAGGTGCTTCTCGCCTTTCTCGCAACCTGCGCCTGCTGCCTTTTGGTCGTTTGGCACGGGACGATAAGCACAGCTCTGACCTCGAGAAGCAGACAGCTGTGTACATCGACGCATACCAGGTACTGATGCCCGCTTGTACGATTCGCGCTGGAAGAGTACGTACGTCCATATACTGTAAAGTCGGCACTGTTTCGCCTGGAGTGACAGAGTATGGAGGGTAGCGGTAAACACGTCAAAGCAAGGACTTACAAGGAAATGTCCTGGCCAAAGCCACGCTTTCTCTTGGGCTGCTGCTTGGGAATCGTTCTCAGATATACCCGCTCCCAATGTTGGTTGACCATCATCCTCCCGCACATGGGACAAGCGGCGGCTACTCGACATCTCGCCCCAAGGCTTCCGAGGGTCGCTTCAGGGAGCGGTCACGGCTTCCTCGTCCATGGGTTAACTATCGAAGTAGTGCCTGCTAGCAATGAATGCATGGCCCACGACAAGCATGTGACACGACAAAATGTGGGGCTTGGACTCCACAGCCTTCGCTGCCAGCACGTGGGCATCAAGTCGTTTCTTTATCTCCAGCTGCTGTCAAGTCTTCAATTGGGATTACGAAAGGTTTTATTTTGAAAATATAAAGTGGTGAAGTAAAGTGGAATGGATCAAACGTGGGTCATTTAGACCGTAGCAGCAGCAACGATCGCAAGTGCGGCGAGCGTCGGGACAAGGATCGACGCCGACGACGTGGCCTTGGGGGTCGTCGTCGTCGGAGCCGGCGTCGCGCTCGTCGACGGGGTCTTGGTCACAACCGTGTCCGTGATGGGCGTCACCGTCGAGTAAACCGGTACGGTGGTCGAGTTAACCGGTGCGGTGGTCGAGTTGCCCGGCACCAATGTCGAGTTGCCCGGAGCAACGGTCGTGGTACCGGGCGCGGTCGTCGAGCTACTGGGTGCAGCAGTCGAGTTGCCGGTCGGTGCCGTCGTCGTCGACGGCTTGGTTGTCGTCGTACCCGGCGCACCGGTCGTCGTGCCTTGGAGGGCCGTGACGTAATCCTTATACGATACGGACGAGATTTGTGCCGACGTGACAGGCACAGGGCTCGTCACCAAGTAGCACGCGGGCGAGATCTTGGCGATCGCCGACTGAATGCTGGTGTAGAACGCCGCACAACTCGAGCTCTGGAGGAGCGCGTTGACTTGGGCAGGCGTCACGTTGGCCGGCACGGGAACGGCCTCGATCGAGAGCCCCGTGTCCTTGGCGCACTGGTGGAGCGTCGTCGCCGACGTGAGCGCAACCGGCGTGATGGCTGCGATGAGGTCGGCGTCCGAGCACATGTGGTTGATCGGCGTGCTTTGGGCGGTCGTCGAGGCCGCCATAGCACAAAGGATGAAAGTAGTGATCGCCTGCATGGGTGCGTAGGATGTGGCCAAAACAAAAATGATGAACCACCCATTTGGCGCGCCCGAACGAAAAGTATCTTTTTTATCACGCCGCCTTTCTGCGACACGCCAACGCATATCGCTCGATGACACCCATGCTATTGTGCCGAATCGCGCACACGACACTGTGCCGTGTACCAGTGGCCGTGTACTGTGTAGCCGTCGCGCTCGATGGGTCGATGTGGCTTATATTGCTTGTTCGCAAAGTGCAAACTCCAAACGGCAAACTCGACGATGGCACCACGACAGTGACGCAGCTGCCGCCTGCTTGTGAACCCAGCGATCACGTACACAATAGATACGACGTAGATTCAGCGACGCCACGTGATTGCGAAGCGGCGGCGGTGCGTAGGCGGTGCTTCAAGGATCGGTGTTCTTGAAGGCCGCGTGGCAGGCTTCTTCAAACTTTCATCGCCTCTTGGTTGCGTGCGGCAAATTTTGTCCAAGCGTCCAACTCGCACGGCAAGGACTCGTAGTATTGTACAGGTGGCGAATCATGGAAACATCCAGTGACGAATAGTATATGCATCGTGCATGTTGATGAAAGACAGTGGGTCTCCTTAGACCATGGCCAGCATAGTGACGGCACACAGTAGCGTGATGCTCGACGCCAACTGCATCGGGCTCGAGCTCACTCTCGTCGGCGTCGGCGTTGCATTCGATGTGCTTGGCACGGTCGGCGTCACGGTCGTCGTCGCGGCAATGGTTGTCGGTGCGTCCGTCGTTGCATTGGCATCGGTGGCGTTGGCAGTGGGTGACACCGTGACGACCGCGGTTGCGTTGGTCGTCGAGTTGGAACTGCTCGACGACGACGACAAGAGCAGCGTCACAAACTCGGTGGTCGAGAGGCTTGATACATCGGCCGTCGTCACGACACTTGGCGACGTCTGAAGCGCGCAGAGAGGCGAAATCGCAGCAATGGCGTCTGCTACGCTGCTCGCAAAGGACATGCAGTTGGTGTCGGCGAGGAAGGCAGCCAGCTGCGTCGACGTGATCGGCGACGAGCTAGCAATACTCGCAATCGAAAGCCCCGTGGTCGTCGAGCATTGCGTGAGCGCGGTCGCCGCCGAGAAGAGCACGGGTGCGACGGCCGTCTGGAGGACGCTGGACGAGCACGCTGTCGTCGCCTCGGTGGTCGCCATTGTCGAAGCAATCGCAGTCGTAGCAATCAGAAGCGGAGCCAAGCCGTGCATGTTGGTGGTGCCTTGGATGGTGCTGGAACGTGGGGAATGCGGGAATGAGCACTGCTGTCGTTGTGGTTGAATCGAGAAGCTCTCCCTGTCTTGGTCGCAAATGCTTGCAATGGTTGAGGAAACAAATAGGCGAGTATCCAACTGCCAAATGACAACTGGAATCCATCCAACGCTCGACACCATAATGTGAATATATATTTGTGTCCCAGAGAAATATATTTGTCTGTTGGCCACGTCATCATCGGCTGACGGCAAACTCGATATTCCAACCACGGCCGTGTACCAGAGAGGCTTTCGCAACAACCGGACATTTTTTGTCGGCTTTGCTAGGTCCTTCGACCTTTTGTGGCTCAATGCGACCTGCGACATCCGATCCACAAAGCTGCACGCTGAGCGACACGACTCCCTCGGCGAAAAATATGTTCTAATGAATCAATTGAGTTTCATTTGACGCCAAGAATGCCGACATGTGGCGCACCAACTCTCGTTTACGTACGTGGTCGTCCGATGAGCTAGCCTCAAGACGTTTGTGTGCCCCAGCACGGGCGCAATGACGCGCTGCAATGGGGTGCCGCACATCGACAGTTTCGTTGCACGCAGCAACTGCCACGTCATCCTGTCCGTGGCAGTGCCACGTCATGGAGCCCAATTTTGTGGCCGCGGTCGTGGCTAGCCACACGCAAGCGCAACTCGAAGTCAGGGCCACAAATGCAGTTGGTGGGCGTGCTCTTGCAGCGTATTGTGCCACGTCACATGGTTACGGTTGACACATTTCCCATGTCCACGCCACAAAATGATAGAATATCAAGGTTTCCATTCGCCCTAGGCAACCATGGCCACTTGTACTTGATCACAAATGGCCGTGAGCTCTGTGCACGCGGCACCAATCGTCGCCAACAGCGGCGCAAGGGGTTCCTTCTTGAGCGCTTGCAGAAGCCGGAGCACGCGCACGACCTCTGCGAGCACGTCATCCTGTGGTGCCCCTGCCGCGACCTCGAGATGGCTCTGGATCGTGTTGAACACCAAGCACCTAGCAGACAGCAAGCTCAGGCATTCCATCAATGTCGTCATCATCCGCATCATCGCCATCCTACCGCAAGAGGCCGAGCACGACATCGTCGACATGCTGTGGCATGCGCACCCAAGCGTGGACGACGACCAAGCGCAGCGTTTCGAGCGCATCGAGCGTCAGTAGCTTGTTCTCGAGACAAGCCAAGAGCACGGTCAGGATCGACGGAAGGTACTGCACGATCTGCACGCTGTGGGGCGCCCCCATCGCAACGATCCACGGCCGCAAGCCAATGACATATACGCGCTTCATGGTCACGTCCGAGGTCATGTCCCAGGACCGCAGTAGCGTCGGAAAGAACCGGTCGTAGCTTGTGATCTCGTGGGCCACGGACGTCACCGCCAACGTGTCGGCGAGGCAGCGCAGCGTGGCTTGCAGAAAGGACGCGTCGCTCATCGCAATCTTGAGGGTTTCGTACAGCATGTGCAGCACAATGTCGCTGTGCCAGCGGACGTCCGTGGGCGTGGCCTCGGTAACGACGTGCTGGAGGACGTCGACGCCAATGCGCTGAACCGACACGATGGTTTGGTCGAGCAGCGGCAGTGCGAGCGCGAGCGTGCGGCCGACGACGTCGTGGTCGAGCGCCGGAGAGACCAAGTGCTGCACGAGGAACCGAAAAGCATAGGGTGCTGGGCAGCCCGCGCGCACCCACGTCTCCTTCCGGCACTTGGTTCCTAGGACCGACAGCGCGCGCTTGCAGTGCCTATCGGATCGCGTCTGGTATGAGAAGCCATTGAGATGCGAGGGCACGAGTACATAACGACAAGCTCGTCGCACGAGGGCGGGGCGAGGCCGCGGCGCCACCCAACGTGCGCGCAGGCCGCATGAAGGAGCGCTTCCGCTTGCGCATGCGCTTTGGGTGTATGCCACGGCGCGTCGTTGCACAGAAAATGGCTGCACGCGAGCAGCAACGTTGGCAGCCACTTGGCCGAGTCGCGCGGGGCAGGCAATGATGTCATGAAGGCCGCGTCGAGCCGCGCAAGAATGCGGCTGCACTGAAAGATGGGATGCACGATGCTTGCGAGGAACGCAGGTGTGAGCGCGTCGGCGTCGGCTACGAGCGTGGTTTGTAGCAAGAGGTCCGCCGTGTCGGCCCACAGCGCGTCCATCTCGCCGAGCGACGCCTCGACATGGAGCTCGGGCTGCTGCTCATACCGGGCGAGCGCATCTTCGGCTGCCGCTTCGAGCACGATGGAGCCGCCGGCAAAGACGGCAGCTTGGAGCGGCGCCACACACTCGGCTCGGAAGGCCGCGACAAGGTGGCCATGTTCCATGGTCGGTATCCTCTGGACATTGATATTGCACATCAATTATTGGAGGTCATGGGGCCGCCGCCGCACGGCCAAGCATCAAGAACGCCCGACCGGCGACCTCGACGCGTATGTGTACGGCAGGGTCGTGTAGCACCATCAATGGCGCTTCGGCTAGGCTAGGTAGGGCCAGCGTAGCGCTAGCCACCGACGGCGAGGCTCGGTTCAATACAGACCTTGTCGCCATCACTCGCATCTGTTTTTGAAACAACCTGCGAGGCGATGACATGTTAACGTCGCAAGGCGTCGATACGAGGCTAGCGGTGCCGCTGTGGGTTGCAAGACCGACAGTGATATCAAGGCAAGACGAGGAGTGTTGAGATATCGCAGGATTTAAATTCCATTAATAGTTTCCTCCCTTAAGTTGTCGAAATCAGCTCCCCTACACGGCTTTATAGGCCGAGAGGGTATCCGGTACGAGGCAAAGCTAGCAACATTTAGTAGTAGATCTGCATGGCGGGGCCCATGGTCGACTTGAGGTAGAGGACCTTGATGTTCTGCCAGTTCTTCTTGAGGAGCGAGGCGAGGAAGTTGGCAGCCAACTGGGTGTTGACAATGATCTCTTCCTTGGTCTGGCCGACGTGGGCGACGGCGAGGTTGAGGCAGAGCACCTTCTTCATCTGGAACTTGATCGTGGCGCGGACGGCGTTGGCCTTGTCGTTGATGTCCTCACCCGACGTGATGAGCGTGGGGAACTTGCCGGCCTTGTTGAGCGAGGGACCGAGCAGACGCGGGATCTGCTTGATGAGGGTGTCGGAGGCAAGGAAGGCATCGTACTTCTTGGCGAACTTCTTGATGACCTTCTTGTTCTTGTTGAACTTCTTGAGGTCATCGACCGTCATGAACTCAAAGCCGTTCTTCTCGGCGAGCTCGCAGTGCACGGCGTTACCGATGATGCAGATCTTGAGGTTCGGCTTCGGGACCGTCGGGAGCTTGAACGTGCCCGAGAAACGCTTGTCCTTCGTCGGGTCGTAGTTCTTGAGGCGATCTGGAGTTCGATCGTCTCGTGGAAGTTGCGCTTCTTGCCCTTGACGTCATCGTTGCCGACCTTGATCGTCTCACCGGCCGAGAAGGCGAGGATGTCTTCGACGGCCTTGGCCAAAAGCTCCGAGTTCAACTTGCTCATACTTTACTGTGTCGCTGGAACAACGATAAAGGGGAAATACTACGGCGTGGCACATGACACACCATCGCCACCAGCCATGTCCAGCCAACACTTTTTGGCCAATGGCCTTGCGCCATGCACTGCCTCCGCCAATGGCATCGCGCAAAAGTCGGATTTTTGCACCCACCAATCCTGGCCCGAGGCTAATTGCACGCAATTGACAGCGCCGGATTGCGGCTTGCTGGCCGGCATCCCACGTCGATGCCAACGACGAACACGGCGCATGGACGCACGAAGCCGACGGGCAAGGCCAAGGACGATGCGGGCACAGCGCTTCGCTAGAGCGCGTGGGCGCGTGATGGCAGGACGCGGAGCCCAATGGCCGACAGCGTGGTCTCGCCGCCTCTACGATGCCAATCACTTGCGACGGACGACTTTTCACTGCACACGTAGGCGCGCTGGCGTATATGCGTAAGGCGGATACGGTGCGCGCTCGCGCGATGCCACTGGATCGCGCATCGTGTTGCCGTGCCGACTTGTACAGGTCAGCGAGATCGCTATCGGACTTGTATCTCACGATGGCTCTGCTCTGGGAGGGCATTGCAGCAGCCAAGCGGATGCGCCTGGAAGGCTGCAGCAGAGTAGCGTGGTGGCCGCGACCTCGTCACAGCGAACTTGTTGGACGTTTTCTCCTGCGTCAGCGTTGCGGGCGACCGTCGTGGCCTGATACAGCAAGGCGATTGCATGGCGGCTGCACGTAAGCACGCAATGCGCACACATACAATCGTTGCTCCTCCAAATGGACTCAACGCGCCATCGATGCCGGCGCTTCAACGTACCGGACACGCTCGCGCCAACGCCTCGTGCCCACGCTCTCTCTGTCCATCGATGGTTGCGACTCGGTTGGAGCTGTAGACGCACGCCACGTCTGTCTTTGCGAGCAATTTGCTAGTATGGCGATCTGCCCTTGCCTGTAGTGCTACCAGGAACGTACCAGGATCCTTGTCGACGCCATACCAATGAAGCTCTTGCGCTGGACGCAATGGAAGGGTACAGGAGTCCACCATGGGAGTCCACGGACCCTCGCAACTTCATCACGAATAGTGTTCCATGCGGAGCGTGTGCTAGGAGTTTAGGAAACGAAAACGGCATATTTGATCCGTCCTTTAGAAGTTTTCCGAAAATGACTGACAAGCACGGATTGTTGTGCCATACTAGTATATCTTTCTTGCGTCGATCAAGGATCAACCAACAGTTTATCAACCCGTGCGTCGATGGACTCACACCGGTCGACCGCGCAAAGATGATGAGCAAGTGCGTCGGTTAGAACGCGTGCCACGTGGGTCGAGCATCGATCGCTGGCGTGGACTAGGTTCCTTTGTGTTCCGCAGCCTTTGGCGACCACCGTTAAAATGCGTCAAAGCACATCTCCGCAGCCGTACTACGATGAATGGAGCCGCTCACGTTTCGCCACGCGTGCTAACGAACGTCGTGGTATCGTCCGTCGCGGTCTCCGTGCTCTGTGGTACATGCTCACGTCGACATTCGGGTTGCTCAAGGGCGGCAAGCTATCGCCGTCCCTCGAGTCGTACTGGAACCGCATCCAGCTCCCCACCTTCTTCCTCACCCTAGCCTACGTCGTCTGCGAGTTACGGCACCCTTCTCGGCCACCATGCGCGTCTACGCTGGCATTCCCGCGCTTTTTTCTGTCTCGATCATGAGCGTCTCGTACCTTGAGGTCATCCCCACCGTCGGATACCTCCTCCCGATGATGCGCCGCATGCTTGCCGACGTCTTTCTCTACTTGGCCTTCTACTTTCCGATTCAGTGCGCGTACGCAAGTGCGTACTACCTCCTCTTCAAGAGCCAAGGCGGGAACCTCAAGCCGTACGAGCCCGACCCAAAGTTTCTGGACAGCGCTCGCCAATGCCAACAATGCGACCAACGGAACGCTAAAGCTCCTTGCGACTATTCCCAAGAATAAGGACAAGCTTGTTACATAGCTACGAAACCGTGCCCTGATGCTGTCTTCACTTACACAGCGAGCGTACACAGCGACAGCCCACAGTGACCGACCTTTCACGCCTGGACGCAACGCGCTGTAAAGTAGCAACACGAGGCGGTGCGTCTGCTGATCGGGTGCATTTCACGGGTCGCGCACTGTGCCAACTGCGTTCGGAAGCATACTATGCTGACGACGAAGCCGTAGCCCACGGTCCATACAAATCGTTCATAAAATGATCGACCCTCGAGTAGCCTTTCCGCGTATTACTATGATCAACGTTCTATTGTCGATTGGCACAAGAACGCGCACTGAACACGGACTTGAAGTCGTTGAATCAATGACCACAATCCTGTGCAACACAGAAGCCTTTTTTAAGGATCCGTGCGGGGTCGCTGCACTGTACCACTGGGCTGGCAGCGGGTCGCATGTGTGGTGCATGCACCGATGCGCGCACATCATTTAGTGACATGACATATCTACCACAACTACATGTCGTCGACTAATAAAACTCGTCGGGAGGGTAAAACCATAATTCTGCGCGGAACAATAGGATCGGCGCGGTTGGCGCGAAATTCAGGAACAGCTGCTTCAGGCGACGTCATAGTTGGAGTGCTACAATCGAGTGCAGGCCACATGGCGATTGCTCTTGACGCAACGCGAGGCTGGAAATGATTAGCGTTCAGCACATGATATCTGGATCAGAGAGACCTGTGGACCAGAGACAGTGCATGACGATGCGGCTTGCGAGCGAGCTACACGGCAAGGAAGATGCGGTGGAACACAACACATTTTCAAGTGGCAAATGTGTCGACGTACTGGTTGCGTAAGGACCTCGCTCCTCGAGGTTCATCAACGTCCGTGCGCCATGGTGCAATCGTTGATGGTGGGACCTAGAAATTGTACTTGACCGATTACAAACCTAAACACTCCAGAGTGCTGCAAGGCTCCATCGATTCAAGGAGCTGGCGACACGATCCCGTTTACGATTTGTTCCATTTGTTGAACTGATCGCGCTTCGTGCCGTGGAAACTGGACGGCGACGTGTTGGCTTGCAGGTCGTCGCTCACAATTCTTTTGGCTCAACGACCGCACCATGGACGACGGCCCTCCGTACCACCGCCACCAGCCATCGAGATCCGCACGCCACACGATGGTTGAAGCAACCAACAATGTGGACGCTGGGACCTCCGATGCACCAAGCGTTCACGACGGTCACCACCTCACGGCGCTGGCACGCGCGCTCGAGCCAACGCGCAAGTTGGACGATACGCCAAAGGAAGTATACGACGACCGCATCGAAAGTCTCAGGGCAGTGGGCAAGCAGTTCGACGAGTGCTTGACGAAGGGTACGCGCTCGGAGCGTGTGAAAAAGGTGCCTTGCCCTCTGCTGGGACGAGAAGGCGTCATGCATGCTATGACGTAGGTCGAAGACATCTACCTGTACATGTACGAGCAAGAAGGCGAAAAGGGCTTTAGCGAACGCAAGGAGTCTCTGCGCAAAACGCCGCTCTACCTCCTTCTCCACGCTGACCGGTACGACCCGCCCAAGACGCAACCGAGCGGCGCCGAAGTGAACCAGGCAACGGACGTTGCACTCGGCAAGTTTGAGATGAACGACATCAAGACCCGCAAGAAGAAGCTCCTCGACCACCCGGTGATGCGCGTCGTCATCACACTCAAGTGGCGGGTAGTTTTTCAATGTTGCGCCGCATGCAACCAACTCATCGCTTGAGTAGGCGTTTGGCTTGCGCATGTACTGCGAACAACGCCTCATGTTTTGGCTCCTCCTCGTCACGATGACCACGTCGGTCTCGATCGGCCTTGGCGTCCTGCCCGAGCCGACGTACGACGACCTTTTCATTGGCTGGCTCACGGCCTGCTCGCTCCTCCTCATTGGGGTCGTTGCAACGCGCTTCTTGACATGGAAGAACAAGAAGCCGTGGGCGTGCACGTTGGCAGTCGTCCTCGCTGGTGTCGGCGGTGGCCTCCAGTATGTGTACGAGCCACTTCAAGAGCGATTGAGCTGGACGTCGTTTGGACGCCTCAACAACATCTTGCTCAGTCTCTGCGCCATCTACTTTTGCGTCTTTGAGATCCGCGAGCTCGCGGCCGACATTGACGATCCCGACTCGGTCAAGGCGACCAAACGCCGCTCGAATGGCCAGACCAGTATCTCGTCCAACCAGTCCGCCACAGGTACCCATGGGTCCAATACCTCGCTCAACCCGTCGACCGGAAGCACCCGTGGGCGCGAGCTCGAAGAAAATCACACTTCGTCGTGCATGGAAGCGCTCGAGAGTTCTTGGACGTGGGCATTGGAGCACTCAAGAGTCCTTGGACGTATGCTCCACCACTACTGCATCCACGCCCCGATCCATGGCATCAAATGCGCGATCGACTTGCTCCGCGGCAAGAGCACGTCGCCGTACCTCGAGTCGTACTGGAACCGCATCCAGTTCCCGACCTTCTTTGCCGTCTTCGTCTGCGCCGTCTGTGAGTTGACAGTGCCGCTCACTGACGACATGCGGACGTTTGCAAGTATCCCCGCGCTCTTCTTGCTCTGGGTCATGTGCGTCCAGAACCTCGAGGTCTTTAGCAACATCTCGTACCTCCTCCCGATGATGCGGCGCATGCTCACGGACGTGGTCAGTTTTTGGTCTTTTTCTGGTCGATCCAGTGCGGCTACACGTGTGCGTACTACCTCCTCTTCAAGAGCCAAGGCAACGACCCCGTCTTTGCGCCGTACGCGACCGTGCCGCAGTGCTTTGTGACCACGTACCTCGTCACGTTTGCGCAGATCAATCTCGAGCCGTTCAAGGCGCTCACGTCGCCCGTCCAGTACATCCTCGGCTACCTTCTGCTGCTGACGCACGCAACCATCTCGATCGTCATGCTGCTCAACGTGCTCATTGCGATGATGAACAAGACGATGGGCAACTACTTGGAAGAGGCCAAGCACGAGGCCCGCGTGACCTTTGCCGAGTGCGTGCTCCGAATGGAGAAGACCAAGACGTTTGGGACGACAAAAGACGACTTGAAGGCGGTCATTATCAAGGGCGACGTACCAACTGACACGGTCAACGAGAAGATTGAAACGCTCCTCGAACGCATGTGTCGCTTCCGCAACGCGGGCCATGTCACCGGCAGCAACCTCGAATTCCTCCACGCCCGCGTCGGCGACGTCTTCAATCAGGCGCGATACGTTGATTTCTTCGATGTGGTTTAAGCGGGCAACATCGATTTTCACATGGCTTCTTCGCTCAAAAGGTGCGAGGCCTGCATTACCGCTTCACCTCGGGTGAGACGTGGCGGGCTACTTAGCGGAGATCGGAAACTAAAATGCTAGGCTCTGCCGACCAGATGTTGGTTTCGCGGAGCTTGAAAAATCCGTTTCGACTCCTTGCAGGCGCGAAATACCCATATTTTGAAGCTCAACGCCGTCCCGAGAAGTGCCCTGTTGTTTCAAGAGCGTCGAGCGAGTTGAGAGAGTCTCTAATTGGTCAGATCGGCCGAGTCGCCGGTGTGCGGATAGAGGTGCTGTCGCCGGTGATCAGTACAGAAGAGCTCGAGGTGGCGTTCCTGGTCCCGGCTTTCCTGGTCCTGGCTCTCGCTGGAGCAGGCCACGGCGCTCCTGGCGTGCTCCACCTGCGCCCACCGCCAGGCGTCATCAGCTTTGCCCACAAGTTCGACCCCGCGTTGCGATGGGCATGGGCAGAGGCGCAAGCACGGGCACGAGAGCAGGCGCGTCGAGCGCGATCGACATGTCAAGCTGGTCGAGAGCCGCCACCGTAGCCGATGGCTTCGTGGCTGGCTTTTTCAGCAGCGTCTGCTGGTGCTGCAGACGTGTGTGCGGGCCGTTTCGTGCTATGAGACTATTAGATTTAACTCGACTGGGTTTTCGAAAGAGCTGTATTGCCCTTTGAGATTGCCCTTTGAGATTGCCATTTGAGATTGCGTGACCAAGAGTAGTAAGCACCCGAGCACGTAGGCAGCCGGCGACTCGAAGGCTTTGAATGACTCGAGATTGATCAGCGCAAAGACGGGGAGGTACGTTGATATTATAGCTTTCGGGCAGCGAGTTGTACGGGTTGAGGGTCTCGCCTTGAAGAGGAGGTCGTACGCACACATGTACGTACTAGATCGACCAGTAAAACTCGAAAAAGCCGTACACATCGGCCATCCTGCGGCGCATCGTCGGAAGGAGGTACGAGATCGAGCCAAAGACTTCAATATGCTGGACACGCAGAGCAAGACGACGGTCGCAATCCCCGTGTGGATGCGCATGTTGGTCGAAAGCGGTGCCGTGCAAGCTGTCGATGGCGCACGCCGGTCGGTGACTGGCTCGCGTAGTCGATGCGAAATGAACAATCGACACGTTATTGTTTCGGTTCCAACGACAACTGCACTATATCAATGATAGAAATGGATGTCATGCTTTTTATGACGGTACAGTTAGACACGCTTCTGGAGGTCGTCGACGTTGGTGCCAAGTGACGCGAGCGCGTCAAGCACCGCGCCACTCTCCCGTTTTTCGTTGTCGTCGGCGTGCATGAGCTCTTCGTAGAGGATGTCGACCATGTCCATGTCGAGGCTGCCCCAGTACGCCTCGGATGTCGACGTCGTCGTCTTCTCCATACGCAGAACGCACTCGGCAAAGGTCACGCACGCCTCGAGCTTGGCTTCGTCCATGTGCGCACCCATCGTCTTGTCCATCATCGCAATGAGCACGTTGAGGAGCATCACAATCACGATCGTCGCGTGCGTGACCAAGAGAAGGTACCCGAGCACGTACGCGGCTGGCGACGCGAGCTGGTCGAACGGCTCCATGTTGATCTGCGCAAACGTCACAAGGTACGTGGTGACAAAACTCTTGGGCACGGTTTCGTAGCCTTGGAAGATGTCGTTCTTGTCCTTGGTCTTGAGGACCTCGAGGAGAGCCAATGTAGCCTCGGACGTGACATTGGCGCTCGGAAAGATCACACTGAGCGAGCTGATGAAGCCTCCCGTATACAAGAAATGAGCCTTGTACGGCTTGAGGTTCTCGCCTTGGCTCTTGAAGAGGAGGTAGTACGCGCAAGCGTAGCCGCACTGGATCGGGAGATAGAACGCCAAGTAGCGGAAGACGTCGGTAAGCATGCGGCGCATCATCGGAAGGAGGTACCCGACATCGCGAAAGGCTTCGAGGTACTGGACGCACATGAGGCAGAGCAAAAAGATCGTGGGGATGCCAGCGTAAACAAGCGTGTCTTCTGGGAACGGGGACGTCAGCTCGCAGACGGCGTAGACGAGGACGAGCACGAAGAGCGGCAGCTGGATGCGGTTCCAGTACGACTCGAGGTACGGCGACGACGTCTTGGCGAAGACGAGCTTGAAGATCGACGTGACAACGTGGCTCGGGAGATGGAAAAAGCACCGGCACAGGAGCGAGTCGCCGACGGGGCAGTCGGCCGCGAGCTCGCGGAGCTCGAAGATGCAAAAGTAGACGGCGCAGAGACTGAGGACGATGTTGCTCGACTTGATGAGAAACGTGTCCAATGGGACGAGGGTGTTGAAGCTCAGGACGACTCTTTCGGCATCCAGGCTGAAGAACGCGCCGCACAAGGCAAGCACAAGAATCACGTAGCCGCACACCTTTTTGTTGTGCCACGTCATGAAGCGCGTGACGAGCAGCGACAAAGGCAGCACCGTGATGCCAACAAGCCAGAAGGACACGACTTGAATGAAGGCCGCTTCGGCGTCCTTTTGGGATTCGATCTTCTGGAAGGTCAGGAGGGAGCACGTGAGCGACACCGTGAGCGCCAAGAGGAGAAGCAAGTGCACGAGAATCTGCTCGGTATACTTGCGAAGCCCAAACGCCTACGTATTATACAGCTTTGTTGTTGGCGTGCAGCGGAAATGGATCAAACCCGCCACTTGAGAAGCACGAGAAGGCGCATGACGGGGCGCTGCACCAGCTTCTTCTTCTCGTATTCGATCGCATCGCGGTCCCACTCGGCCATGCCGGCGAACGTGTCGTCGTTGTGCAGCAGCGAAAACAGCATCGAGTCCCGCACCTTGGTGCGCAAGGCTTTGCCGATCTATTCCGATCGAGTCCGAGATATAACACGTCAGTGCAAGTTGGCTCGATCGATACCCAGTCGTCTTCTTCTCGCCACGCATCGAGTTGGGCGGTAAGCTTTTCGAGCTGGCGGAGCTGTTGTGCCTTGGCTGTTGTGCCTTGGCGGCTTCTTGTTGGAGCGATGTCCGGTCTCTCTCGTCCGGCGCCGTCTCGACCGTGACACCGATCTCGTCACGGCGCCGGTTGCTGAAATGCGTATTGGCGTCGTTGGAGCTGTTGCGCATGATGCTTAACTCAAAATGATAAACGGCAAGTGGGATCGCGTCCGGATTGACTCATTGCACAACGTTGTTGGCTCGGAAAAGGCTCGGAAGAGACGTCCGAACTGTTCGCTTGAAAGGTACCACATGCTAGCAATCTTGGCTACTGTACATCTCCTCGATCCTTCGACGTTTACTGGCCCCTTGGGTCAAGACGTGGGTGCGAAACGAGGGCCCTTGGCGCGCAACGTCGGTAAGAGGAGCCAAAGGGAAAGTTGGCAGCAAGTCCATTTATGGCACGCGATCGCCTTGCAGGCCTCCAAGCAAGGCTGGTTGGGCTCCCAACGATGGAGGTATACTGCTGTTGCCGATGGGAGTCGGCGAGATATCATGTGTCTGGACCTGTTTTTTGGACTGTCCAAAAACGGCTTGGCCGTTGGACGTTTATCGTTCGTACAGTCTCTTGAACAAGATCAATGGAGACTATATAACCAAGAATGCACTTGGTCGTGTGCACTCGGTTGAGGAACGAGGCAGGTGGCGACGCGACCGTGGACGCTTGTTGTCACTGGGCACAGCCGTCCGTTGCAACAGCTGGTGTAGCGCACCACCTGTTTTGGTTTGCACATGATTGCGGCACCCATATCACACGACCACATGCTAGTGCAGCGTACTGTACGCGTGAGCCTCATTGACACCACCCGCGCGCAGAGTCGAGTCGCTCGCTCTTGAGCTCGGCGGAAGAAGATCGTTGCGCGTGGCAGAGCATCGCCGTCCATGGTCGTCGTTGTTTGTGCGATTCTAGTGCCACACGACATGCCACGCACGTCAATGGTAAAGACAGTAGCTGGTTGTATGGAATGCAGTTACCCGTATCTTCAGCTTTGCAGGATCCAATGCCACGCGCCTCCACAACGTCGTGCAAAGTTCAGATCCCTTCTACCGCAAAAACGTCCTCGAGTGCGACGAGTTGATTCACTTTCGGATTCACGGACTGCCATGCACTACATCTCGGACGCAGCCGACGGCGCGACGCACCCTTGCTACCGCCACCAAGACACGGTTGGCGTCGTGCTCGAGATGACGCCGAGCGAGCCGTCGACGACGTACAGGGTCTCGCGGACGCCGCGAAGCGACCACTCGGACGGTGACGAACAGCACGAGCAGTCGCCGTCCGGGAGACGACGTGGCGACGACGATGACACGAACCGGTCGACGGTCCGCCACACGAAACGGCAGCAGGAGCGGATGCAAAAGCTACAGCAGCTTGAGAGCATCGCGTCCACTTTGGACGACTGGAAGGCCGATGTCTCGCAGGTAGAGAGTCCAATAACGTTCGTTAGGTTGAATCAGCACATGATTAGGCGGCCACCGCGTTCGCGGCCCAGGTACGCGACTCGATGCTCTTCAAGCTGCTACATCAAGACTCGTCCGACAATTTATTGCCGTGGGATCTGGATGCGATCGAGAACGCAAAGAAGCGGCTGCTGCGGCACGTCGTGATGCGCCTTATCGTGCTTCTCAAGTGGCGGGTACGGCTGATGCCATCCTTTCCGTGACGCCAGAGCCTGTCCTGACATCGATGTAGGCCTTTGGGCTGCGCATGTATTGCGAACAGCTTCTCATGCACGGCCTCCTCCTCCTCACGTTCACTGTCTCCCTCGTCATTGGATTTGGCATCGATACCGCGACCAGCGCCGAGCTCGATCAAGTGCTCATCGGGTGGCTTGTCTGCATGTCCATTTTTTGGTGTCGCTTCTCGTGGCGCGCTTCGTGACGTGGAAGTACAAGGCGGTCTGCGCCTGCATCGTGCTCATCGTCGGGGGCGGCACGATCACCGGACTTCTACTAAAGTACGACGACGTCCAGCCGCTCTGCATTTCGACGGCGACGATCAACACGACGATGGACGGCGAGGACAAAAAGGGCCGGTTCAGCGAGCGCTTTGTCGCGCTCAACAATGCACTGCTCGGTCTCTCGGCTCTCTACTTTTGTGTCTTTGAGTCGCGCGAGTTTGCCGCTGACATGCTCGACGACGACGAACCTCGCGGCTTCGTCCATCGCGGTCTCCGTGCTCTGAGGTACATGCTCACGTCGACCTTCGCGTTGCTCAAGGGCGGCAAGCCAACGCCGTACCTCGAGTCGTACTGGAACCGCATCCAGCTCCCCACCTTCTTCCTTATCCTCATCTACGTCGTCTGCGAGTTTACGGCACCCTTCTCGGCCACCATGCGCGTCTACGCTGGCATTCCCGCGCTTTTTTTGGTCTGGGTCATGAGCGTCTCGTACCTTGAGGTCATCCCCGCCGTCGGGTACCTCCTCCCGATGATGCGCCGCATGCTGGCCGACGTCTTTCGCTACTTGGCCTTCTACTTTCCGATCCAGTGCGCGTACACATGTGCGTACTACCTCCTCTTCAAGAGCCAAGGCTACTACCTCAAGCCGTATGAGCCCGACCAAACATTTTTCGACAAGTTTAGCCAGTCCCTTGGCTCAGTCTTTCCCGGTACCAACAACGAGACCGAGGCTACATTTGCTCTCCTCGCGATCCTCAAGAATAAGGACCCGAACGAAATGTTCAAAGGCTACGAAAGCGTGCCCAAGAGCTTCCTCACCACGTACCTCGTGACGTTTGCGCAGATCAATATGGAGCCGTTCGAACAGCTCGGGACGACGGCGTCGTCCGTGCTCGGCTACTTTCTCGTGCTGACGCACGCGACGATCGTGATTGTGATGCTCCTCAACGTGCTCATTGCGATGCTGAACAAGACGATGGGTGCCCACATGGACGAAGCCAAGCTCGAGGCGTGCGTGACCTTTGCCGAGTGCGTTCTGCGTATGGAGAAGACGTCGGCAACGTCCAAGCAGCGCGGCGTGACGTGCAACGCGGTGGAGGTCGGGCGTCTCTTCCACGACCTGTTGCGCGCCGACGCCAACGAGAAGAATGAGGACAGCGCCGTGCTCCGTGCGATTGCGACCATTAGCTCCACCGTCGAAAGCATCCAAAAACATGCCAAGAAGGCTTAAAAGCTGTGCACTAATAACGATCCGGTGGTTGATTATGGGTCGTTTGGTTGATGAACGTTGGGCATGGCGATGTCTGTACAGGGCCCTTGCTTCGTTTGGCACAAAATTGCCCTCGGTCTGTTCACTTCAAGCTTGCACGTTGAGGTTGCACTTTGTGGCTGCGATGACGTGATGTAGGTCAACCCGATATTGGAAAGCCCTGTGTCTCTTTTTTCAGCTATTGCACCGCGACATCAAGGTCGACGTGTCGTGGTTTGATCTTGTTGAAGACAAGAAAAGGTGCTCCAGCACCCGTCATGCGCGTCATCGTCTGTAGTTCAAGTGGTAGGTAGGACCACACGCTGGCCAATGTGATCTTGTCCATTCCTCTGACGTTTGTCTTTCGCACAAAATGCGAGCGACTAGCTGGTCGTCTTCACTATGGATTTCGGCGCTTGAGGAACATGTACCGCTCATGAGGGCATAACACTGTACTGGATGTCGGTCGCTGCTTTTCTCTCGCAACCTAGGTGAAAGGCGAGACCACCTTGCGGCTGTACTATGTACGGTACACGTACGTTGTCACTCATCATCGCACCTGTGGTCTTGTCCAAAGGCTGGAATGCATCATGGAAGTCGTTGGACAACGGAACGCCGACTTGCCTGAACAACTGAGCGGACATACGTCTCCGCCTTGAATAGGCAATCGTGCAGGTTGTCGCGACCCTGGAAGGTAAACTCGGCTGCAGAGTTGGCCCGCTCTGAGGGTACGTTCGCGGCTGGGACGGCCAAGTACCGGTAGTAGCGCACTCCAGCGATGCTGGTGTGCGTTAAAGTTGTAGTGAGTACTATTATACTACTACGTAGTCATCGTGATAGTGCAAGCTTCTGTTGAGGGATCTTCTAAAGAGTCTTCAGTCTGGCCCTTTCAATGGCCTCTTCTTTGGATTAATCGAGGTCTCGAAGGGCAAATATCCACTACGGTACGCGTCCTGGTCGGCAAGCCTTATTTTTGTCGTCCTCAAGTGCGCTATCGACGGTCGTGAGAGGCTTCAAATGATCGAGCGAGCTGAACGACCACCGTTTTATGCCTCCGTTCTATTCAAGTGGATGATAGCGCTGGCGAAAGGCGATGGGGAATCCGAACTGCCCTTCGGACGCACCGCAGTGTTTTGGCCGCAATGATCGGTGCTGTCGCACACCTCGGCGCGTCAGCCTCGCTCATGGACGCTTCGTACCGTAGCGAGGTAATAGCACTACATAGCACGATGTACATCGCGCTTTTAAAGAATTTGTCATGTAGTACCGAGTGCATAAGTACCCTTGATAGTACTATCGCTGCCGAAAGCTAATAGTCAACGCCAAGAGCACTTGTCAAGATGCGGCGAATATTTCAGCAATGCGTAATATCAACCAATAGATGAGCCTCAAATATCGACCGGCCAATACAAGTGCTTTGATTTTAGAAATCACTCAATGCAAGGCTCGGATTGGTCAAATCAAACGTGGTATCTTCGAAGCCTGTTCAGCACAGTCCAGCCACGTCCTGCGACGCTCCACAACGTTGTGCAAGACGAGATGACGACCAGCACCAGAAGTCCCACTCCCACATGCAGCTCACACAGGCTCCTTTTGCTCATTTTCGGTTTTGCAGCCATGAGCTCGCAGTATAACGCCTTGCACAGCTGTGCCGCCGGAACCAGACCGCCGCACTCGATGACGTCCATAGCGATTGCGAGAAACAACAGCGCGAACTTCTGTTCGCACTGCTACCAGCCGCTGCTCGGGCATGTCCAGGGTGGCAGCGACGCTGACCCCCCACCGGCGGGGACACGAACGCGCAAGGCGACGAGGGGACCAAGCCGCCGGAGCTCGTCGACCTGGAAAACTTGGCGACGAATCTCGAGAGAGCTTCTCACGATATCGACGCGTGGTTGAAGACATGGTTCCAGGTATAGACTGTGTATATTGCGCATCAACGCGGCAACATGTAACTCGTTAGACGAACGGCGCTATCATCACCACGATTTGGCACTACGAGAAATGGGACACTACTTTGTACCAGCTCTTGCACGACAACCAGCCCGCGGACTCTAATTCTGTTTTGACGTCCTCTCACCGCAACGCGATCAAGGACAAGAAGAAGGAGATTTTGCAACTCCCTGTGATGCGCCTCGTGGTGCTCCTTGGGTGGCGGGTATGTCACTCTGAATACGTTCCCACGGATAACGCTGGAGGTGCGCGTAGGCGTTCGGTCTTCGCATCTATTGCGAGCAGCTTTTCACGCACTTGCTCTTGCTCTTGACGCTGACCGTGTCGCTTGGACTCTCGCTTGGGACCGCGACGGGGCCCAAGTTTGAGAAAGTTCTTCTCTTCTGGCTCATCTGCACGCCGTTCCTTCTCTTGTCATTGCTCGCGACACGCTTCTTGACATGGAAGAACAAAGGGCCGTGCGTATGGCTGACGCTCGCGCTGTGGTACGGCGTCGTTACGGGCGTCCTCATCAACTACGACACTCTGCTGGACCTTGTCAAGTCGCAGAAGCTGCCCAAAGCTGGCAACGTCGAGTTGTTTGGGTGCATTAACAACGTCCTCCTCGGTCTCTCGGCGCTCTACTTTTGCGTCTTTGAGCTCCGCGAGCTCCATGCTGACGCGACAAAGCGCGGGCAGAGCAAGTTCACGTCGATCCTGAATTTGTTCAAAGGCAACAAACCATCGCCGTACCTCGAGTCGTACTGGAACCGCGTCCAGCTCCCGACCTTCGTCCTCGTCCTTGTCTACGTCGTCTGCGAGTTTACGGCACCGTTTTCGGCCAACATGCGCGTCTATGCTGGCATTCCCATGCTCTTCTTGCTCTTCATCATGTGCGTCCAGTACCTTGAGGTCTTCCCCGCCGTCGGGTACCTCCTCCCGATGATGCGGCGCATGCTGGCCGACGTCTTTTTCTACTTGGTCTTCTACTTTCCGATTCAGTGCGCGTACGCAAGTGCGTACTACCTCCTCTTCAAGAGCCAAGGCGGGAACCTTAAGCCGTACGAGCCCGAGCCAGCATTCTCGTCGAACTTTACGAGTGCCATGGGCTGCTTTTTCCCGAGCGCCAATGCCTCGAGCAGCGCAACATCGCTGAAGCTCCTCGAGATCCTCAAGACCAAGGACAAGAACGACATGTTTCAAGGCTACGAAACCGTGCCCAAGAGCTTCCTCACCACGTACCTCGTCAGTTTTGGCCAAATCAACGTCGAGCCGTTCGACCAGCTCGCTTCACCGTCAGCGTACGTGCTCGGGTACTTTCTCTTGGTCACGCACGCGACGATCGTCGTCGTCATACTGCTCAGCGTCCTCATTGCGATGATGAACAAGACGATGGACGCGCATTTCGCCCAAGACAAGGCCCAGGCATGCGTGACGTTTGCCGAGTGCGTTCTGCGCATGGGCAAGGTCAAGACGTCCACGACAAGACGCGGCAACTTGCAGCAATTGGGCTACAAAGATCTGTACGACAATATCGTGCGTGCTGACCAACAAGGCGAGAAACGTAAGAACGACGACGCGATGCTCGCAGCGATTGCGGCGCTCAGCGCCAAAGTCGACCGGCTCCAAGCGCGCAACACGAACCAACACTAATATCGCCTCCTTAACGCGTGATTTGCATCATCCTCGTGCTTCAAAGACTTTGCCCACCGGTACGGAGAGTCTGATAGCTCCTTCCTCACGCGCTCCCCAGACTGTCTCTACGCAGCGTCTCTCATTGCCATCTGCATACCGGTAGAGTAGTTGCTCAAATTCCAGAGCGCCAAACGCAGTTCAAACGCTAACATTAAATCATTTCTTAGACTCATTGAGTAAACTCCGAGTGCGAGCTCAGCGTCTTAGACAACCATGGGTGCCCACATCCAAACTCGCGGCGTGCGTCACGTTCGCCGAGTGCGTTTGCACTTAAAGAAGGCAACGACGTCCGCGACATCCGAGGCGTACTGGGGCAAGCTCCACATGGACGAGGTCGACATTCTCTACGAAGAGATGATGCGCGCCGACGCCAACGTAAAGCAAGACGATGGCGCCGTGCTTGACGCGCTCGCGTAACTCGGCGCCAACGTTGAAAAGCGCGCATAAGTATATACCTTTATGCATCAACGCTAGAAGTATACGAGTACAAACAACCGTGTGCAAACAGCGTCACGTTGCCGTATCTTTATCCGGATCCGGATCAATTTTTGGCTGCCACTTTGCCGTATCTCAACGAGCGCGCGCAAACCACAAGTCCAGTCGAGGTGCTTGTCCCGACCACGAAACTCGGTGCAAATGATAGCACGACAGCACATCATAGCAGTTGCGACTAAGATTCATTTTCGCATTTGCTTCGTCTCCCGCACATTGGCACACTGGAGCGGTACTAATATGGCCCACCCCACGGACGCGCCTGACGCCTCGCACACGTGCCCAACACCCAACAGCGACGTGGAGCGCGGCATTCTACCTACGCTGGGGAAGACAAAGGAGCAGCGCATCCAGGATCTGCGAGACCAATCCAAGCAGCTCTTTCAGTGCATTGACGACATGGAGCGGGCCAAATGGATGTTGGGTCGACCCGTGAACAACTCGCTCCTCTTTCAACTGCTGCACGACGACACCACCGACACTATGTCGTGGTTTGATCGCGAAGCGATTCAAGACGAGAAGAAGAAGGTGCTACAGCACCCTGTGATGCGCGTGCTGGTCTTGCTCAAGTGGCAGGTACGGAAGCAGCCGCAACATCATCTGTGATCTCATATACTCCCTTAGGCGTTTGGCTTCCGCATGTACTGCGAGCACCTCTTCATGTACTGGCTGCTTCTCTTCACGATGGTCCTCTCGCTCTCGATGGGCCTCGGCGTCGCCCCCGAGTCGACCTACCACGAGCTCCTCATCGGCTGGCTCACAACGTGCTCGTTCCTCATCATTGTGGCGTTCGCGACGCGCTTCTTCACGTGGAAGCGAAATTGCTCTGCGCGTGCGTTGCGATCGCGGTCCTTGGGTGCACCATGGGCGGCCTCCAGTATGCATACGAGCCGATCCGGAAGCGGCTCAGCTGGGAGACGTTTGGCCGCGTCAACAACATCTTTGTCGGGGTCTCGGCACTCTATTTTTGCGCGATCGAGCTCCGCGAACTGGCGGCCGACGTTGACGACGATGCGCTGCGCAAGCAAATGGGCCTGCTGCAATGGCACATCGTGTACATCCCGCGCCACATGTGCTTGGCGGTGTGGGACGTCGTGCGTGGCCGCAAGCCAACGCCGTACCTCGAGTCGTACTGGAACCGCATCCAGCTCCCGACCTTCTTCTTCGTCCTCATCTACGTCTTCTGCGAGTTTACGGCACCATTTTCGGTCAACATGCGCGTCTATGCTGGCATTCCGGCAGTCCTCCTGCTCTGGATCATGGGTCTTCAGTACCTCGAGGTCTTTGGCTCGATCTCGTACCTCCTCCCGATGATGCGGCGCATGCTCTCGGATGGGTACAGCTTTTTGGTCTTCTACTGGTCGATCCAGTGCGGCTACACGTGTGCGTACTACCTCCTCTTCAAGAGCCAAGGCGAGAACGCCGCGTTCGCGCCGTACAACTCGCTGCCCGAGAGCTTCGTCACGACGTACCTTGTAACGTTTACGCAGATCAACTTGGCGCCGTTCCAGGCGCTGACGTCGCCGGCGGCCTATGTGCTTGGCTACACGCTGCTGCTAACGCACGCGACGATCGTCATCGTGATGCTGCTCAACGCGCTCATTGCCATCATGAACAAAACCATGGGCGCGTACGTTGAAGAAGCCAAGCTCGAGGCGACGGTAACGTTTTCCGAGTGCGTGCTGCGCTTGGAGAAGGCCAAGACGTTTGGCACGCAGACCAAAGACTGGGCGAGCATCTTGGGCAAAGATGATCATGTGTTTTTCAACGTCCTCGAAGACACGCTGCGGATGCTCCGCCACGAAAACAACCACGACGAGGTCGTGCGTGAGGCGATCGAGGCCTATAACCTGGCGGCGAAGTCGTTTCTCAAGTCCGACTAACATCGTCAATCCAATGCATGTTGTTGCTACATGCACTTTACTATGCATTGAAATAAATCTTTATTCCAACTAAAGACTCCACCGACGAAGGTTTACTAGTACGTTCTAGAAGTGTGTCGAACATCGGCGGCCAAGAGCTCTTCAACGTGCTGAAGCTCACCGTCCGGCAGCAAGGCATGGGATGTGCGTATGAGGTACAGTCGTCTTAGCTTGGACAAGTGATTCGTGGCTTGGTTAACTAATCTATCGAGGGTGGTGTTCTCATGTGCACGTAAAACATGATGCAGCTTCAGCAGGCGATTGCATGTCCGGCACTAGGCTCGTCGCGCTGTAGTGCCATCGCGTGACGCGTCGCACAACGCTCTCCGAGACGACCCTTGATTGCGCGCTACCTTGACGTTGAAGTGGGTCGTCTCTTACAATAGATAAAACGATGCTAAATAAAATTGCCCGACTTTCTTCGTTGTGTACACTCGGTTGAGGAACTTGATTTAGGCAGGCGGAGGTAGAAGCGCGATCCGCGGGAGAAAGAGCGCGCTACTTTGTCCCTCGCACAACACCTAGTCGAAACCACTACTAAAGCTCCTCGTTTGGCGCACCGGCCACGCCTCACGAGCGCATTAGGAAGTCCACCAAATCTCTGTATTTGCATGGTACTAGTATCTTCTTATATGGGTCGATTGCTTGCAGGACCAAGGCTTGTACAGTACTACACTGTAGTAGCATGTTGGGTACAATCGCATTCAGAGTCGAAACGAGGCATCAAACCGCGTACTGGGCCACGCGCATCAGGCTCTTTGTCGTACGTTAGCATTTGGCAAGTGAGACAGTCGTAGCACCCCAACATGAGGAGGTCGTACGTCTCAACGATTGTCCGTTGCATTCATACAGCAACTACCAATGGTGGAGCTCTAAACATCGACCAGCCAATAAGAGAGGTCTAATTATACATGTCCTGCCATGCGAGACTCGGATTGGCCAATACAAACGTGGTATCCGTCCAGCACAGTCTGCACGCCGCAGCAACTCTTTACAACGTTGTGCAAGCGACGACCACTTTCAGCACCAGCGGCTCCATTCACATGCAGGGAGATCCCCACGTTGCTTATTTCGATTTCGCAGCCATGAACTCGCAATCGCAATTTGTCGCCTGGGAAAGCTGTGCCGCGAGAACCAACGTGCCGCTTTCATGGCGCGGGTACTCAAGGTCATCGACCCCAGCAATGCTAGAGGAGCAGCCCAGCCCGCGGTACAATGAGCCGCAGCCTGAAGACATCGACGGCGACCGCCCAACAGAGCGCTGCACGATTGAGGAGCTGCACATCGATATGGACGACCAACATGCGCAGATGCCCAACCTCGGCGTCGACGAGTACCTCCAGAGGCTCGTATCCGCGATTGATCAAACTCGCGGGCCCAACGAGGCTCCAAGCGACTTTTACAACCGCCGGATCGCCACCCTCGCGACGGCAGAGACTCTTCTGGACGAGTGTCTTGAGATGGACCGTAAGCGGAAGTTCGTCAACCTGCATTTGGTACGTGCGACATCATCTGCGCACTTGCCATTTAAACTATTAGGCGAAAGCTATCTACAACCGTGATCCAAGAACCAAGGCGAATTTGACGGAGCGCCGAGAGCCGCTACGCAAAACGCTGCTCTATATCCTCCTATATCCTCCTGCACAAGGATCGACAAGACGAGCCGAGCCAAGAGTCGACCCAAGCGTTGACGCAGGGGTCGAATGACAGCGGCAGCACGGAGCTACGAGACTTTGAGGACAAAGCCATTATGACCCGCAAGAAGAAACTGCTTGACCACCCAGTCATGCGCGTCGCCGTTCACCTCAAGTGGCAGGTATGGTCTTCTCTTCTTCTTCGTGCCCAGTCCCTCATGATGCGTTAGGTGTTTGGACTGCGCATGTACTGCGAGCAACTCCTCATGTACTGGCTCCTCCTCTTCACGATGGTCCTCTCGCTCTCGATGGGACTCGGCGTGTCGCCCGAGTCGACGTACAATGACCTTTTCATTGGCTGGCTCACAACATGCTCGTTCCTTATCATTGCGGCCTTTGCGACGCGCTTCTTGTCGTGGAAAACAAAGTGCACTGCGCGTGCATTGCAGTGATCGTCCTCGGGTGTGTCACTGGTGGTCTCCAGTATACATACGAGCCGCTCCGCGATCGCCTGAGCTGGACCATGTTTGGCCGCATCAACAACACCTTTCTTGGTCTCTCGGTGCTCTACTTTTACGTCTTTGAGATCCGCGAGCTCGCGGCCGACGAAGATGGTCCAGACGCCACGAAGGGCTTTCTGCATGTGCACTCCCACTACTGCGTCGTTGTCCCGGCCCGCTTTGTGAAGAGCGCAATCGATCTTTTACGCGGCAAGAGCACGTCGCCGTACCTCGAGTCGTACTGGAACCGCATCCAGCTCCCGACCTTCGTCTTCGTCCTTATCTACGTCTTCTGCGAGTTCACGGCACCGTTCTCGGCCAACATGCGCACGTACGCTGGCATTCCGGCCGTCTCGCTGCTTTGGGTCATGGGTCTCCAGTACCTCGAAGTCTTCGGCTCGATCTCGTACCTCCTCCCGATGATGCGGCACATGATTGTCGATGTCTTTCGTTTCCTTGTCTTTTCTGGTCGATCCAGTGCGGCTACACGTGCGCGTACTACCTCCTCTTTAAGACCCAAGGCAACGACCCCGTCTTTGCGCCGTACGCGACCGTGCCGCAGTGCTTTGTGACCACTTACCTCGTCACGTTCGCGCAGATCAATCTCGAGCCGTTCAAGGCGCTGAGGACGCCGTCCCAGTACATGCTCGGCTACCTTCTGCTGCTGACGCACGCAACCATCTCGATCGTCATGCTCCTCAACGTGCTCATTGCGATGATGAACAAGACGATGGGCAACTACTTGGAAGAGGCCAAGCACGAGGCCCGCGTGACCTTTGCCGAGTGCGTGCTCCGAATGGAGAAGACCAAGACGTTTGAGACGACAGATGAGGACTTTGAGGCGGTCGTGGATGAAGAGAAGATTGGCACGCTACTCGAGCATACGCGTCAGCACCGCGAAGTGAGCCTCGCTGCCAACCGTTGTGCCACCTGTTGCGTCAACGAAGCACGTGAAGCCCACAAGGAGAGTCTCTTGAGCGCCATCCACGAGCGCGACATCATTCTGCGTGCGATTTACGGCGGCGGCAAACACGTGCACAACGCGGTGGCCATGCTCGACGCCAAGATCACGGCTGTCAGCGGTCGTGACGATTGGACAAAAAACAAATAAGTATGAACGCGTCGTTGACATTGCACTTTGATTTTGCACTTGCGGGTTTGCTTTACCACGAGAACGTTTCGTGCCTCAATGCGGGATGAGAGAGGACACTAAAGCCATGTTTTGCTCGAATCCGAGATGCCACGTATGGACGAGGTAGGACCGTGAAGAGTACAATAGAGAGCCAGATACCACCTTCTCCAACGGCAACGGCAGCAACCAGTTTAGATGAATAGCGCAGGTCTGTCGAGAACACGTGGCTGGGCGTGGCCTTAAGCCATGACAGACGGTCGTCTTCGGCGTATCTTTATCCGGATCCGGATAGTCTTGCCAAGTCCTGGAACTGTTAACAAGCAAGGTAAGTCCCCACTTTGAAGAAGGCGCCTTTCTCGAGCGCACGCAAGCCCCTGACCACCTATCAAGGTGCCTGTCCCGACACATTGGGCTCAAGGCAAATGATAGCATCGTGCACTGCAGCGCATCCACATATTAGTCGTCGGCAATAAGGTCGATGCCGGCATGTACACCAGACGCCCTTGCACTGCGCCAAGTATCTTGAGGTCCTTGGCTCGATCTCGCTCACCTCCTCTTTGCAATGGCTTTTCGAGTGACCTTTTGGTTGCTCGTCTCGTACCGCATCGAGCGCAGTGTTTCCTCAAGGACACTGTAAAAGACGTCGCCGCTCTTGCCGTTCAACGACCAGTTCCCGTCGTCGGGTGTCGTCGTCTTCTTCATGTGCAAAACGTACTCGGGAAACACGACGGTCGCCTCGATCTTGGCCTCGGTCATGTGCGCGCCCATGGTCTTGTTCAGTATCGCAATGCGTATGTTGAGGAGCATCACAATCACAATTGTCGCGTGCGTCAGCAGCAAAAGTGTGTAGCCAAGCACGTGCGCCGCCGGTGACGTCAAGGCCTGAAATGGCCCGAGATTCATCTGCGTGAACGAGGAACGTTGTGACGAAGCATTCCAGCACCGTGGCATACAACGTCTCACTCTCGCCTTGGCTCTTGAAGAGGAGGTAGTACGGGCACGACGGGTAGAAGACCAAAAAATATTCTAGTTAGTACACCCTGCTGCGCATCATTGGGATGAGCCAAGCCGCTACCTCGTACACGCAAATGAATACTACATGGTCTTCGTCTTCGCAATTGCCGACGTACTCGTACTACGCGCCAGCCCAATCGTGTAGTATGGCAGACGGTTTGCACAAATAACGACGCGTCAGCTACGCACGGACGGCGAAGATTTTTTGGGACGCATCATGTCCGTTGTTGGCTGACGACGCCTCTCTGCGTGACACTAAGCGTGGCGTCTCAATCTCAACCTGATTGCCCTTTGAGTTGGCCGTTTTTCAATGCAAGGACGTTGCAGTGTCTATGCGCATCCTGGGGCGGCCGCGATCGGCGAAGAAGGATCCATGGAAGTTGGAGGACGCTTCTGACGTGGCCACTGGAGCGCACACCCGAAAGAACCAACGAGCACGACACGACAACGTCAGGCCGTGCGATCGGTCCACCACCACTGGTCCACACGATCGTGGGTTCACGCCGAGCGTTTATATGCACCGACGTCCACGGATCACGTCGGAAGTTCCTTTTCAGATCTGAGTCCCTGTGCGATGCCTCGTCGCGCGTCTGCCTCTGCCTGCCTGCTTGCACGGCTTCGCTTGCGATGGCGACCGCCTCGGGTGCACGCGTTGCAACAAACCCGGCGGGCGGCGCACGTCGGCCGCCCATGGCACATCCTGCGGCGTCATCCGGCTGCGCCAGCTGGCGCGTCGCCTTTTCCACATCCCATGTGCGGCGAACGGTCATGGATCTAGCGCTGCCGCCGCCATCGTCCGTCGACTCGACGACGTAAAGTACACGGTACGACGATGCGTGCTGCGTACATATCCAAGTCCTCCAGACTGCCCATCCTCGCTGTCGGCGCCAATTCTCGAATGATCGAAGGATGAAGGACCGACGTCATCTCACATTCTGGGCGGTGTGGCCAATCGGACGTTGGATGTCGAACGTCGAGGTCCCGGCTCCGGATGTTTTCACGGCCAAGTCGAAATGCGACGGCCGGCTTCACCCACGGAGCCAATCTGACCCCACGCTTGAAAATCACCCAAAAGGTGCCGCCGCCATGTGCGCGATCTTCTTGTTCCGCGGCGCCGGTCGCTCGACGCGTAGAAAGTGCAATCTCGTCAAGCGCGCCATTCGAAACCAGAATCTATTGCCAGAGAGAAGAACGCGTCGGGCCAGACAACTTGATCGCGCGCAATGGCTGGTCGCGAGCCCACGTTGAAGCCCGTCCGATCACTTCGCCAATAACAAGCCACGCGCGTGGCCAGCTGGCGGCCGCACAGAAACGACCGCGCCGATTTTTGTCCCCAAATTCACCTGAAAACCTCTCGCACTTGATACGCGCGCGCCGCACAGTGGGAGGCTTCGCCAACGACAGGCGCCGACGCGCCGCGGCGGCCTCTCAACCTCTCACAATGGATATTTGGCAACCCCAGACCTACTTCCTCGCCGCCGGGCGCGACAGCCATTAAGCTTGTGGTTTGTATGTCGTATACGGAACGCCCTAGCAATAAGATTCGCCAGTTGAGAAAAACTGGGATTTGCGATCCGCGAGTTGATTTGGTTTCAGTATACGTGGCACGCTTCAAGTGCAATCTGGCCGACGTTGCCATTTCCGTTTTGCTTCGTATCAACAAGGTCGAAATGGTTGCCAACGCGACTGCCAAGGTGGCCGCGGTTGTCGCCGCCGGCGCCTCGGACGCCACGGCCTTTGGCCTCATCATCGGCGCGTGCGTCTTTGGTCTCCTCTTTGCGGGCTTCCTCTTCTGGCAAGTGTCCAAGATCCAGGTCACGCGCCGTGGCGAGACGTACGAGCTTCTCTCGCAGGAGTCGCGCGGCCAGACCGCCGACCGTCTCTTTGAGATCTACACGGCCATCCAGCAGGGTGCCAAGGCCTTCCTCCTCGCCGAGTACACGCTCTGCTTTGGCTTCATCGTCGTCTTTGGCGTCGTCGTCCTCGTCCTCACCTCGTATGTCAACAAGCCCGACCAGGCGTTCGACTGGACGGTCGGTGCCTTGACCGCGACCGCCTTCGCCGTCGGTGGCCTCACCTCGATCGTCGCCGGCTACATTGGCATGATGGTCGCTGTCTACTCGAACGCCCGCACGACGGTCTCGGCCATGAAGGAGGGTGCCGACGGCTGGCGCGAGTCGTTCAACACGGCCTTCCGCGCCGGTGGTGTCATGGGCTACGCGCTCACGTCGCTCGCGCTCATTGTGCTCTTCGTGCTCATCATGGCCTTCGAGACGGTCTACCCGCTCGCCACGGACGCCAAGCGCCTCTTCGAAGCCGTCGCCGGCTACGGTCTCGGCGGCTCGTCGATTGCCCTCTTTGGCCGTGTCGGCGGTGGTATCTACACCAAGGCGGCCGATGTCGGCGCTGATCTTGCCGGCAAGGTCGTCGAGAACATCCCGGAGGACGACCCGCGCAACCCTGCCACGATTGCCGACAACGTCGGTGACAACGTCGGTGATGTCGCCGGTATGGGCTCGGATCTCTTCGGCTCGCTCGCCGAGGCGACGTGCGCTGCGCTTGTCATCTCGACGCAGTCGTCGGCCATCATCAAGGCTGGCTGGGCCGCGACGCTCTTCCCGCTTGAGATCACGGCCGTCGGCATCTTTGTCTCGGCTGCCACCTCGTTCCTTGCCACCAACGTCTGGCCCGTCAAGAAGGAGGCCGACGTCGAGCGCGTGCTCAAGATCCAGCTCTTTGTCGCCACGACGCTCATGACGCTCCTCATTGCGCCGCTCGCCAACGCTGTCCTCCCCGCCAAGTTTGTCATTGCCGGCGCCGTCTCGTACGAGGCCACGCCCTACACGGCCTTTGGCTGCGTCGCTGTCGGCCTCTGGGGCGGCTGCATCGTCGGCTTTGTCACGGAGTACTTTACGTCGCACTCGTACACGCCCGTGCGTGAGGTTGCCCAGTCGTGCGAAACCGGCGCGGCCACCAACATCATTTACGGCCTTGCCCTCGGCTATAAGTCGGCCATCATCCCGATCACGATCATCTCGATCGCCGTGTACGTTGGCTTCTCGGCCGCCGGCATGTACGGTGTCGCCCTCGCCGCCCTTGGTTTCCTCGGCACGCTCGCGACCTGCCTCGCCATTGACGTCTACGGTCCCATCTGCGACAACGCCGGTGGCATTGCCGAGATGGCCGAGCTCCCCGCCGAGGTCCGCGACAAGACGGACGCGCTGGACGCTGCCGGCAACACGACCGCTGCCATCGGCAAGGGCTTCGCCATCGGTTCGGCCGCGCTCGTCTCGCTCGCCCTCTTTGGCGGCTTCGTCACGCGCATTGAGGAAACCTCGATCAACATTTTGTCGCCCATTACGTTTGCCGGCCTCTTCATGGGCGCCATGCTCCCGTACTGGTTCACGGCCATGACGATGAAGTCGGTCGGTGTCGCTGCCATGGAGATGGTCAAGGAAGTCAAGCACCAGTTTGCCACGATCCCGGGTCTCCTCGAGGGCCTCCCCGGCCACGGCCCCCCGGACCACGCCCGCTGCATCAAGATCTCGACGGATGCCTCGCTCCGCGAGATGATCCCGCCGGGTCTCCTCGTCATCCTCTCGCCCATCATTGCCGGTACCTTCTTTGGCACGCGCGCGGTCTCGGGCCTCCTTGTCGGCGCGCTCACCTCGGGCGTCCAGCTCGCCATCTCGCAGTCCAACACGGGCGGCGCGTGGGACAACGCCAAGAAGTACGTGGAGAAGGGCTGCGTCTCGATCGAGGACAAGGACGGCAAGCTCATTGTCCAGGGCAAGGGCTCGGCCATCCACAAGGCGGCCGTCATTGGCGACACGGTCGGCGATCCGCTCAAGGACACGTCGGGCCCGGCGCTCAACATCTTGATGAAGCTCATGGCCATCATCTCGCTCGTCTTCGGCGACTTCTTCAAGTCGATCAACAACGGCCGCGGTCTCCTCAACATCTCGGACAACTAAGCGCCTCCTGCCGAATCGTCGTACGCGTGGTCTACACTGCGAGTATAACTGAGATAGATATCACTTTTTTGTCACTTGAATGGGTCGTGGCGTTGGCTGTGGGGAGGATCTATCTATCTATCTATCTATCTATCTATCTATCTATCTATCTATCTATCTATCTAACCTTATCGTATACCAGTCGGCCACCGAGTCAGCGGTACACCATTGTGTACCCCTGCACCGAGTCGGCTCGCCCTCAAAACGACAGAGTGAGCACCTGGGAGTCCAGGGCAGTTGATCGACTCGACGACAGAGTCACACTAGGCAGCACGAACATGCATCGAGCGGATCAACTGGACGACGGAAGGTGGAGCTCGGGATGCCAGGCACGCCGACGCTTTATATACCCTTGCCACAACCAAGCCACGCGCCATCTGCCGCAGACATCAAGGCCATAGATGCAGTCGCCTTGGACGCTGGCTTCGACACAGGCGGTGTTGGCCATCTCGGCGGTCGCGACGAGACAGCAGGATGTGGCAGCCATTTCGTTTGGCAGTGGGTGTTTGCGCGTTTGGAAATGAGAGATGTGGTTCTTGCGAGGCAAAGAAGATCGATTTATAGTCGCCCGAAACAAGGATCGTTTGGGGAACGGACGCCATGTCCATCTCTGGGACCCGGCGAATGCGCCTCTGAACGAGCACGGGTCTCGGCGGCCGAGGAAAGCGCCGCACGCTTCTCGTTTCAGGAGACGGAGCATGCTCAGCAAGCTTCCAAGTAGCTTCCTGCGACGACGTTGCACCTCTACGACTCACACATAGGCATCGCGTGCAAATAGCTGCTTGGCTTCGCACGAACAATGGATAACGTCTTTGCGAGATGCGACGGTACATGGCGAGGTCGAGCGTCTCGTCTTGGCCCAAAGCGCCATTGATTCCTTCAACGCACTCGCAGAGCCGTCAATAACCATCACCCGTAACGAGCGTGAAGCATTGACTAGTCTTGTTCGTGTCAAGGGCCTTCACCGCGCCATGGCTGTGCGACGAGGTATCCTGTTTCTGAGCATGGCTGCCATTGGCGCCAACACCACTGTATGCACAAGCGTGAGTGTCCTCGGCGATGCCACCTACTGCATCACGGGACGCGTCTGCGGCGGCAAGTCGGCCGATGGCGCATGCCCACGGCCAGGCGCCAAAGCCTCGGCCAACTGCGCACCTGGGATTCCGAGCTGGACCGCTACGACGCGGTCGTGTGTGCTCAACTCGCTCGTTGTCTGCACGATTGTGAGCACGCAGCCCTCGTTTGGTTGCGTCGCGTACCCTCTGGCCATGAGCGCAACGCCAACAGTCACGAAGCAGTCGTCCGCAAGACCTTTGTAGCTGCAGATGCAGTGCGATCGGCGCCAGAATCAAGATCAAAGACATGAACTTGGCACGCATGGCTCGGCCCTGTATACATGACAGTAGGAATTGCAATACCAAATCATGCTCTTGATGATCAGCTTTCGTACCCTCCGAGGCGTCGAGATCGCCGTGGAGTTTGTATCTGCGTTGTATGGAAAGGTGAGTCGGGACTCGAGACCCAGTGCGCGTGGGGTTCTTTCAAAGCTCCGGCTCGATTGACTACCATGGACGCGCTTGTATATTGCTTTCTGCGTGTATGGCTGCTCTTCTCCAGTTCGCCTTCTAGTGCTGAAGCACACGAGAGGTAATTGATTCGCATCGCTGGTCGTCTTGCACAAGCCGTGATGATGCACGAGCCAAGCGTGAACCCATCCCGCCGTGATCACCGTCATGTTGCACTTTCTAGGCGCCCGGCATCTGATTGGCGCCAGATGCCAAATTTGAGCCAATCACACCATGGGTAAGACCTCGCCACCAAGTTGCGCGTGATAATTCCGATCCAACAAAGAAGAAGGATGAGTCCGAGCCTGGGGCAAGGACGAGTACTAGCGTCGTTTGCTCATTGTCCAATATCCCAACGACCCAAAACAACGACGACTCAAAGATGGTGGTCCCGACGCCCGTGACGCCCGCATTTACCGCCGAGTTTTTCGACCAGCTCACGCAGCTGCGCCGCCACTTTCACCAGCACGCCGAAGTGACATGGCAGGAGGTCGCGACACAGGCGACGATCAAAGACTACCTGCTCACACACGCGCAAATTCCCGCCGACAACATCCACGTGTGCGCGACGACCGGTACATCCCTACCGCATGCCATGAATCGACGTCGTATCTCGTCGGCGTAGGGCTCGTTGTCAACATCTTTGGCCCGACGTCCGACGACGGCGCCACCGACGGCAGCCTCCGCTGCGTGGCCTTTCGCGGGGACATGGACGCGTTGCCGATGACCGAGCAGAACCCGCACCTGCCGTACGCCTCTGTGCATGCCGGTGCGGCACACATGTGCGGCCACGACGGCCACATGGCGTCGCTCGTGGGATTTGCGATCTTCATGCAGCGCGCCCGCCTCTCGCTGCCGCTAAACACGTGCGTGCGTCTCCTCTTCCAGCCGGCCGAAGAAGGCGGGTTTGGTACGTCAACTTTTCTTCGTCGTCGACATCGTAGCTTCCTTCAATGCCGATGCATTAGGCGCGGTCAAGATGATTGAAGACGGGTGCTTGGACGGCGTCGACGAGGTGTACGGGTACCATAACGGCCCGTTCCCCTTGGCATGGTGGCGACCAAGCCAGGCGCGCTCCTTGCGCACTCGTGCCGGTTTGAGATCACGCTGCGAGGGCCCGGCGGCCACGGGTCGGCGCCCCACCACACGACCGACCCGGTCGTTGCCGCGGGCCACGTCATCGTCGCGATGCAGTCGATCGTGAGCCGGAGCCTCCCGGCGCAAGAGAACGCGATCGTGTCGATCACTCAAGTGCACGGCGGTGAGGCCGACAACGTCATTCCGTCCAGCGTGCGGCTCTCGGGTACCCTCCGCGACTTCAACCCGGACGTTGCGACGGTCGTGCACGCGCGCATGCGTAGCATCGTGACGCACGTTGCGGCGGCTCACGATGTCACGGGCGAGATTGCTTTTGACGACGGGTACCCGGTCACGATGAACCATGCGGCGCAGACCGACGTGGTGGTGGAGGTGGCCTCCGACATTGTACAACTTGTCTGTTGCGAGATGGACACAAGAATGTCATGTATGGATTAGGTTGGCGCCGCGCGTGTCACGTCGACGGGGCTCCCGGTCTCGGGCTCGGAGGATTTTTCGTACTACTTGCAGAAAATTCCCGGAGCCTTTTACTTTGTCGGCACCAAGCCGCTGCACGACGTGGACGGCGCACAGAACCGCAACTGCCACAGCGACACGTTTGACTTTAACGACGACGCGCTCCCGCTCACTGTCCGCCTCTTCCTCGAGATTGCGCAGCACCGGTTCCAATGCGCGCTCTTTACAAAGGAAGAGCTGGACGCGATCTACACGGCCCCGGCCTCCTTGTGAGCTCGTACCTTCTACATGTAATGTTTTCGTCCATGAAGGGATTCTATTGCCTGAAATGACCTGTTTCTATCGTTGACGATGTCTGCCTGCGCAAGTCGGCAGACGGCGCGTGGCTTGGTTGTGGCGCCAAAGCGTCGGCGTGCCTGGGATTCCGAGCTACACCTCTCGTCGGGCAAGTGCCAGATAAACCGCTCGACATGATGCATGTTCGTGGAGACTCAAGACGTCTGACTGCGCGTTGTCGCATGCATTGGCCGTTGGAGGACGGCCCGACCGCGCCGTCCTCTTCTTGTTGGTCGTCCGAGGTGGTGACGGTGATTGTGTTCAAAGCGAAGAAGCGACAGCACAAGGCGCACTTGGTGTGACGGCCACCGTCGCGGCCATGGCGGTGGCGTACATGGTGGCCATGCACGGTCAAGTCGACGCGGACGCATGCCATGGACATGATCACGACCAGCGTGGTAGAAGTCATGGCGCAGGTGCTTGTGGACGACGAGGCAAAAGAGGATGTCGGGCGAGTGCGAATAAGTGATTTCCGCAGTAGAAATGATGCATTTTCATCAACTTTGTGCTGATTTCTTGCTTTTTCAATCTTATTGTGCCCGCTGACTGTACGCTGCTAGCTGCTCGTCGCCATGTTCATGATGAACGACAATCGGCCATATTTCTTGTCGAGTAGTATGTGCACGTTGCATCCCTCGCACGTACGACTGCGCACAGAGCGTGTCCCTTGACCGGCATGCCAGCAACGAGTTGTGAGTGATGTGGGCTTTGCTGCAGGTGTCCATTTTTGCTGGTTTTGCGTTTTCGCTCCGACATTCATCTCAACAACGGTACGAATGGCTCTCTGAACCAACAAGAACGATGTCTCATAAGGACCACCTCAGAGCTGCCACCATCCGTCGTCAACGACGCCATTTCTTGTCAGTGCTTGAACTAGCCTTTTGTTGAGCTTGGTCTTGCCAGCGCTCGCTTCCCGCATGATGATGCAGCCCATGACCCGCACTGACGTGGTCCTCCAGATAGGAATACCATCGAGTTTGCCGTTGTCGCTTTGACGACCGACATTGTGGTAATCACAGGAATGAATCTCGTCGTGCCACGTCACTGCGCACGGTTGCCACGTCGGACGTAACGGTACGGAGACATCAACGACGAAAGCATCTGCTCGACTTCCGGCTTCTTCCACCTCGCTGCATCGAAGCGACGACGACGGAGGGGCTTCGATGGACTTCCTTCACGTCCTTGCAAATCACTCGCCACGGAGTGTCGTCGACGATCCATGACGTCCATGGACCTAAAAGGCACGCTATGGACGTACCTGAACCTATCGGATCTGCCGATCGATGACCTCGAAGCCAACGATCGTGTCGCCGTCGTCGCCGGCTGCAGTCGCGGTGGGAGAAGGCGAGGCTTGTCGCAGCTCGTATCGTAGTATAAAAATCTCTCGGAATTTGTATCCGCCAGCCTTTTTACACGATGATTGGCCAAAACAAACCAGATTGCAGCCATGTGATTGGCTGGCACGACGTCGTCATGCCCCTTTGCAAGCGCTCGGGTGACATCACCCGCCGCCGCGGTGGCGTCCTTTGCATCGGCCAATCAGAACGCGCGACCGTTGTACGCGCCAATCAAAAGCGGCGAAAAGCTGCATCACGATCGAATTTTGCCACCCTCAGCGATCTTCGAGCGAGTATAAAACCGGGTGGCCAACGTCGCCTTGACGCTAAGAACGTAGAGCCCATTTCCCAATCCTCCACTGGAGCTCAAGATGGTCGCGTGGGCAGAGCACTACAAGAACGCCAACTGGCCGATGGTCATCTACCTCGGCTACTGCCATGCGCTCGCCGTTCTCGCACTCGGCTACATTGGCTCGTGCTCGTGGCAAACCCTGCTCTTTACGTTCATCCTCTCGCAGTTCTCGGGTCTCGGCATTACCGGCGGCGTCCACCGTCTCTGGGCCCACAAGAGCTACAAGGCCCATGGCATCGTGCGCTTCTTCCTCATGCTCTGCAACTCGGTCGCGAACCAAGGCACGATCTACCACTGGAGCCGTGACCACCGCGTGCACCACAAGTACTCGGAGACCGAGGCCGACCCGCACAACGCCAAGCGCGGCATGTTTTTCGCCCACATTGGCTGGCTCCTCGTCAAGAAGGACCCGAAGGTGATCGAGGCTGGCAACAAGATCAACTGCGACGATCTCCTCGAAGACTGGGTCGTGCGCCTTCAGAAGTCGCTCAACCCGTGGGGCAACCTCTTTATGAGCTTCATCTTTCCAATGCTCGTCTGCTCGTACTTTTGGGGCGAGCACTGGGCCAACGGTCTTCTTGTCGCCGGCTTCTTCCGCTACGTCTTCATCCTCCACTGCACGTGGCTCGTCAACTCGGCGGCCCACTTTTATGGCGCAACGCCTTACGACCCCAAGATCCACCCGACCGAGAACGCGATCGTCGCGGTCCTCTCGATCGGCGAGGGCTGGCACAACTGGCACCACGTCTTTCCGTACGACTACGCCGCCAGCGAGTACGGCGTCGCGTCGCAGTACAACCCGACCAAGCTCTTCATTGACACGTGTGCCAAGCTTGGCCTTGTCTCGGACCGCAAGCGCGCGCTTCATGCGTGGGAGATGAAGAAGGCCAAGATGATGGAGGCGTCGTCGCCCGAGACGGTGCTCAAGGCCAAGTCGGCCTAGGACGCTTTGCCTTTCTTTTACTAACTTTAACCCGTGTCTTCTTCTCGAATTGAGTGTGGACGAGTTGTACGTGGCTCAAGGGAGCGAGGCATCCGCATCGCCATGGGTAGACGGTTCGGTTGCGTTCATTGCCAGGACCAGCGTGGAGCCAGGAAGTACTTCGGCGGATTGCGCCTTTCCGCGGCGACCACCCAACGTACTCTGTCGTCACGGCGCGATCGGCTTCCGCCAATGGCACGGCATGCGAGGATGGGCGCGATGATAGACGAACGCAGGTGGGATGCTACCTGCTAGATTAGTGGGGCCTACCGGTATTGGTGCCGCTCTACATTATACCACGGGATCGCTCGCCCGTGCGACGTCTCGTTGCCAGTCTCCAAGCACTATTAGCACGTCGGCAGACGATCGATACGTTGACGTCACGATCCACGCCGCCATGCGACTGGCCTGGTCATGTCCGGAGACGGGTCGTCGTCAAGATGGCATTCGAAGAAAGCTACTCTTCGAAAGGCGGCCAAGTCGCCAGTCGGGAAAGGACGGAGAGCAAGATGGGAGCTGCTGGCGCTCTCGCATAGAGAGCTCAGCGAGAGAGCGTCGCTCTCTCGCTATGATGGAAAGCTGGTGGGCTGCCACGTCGCGCCAATGGGCGATAGGTGGACTTGCTCTTGAAGTTCCACCTGCCATGTCCCAGCGGCAACCCGACCAGTGGGTCATATCAGAACCGCGTCTTCGTGACGTCCGCTGTCTTCCTGTTGGGCAACGTCTGAATGGATCCCACGTTTAACGTAACGAGCCTAATCAGCGACCTCGTTTAGCCTCTCTCTTGTGCGCCCATGCGCCGTCCTCTACGATCTATGCGGTCCGTCGATGGTAGTCAGCTGTGGTGGCGCCACGTCACGTTGCGCGCGGCTTGAAAAACCACTTCGCGGCGGTTTTAGGCACATATCTGATTGTAGCCAATCATATTGCAGAAAACAGCATGATCGTACAGGATTGGTGGATTTAAAGCGAGCGGCAAGGCCATTGGGCGAAAGGCGACCGCAGGGCTCGGGGTGATTGCTCATGAAGATGGGCGAAGGGACCTGGCGGAGGCACTTTGCAATCCTCCGCCATGGCGCACCTCATCTCGCACGAAGACGTGGCGCGCATGCCGACGCCCGGCAGCAACGCGCCGACGCGCCTCGGCTTCAGCCCCAACGGCCGCCTCCTCACGTACCTCCACAGCTCCAACAACGAGCTCACGCAGCAGCTGTACGGCCTCGACATGGGCTCGCTCGCGGTGTCGCTGGTCGCGCGGCCGCCCGGCTCGGGCAACACGGAGAGCAATCTCTCGCTCGAAGAGAAGCTGCGCCGCGAGCGTCAGCGCCAGATGGGCACGGGTATCACGTCGTTCCTTTGGTGTCCGACGCCGCACTCGACGCGCATCGTGTACCCGCTGCAGGGCAACTTGTACCTCCAGGAGCGCCCGGGCGCCGAGCTTGTCTTGCTCTTTGACAAGGCGTCGACGGGCGCGAAGGGCGGCGCGATCGACCCGCAGTACTCGCCGGATGGCAAGTACATTGCGTTTGTCCAAGAAAGCGAGCTCTACGTGCTTGCGGCCGAGCCGAACGCCGACGGGTCGCTGCCGACAGCGATTCAGGTCACGACCGGCGCCCGGGAGAGCGGCAAGAGCAACGGCCTCGCGTGCTTTGTCACGCAGGAAGAACTCTCGCGCTTCCACGGCTTTTGGTGGTCGCCCGACTCGGCCCACCTTGCGTTCGAGGAGATTGACGACACGCACATTCCGCAGTTCCGCATCATGCACTCGGGCAGCCCGGAGGTCGGCGACGGCGCGCAGGAAGACCACCGGTACCCGTTCGCGGGCGAGGCCAACCCGAAGCGCCGCCTCGGCGTGCTCCCGCTTCGCCTCGACACCCCCGATGTCTTTCAATCGCCGATCTGGATGGACTTTGCCGGCGACGACGACGACTTTTACATTTCGCGCGTCAACTGGCTCCTCGACGGCAGCCTCGGCGTGCAGACGCTCAACCGTCTCCAGACCGACGCGGCCTTTCTGCGCTTCCACCCGACGACCGGTGTCGCCACCACGCTGCTCACCGAGCACTCGGACGTGTGGCTCAACGCGCATTACCTCTTCCGCAACCTCGAGCACCGCGGCAATGGCGCGTTTACCTTTCTCTGGGCGTCCGAGCGGTCGGGTTTCATGCATTTGTACCTCTACGAGTATGCCAACGGCGCGGCCAGCGTCGTCGGCCAGCTCACGTTTGGCGAGGGCAACGTCGAGGCGATTGAGGGCATTGACCTTGAGCACGACCGGCTCTACTTTTCCGGCAACCTCGACGAGCCCACCGAGCGCCACTTGTACGTGACCTCGCTCTCCAAGCCGATGACGCCGCCGACCAAGATCACGACGATTGGTGGCGTCCACTCGATCACGATGGACGGTGCGTGCACGACGCTGGTGGATGTGTACAGCAACCTTATGACGCCGCCGACGGCCGTTGTCTACCGCCTCGTCAACGGCAATGAGCTCACGCCCGTGCACACGCTCCACACGACGTCGGACCCGCGCTTGACGCTCCTCTCAGATCGCATCCAAGCGCCGACCCTCTTTAGCTTTCGCACGCGCGACGAGACGACGACGCTGTATGGTGCGATCTACAAGCCCGACGCGAGCATTTACGGCCATGGCCCGTACCCGACGATGGTCAACGTCTACGGCGGTCCGCACGTGATGCGCGTCCAGAACGCATGGAACGTCACGGTCGACATGCGTGCGCAGATGTTCCGTCAGATGGGCTATGCCGTCCTCAAGGTCGACAACCGCGGCACGTTCCGTCGCGGCGTTGCGTTTGAAGGCGCGATTAAGCATGCGATGGGTACGATCGAAATCTCGGACCAAGAAGACGGCGTGCACAAGTGCATTGCCGATGGCACGACGATCGCCGGTCGCGTTGGCATGGTGGGCTGGAGCTACGGCGGCTACATGAGCGCGATCTCGCTTGTCAAGGCGCCCGAGACGTTCAAGCTCGCGATTGCCGGCGCGCCCGTCACGTCCTGGGACGGCTACGACACGTGCTACACGGAGCGGTACATGTCGACGCCGCAGCTCAACCCGACTGGGTACGCGCGCGGCAACGTCATGAACTACGTGCAGCACATGCAGCCGCACCAGAAGCTGCTCTTGATCCACGGCCTCATTGATGAAAACGTGCACTTCCGCCATACCGCGCGTCTCATCAATGCGCTCATTTCGGCGCGCAAGCACTATGATCTGCTGCTGTTTCCCAAGGAACGCCACTCGCCGCGCCACCTCGAAGACCGCATCTACATGGAGCAGCGCATCGCCGAGTACGTCTCGGCGCACTTGTAAATCGTGTCGTAATCACAACGTGTCTTTTTTTGTTAAGTGTCGAGGCGATAGATAGAACACACGCCCCGCCCCACACACGGTATGCCTTCAACAAGGACATCAAGGATTCTCCTCTTGAATAACACTGGATTGGCCACCACGGGACGCCATTGTGCACAGCACGCGCCTGGCGTGCCAAAGCGTCGTTTTACTAGAGACCACGCATCTATCTTCGCGGGACGCGGTGGACTGACGGTTTCGCTTTCTGATTGACAGTTACTGAACATGGATGGCTGGGACGCGCCGACACGAGAACGAGGGTAGTGCGGGCCATCATTGGATTATGTATAGATAGCATCGACAGAGCGCAACCATATTACTTTACATCGACATGTCCATGGCAGCCAGTAGGACTGGTATGGTATGCGGAGACATATGATCGATATACAGCAGCAGGCGGTTGAAGCCTCCTCGTGGCCACACAATCGCACGTGCGAGGTTGAATATGTGTAAAAATTTAGAGGTATTATTTTTGTGCGTTAAATAGGGTGTATGACTCTAATCGAGCGTGGGTTCTTGGAGGCGGAGGCGAATTTGCTCGACGAGGTTGCGCTGCGTCTGGATGCACGCGTCCATTTCCGCAAAGGCGGGCTCCTCTGGAAGATCGGCCAGTGACCCGGTCGTCGTGATAGAGCTATTGCGGACACCGACGCTCGACCGACGGCACTTGTCGTCGTACAACGTCGCACCGTTCGCGTTCGACGTGTGCGCTTGGTTGGAGTAGAAGCGGCGCCGCGCAATCACCGAGTGCAAGATCGCATCTTCGTCCATCCACGCGAGGTGGTGCATGGGCAGCTTGGGGTCTTTCGCGACAACAAAGCACTTTTGCAAAAGGGCTCTTGGGCCACCGCGCCGCGCGGAAGCGCTCGCGGAACTTTGATATGGCATCGTCGGCACATGACCTAGTCCAGCGATGAGATGCGTTCGATCCAATATATGATGGCTTTGTTGCGTACATGATGACAGGCCAGACACACGTGCTTGTGATGAAAGCACTGAGCTTATCACCGCACGAGCCACAGGCGCGGGTGCGGCTACATCGCATGAGTCGCCGCACTGAAACGATGCACAAGACGTACCGGTCGTCGTAGTCGACGGGCTGATGCATGGCCGCGAGGAGGAGTCGCTTCTTTTGCGCGAGCATCGAGATGCGGTGCGTCACCGGCATGTGCGTCGCGACCTGCTGGTTGAAGAGCCACGCGGGAAACTTGCCCTGGGGGTCCACAAAACTATAATGCACGTCCTGGACACGGCCGGTCGCGTTCTCGACGAAGAGCGAGATGGACTGGAGGCGGTACGCGATGACGTCGCGCGGGAGGTCGCCAGGCATCGACTCGCGCATGATGAAGAGCACGCGCTGCCCGAGGTCGTCGGTCAGCGACCCCGAGTACTCGACAAACGTCGTGCCTCGCTTTTCAAAGCCGCCCGTCATGTAGATCTGCTTGGTCTTGGTGCCGAGCCACCGAAACGGGTCGTCGATTGTCGCGGCGAACACTGTCTCAAGGACTGCCGCATCGAGGTACTTGTCGCCGTGCACGAGGCCTTCTAGGATGCGCTGGTCCTCCGAGGTCGCGGCGTAGCAGAGGTCGAGAACGTCGTCGAGCGACCGGACCGAGTTGCCGATCGAGAGCACCTCAAGGAAGGGCGACGCGGATGTCGTGCGTGTAAAGAGGTGCTGGCCATGCTTGGCTTTCGCAAAGCGGTATCCGCTGCAGAGCTCGTCGCGGCCGCTCGTGTACGCCTGCAAGAGTGTCTGGACAGCGCCGTCCAGCGTGAGCTGAAGCGATAGCCACGCGTCGCTGTCGAGTCCCATTGTGGGTCTACGTATCGAATTGAAGAGTGCGACCATCCCACAGCGATCCAGACAGACATCAAAGAGCAAAGATACCAAGGTAAGAGGCCAGAGAGAGCGCGGCCGCGACGTATGCATACGGTTGGTCACGCCGTGGCGCAGGTCGCAACGGTCTGGCAGTTACACTCTGTCATGGAGATTGCACATGATGGCTTGTCGTGCAGCGTCCGTTGTCCATCGCAAAACCAGCGGCTTGGACTGGAATCGTCTCCGAGAGAGGCACAATACGTCGACTGTTATCTCGTACCCATGCAGTGGCATCGTGGATTAGAGCACTGGAGGTCAATCGCGAGGCGGCAATCGAGTCAACAGCTTTGCAAATACTGTATCTGGTTTTGGTCGAGTGTTACTCACGTAGGTTACCACCGGTTGGTAGCTAGCGTGACATCTGCACGTTGCACATAGCGTGAAGTTGAAGTGATGCGCTGTCAACCGCGGGCGATTCTTTCTCGCGCTGGCGCACACGCTGCCGGTGCAACGACGCAGAACATGCCGGCGATGTGAAGGAGAGCACTGACGTGCAAGAGGGAGTAGGTTTCGATCTAATCCTTACCATACTCGATAGGATTCCATTCCAGGGAAACTCAACTGCCGATGTCGTCGAGCTGGAGAGCACCGTGGACGTCTGTGCGCCATTGAAATGGGCCGTCGATTTCGTTTTCCAAAGTGACGGGCGTACTATTAATACGCTGATCGTCGCAACAACCGAGAGGCAGCTCCACGAGGCGAGTAAACGCGTACGACCGTGAGGATAGCTATACCGTATATTTCCCGGAAATACATACCGGTATCCGGCTGTGTGACACATCAGCGCCCAGAAGTGTGCCAAGTCCATGGAAACGCAGCGCTGCGTGCGGACCGACGTGGGGTCCAACTACACAAGGGTAGTATGCGGCTGGTACCCCCTCCTTGCATCTCGCCAACGGATCTTTGGCTGCGATACAAGGCCTCGTGACCCAAGACAACCCGCGAGAGACGGATCGGTGTCTTGGTGATGCAAGCCATTTCTCCTGGGACAACTCAAAGACTGTACCAGTACATGGCCAGTACGACCATGTGTTTATCCTCGCTTGACGAGGGGCCAACATGACGCACATGCCAACCCTTACGAGCGCATTTAGAAAGTCCACCTTATCTTTATAATTGCATGCAATATACTCAGTCCTAAAAATATATCTTTACGCAGGCTCCCGTAGGGACGTTTCCTCGTCGCGATACACGGTGGAGAGCCGGCGACTCATCGGCGCTGGCGCAAGATACCGACGGTAGCACGCTGCCACGTCATGGACCATGTAACGGCCGAAAAGCGTGTGGCCGCGCGTTTTCTATGGTCATGTCTGGCGTGTGCCTCACGACACCTTGTCGCGTCTCTAGTCCTACTGCATGAACAAACATGTCACAGACAATGTTTCCACAATAGTTGCATGAACTTATATCGACACGACGTCGGTCGAAGGAAGCCAACGCAGAATGACATGACAAAACAGACACGCTCGTGCGTCGAGACACGAGGACGCTGGGGAACGAGGCGTAAATGTAGTCCATGGACACGTGCTTGTAGAGCGGCTCGAAGGTGCCGTTAAAATTGACGCCCACGTCACAATGATGTCGGCGAGTGCTTCGTGCACGGCATACGTCATGCGTGCAATCATCACCGGCTTCCTGACGACCGAGTCATCCGCCAATCAAAGTACGGGACACGATGGAAAAACCTCTCGAGGCACGAAGGACGTTATGTGTGGGCGGGAAAAAGGCCAGAACCCTCCTGCCAAGGTAGAAGAAACCAATCTTTTTTAGAGCCCAAAGTCGCCACCGATCACGTTGTTGTCATGAGAATGCGAACTCGTTTCTGCTTCTCTAGACTCTACAAGTTTCATTTTCGCAGACTAAAAGTTGAACTCGCAGTTGGATATATTAGAATTCCCGAGTGCCTAGTGACGCGCAAAGCATGTATCGAACCGATATGAGTCCGGATGCAACCTCATTTCGACTTGGCTTCAAACGTTGTCGGCCACATCCAACGTCTCGAGTACCGATCGGAAGCCTAGCCCGTTGTTGTTGAAGTGGGTCGTCTATTACAATAGATAAAACTATGCTAAATAAAATGATCGGACTTTCTTCGTTGTGTACACTCGGTGAAGCCTTGCCCGTACATATTGTTGGGTACGACCACGAGTATCTTCAACGCGCCACGCTACGCAGACCCGCCACAAACGCAGGCACCAGGTCGTCGTCGAGCTGCGCTACCACAAGCTCCAGCGACGTGAGGCGCGACAGCATCGGTGTCAGACACGACTGCGCCGCGAGCTCGCCAAAGTAGTTGTAGCTGAGATGATCAAGGCGTGCGGGCTGCAGAGCGCGCGCCAAGTCGGCGAGTATGGCGTCGGTCGGCGTGTCATCGATGTCGTCTGTAAATTCGTGGAGCTCGTGGTCGAAGTACAGCTCGCGCAGGCTGGCCGGGAGGCGGCGCCCAAGGAAGCCATCAATGCCATTCACTTTGGCGAGCTTGATCTCGACAAGTGTCGAGCTTGCGTGCAGAGCGCTGCAGAACGCCATGGCGGGGTCCATTGGCATGCGCGATTTGTTGGACAAGTGGAGAGTTGTCGCCGGCGCACCCAGTCGCGCAAGTGGTAGCCAAGTCGAAGTGGTGCCTCAATCGACTTCAGATCAATGGTCAGCGTCTGCACCGCAGGGAGCGCCGTCGCACACAGCAGGGCGTCATACACCAGCTGCTCGCCAATCGCCTCATTCGTGACGAGCACGGCAAGGCTGCGCATTGAGCACGAGGTCGGCAAGCGCGTTGCCTTCGTGCAGCGGTATCGTTACCAGATCGATCGCAAGATTGAGATCACCAATCGCAGGGCCAACCACGCGCACTAGAGCGACGAATTGGCTGAGCAGGCGAATTGCGTCCGCAGTGCGTATCTTGGGTTGCAGGGACACCGTCTCACGCAGAGACACAAGTGCCTCAGGCGATAAGTCAGCAAGCTCATGCAGCCAAATGCTTGGCCACTGGAACGTCACACGCTGGTCGGTGCTGTATCTCGGAGCGTGCGAACAGCGGTAAGCGCGCGGGTCCGCAGAGACGCTGGGATTGCATCAATGTAGCTCGTAGAGTCTTCGTACCGCTCAATGAAGCGAGCGATGGCTTCAAGAAGGCCTGGCTGCAGCAGACCTTCGGTCACGTCTCGACACACCCGCGTCGTCGGTCGCTCGGTCATCCAGAAAGGCCGAACAGCAAAGTGATTATGATTTGCTGGCTGAAACCGATTTGACCAATCAGAGAAGAATTCTTAGAATTCGGTTACCACTGGTCCTTCGTAGTCGCGCGTATAGTCGAATCACGAAGCGCACTCGAGCACGGAGCTCACTCGCTCGCTCATCGTTTGCATCTGTGCATCAGGACCAGAAGAAGTGTTTTCGCTACGAGAGAGCTGATCACTTCGCGGCCAGAGGACGACGTACCCCGGGGCATGATTGTATGATCAACCCGATACGTTGTTCATTCCCATTGCTTCGCCTCGACTACTAAGTCGCACACAACAACGAATCATCTCTCATAGTGCATACTAAAGATCCCTATATTGTTAAATGGGCTCGAGCCATGCGAGGTCAATCGCGTCGATCCACTGCGGCGTACACTCGAAGACAAGCGCGTCCAGGTTCTCGAGACCGAGTTCGCGTGTGTACGACGTCCCTGCACAAGTACTGTGGGCGTCTGACCTTGATGTTAGCCAGAATTGGTGTTTGGGGCACACAGTGTGGCCTTGCGTGAAGGCGTGGCACTTGGGGAACGAGCAGCGCTTGCGAGCACCGTGCTTGACGCAGAGCTTGCGCGCGTAGACTTGGTTGTCGCAATCCATGACCGAGCACACGTGGCGGTTCTTGTGAAAGGCGCATTTGTACGAGTCGCGAAACACGGGCTCAGAGCAGTCGCGAAAGACACAGCGCATGAGGATCGAAATTGGAAATGGAAAACGAAGACGTCAACAGCATTGCTTGTTTGGAGCCGCGGATACCCATGTGGTTAGGAACTTGTGGCTCTTAGAGTGCCCAGATGGTGGCGCGTTTCGCATGGTTAGTGGAAACAGAAAGCGACGACGTACCTCCGGCTATCGCTGTATCCCAGACCATCAGTGGATTCGTGTGACGTTGTCAATCAAAGATGAGCTGTAGTGCCCAGCGGATAGCTGCGTATGTGAGTCTACTAGTCGAGAAACCATATGCCTCTCACAAAACGGTGCTGTTGACTTCAGCTCTGATAAGAAGCGATGCAGCGGTTGCCCAGCCCAAACTTCTTCGTGGATCAACGCCAGTGCACGAGCTATACGCTGTGAACGCATTGGTTTTTGTCGGTCGAGGGCATGGCATGCGGCACAAATGAGAGCATGTTGTTGTTGAAATGAGTCCTCTCGTTATTTTACGGATTAAGGGTCCTATTTCTAGGGTCGTGCTACCTCCAACCTAATATCCGGTAGGCACGAGTTACCGGCATATGCCGTTTTCATCTTGCTACTTCCGTGTGTTCCTTGTGGCACTTGCCGAGCGTGGCCTTATTACGGTGACCGTCTTCAGTGACATTCGTATCCGGATGGGGGGGAGTCCGGATAGAAAAATCGGCGCGTCAGGAATCGAACCGGCGACCTCGGGAGGCAGAAGCAGGAATCATACCGCTCGGCTCAAGCGGCCCCCCCCACACAAATGAGAGCATGTACTATGCGTCACCTGGGTGCATGATCCGTGCATGCAGCTCTCACATTTGATCACCGTATCACTGATACAGACAGCCGAGCTCGTGGATCGGGCCGAGAGCGGGGGCGGAGAAACACCTTCTCGGAGACGTGCTCGACTTGTTTCTGGTCCGTGGCTGAGTGGGTAATACAAACAAGTAGCTCGTAGGTGTAGTCGGTCAGCGACGCACTACTGCCCTTTACATCTGGTACGAGGCGTACACAGATGTTTGAACTTCCAGACCAAACTCGTTCCTTGGGTAGGTCGGACGCGCCCGAGTTGCATCCAGTTGCCGATGTGGACCAACATATCGTTCGCGAAAGTACGTCAGCAATTGATTGTTCCGGAGAAGGCGGCGTGGTGGTAACGCGCATACAGTAAACGAACGACTCTCGCGATGTCTCGTTCTGGCCTTGTACCCTTGTTGGGTTTGAGATTCTGATACCTATGTCGCGACGATGCCACCTCGTCGACAACCCAAGGCACACACTTGTGACGGCGCCAAGGCGTGTCGAGTATTCTGTCTCGAGATGAAGATGTGGCTGGTGCTTGATGCATCTTGATGCTTGTTGATAAGTCGACTTTCAATGGAGCTCCGCAACACGGGTCTGGCTCACGACCGCGGACGCTGCTGGTCGATCAAGTAGCTTGACGACGGACCACATACTAGAAAATAAACCCAAAGTGGTAATCCCGGTAATACACCGCCTGACAAGTTCGTCGACTTTCAATCCACGTCGAAATACGTCCGAGACAATCGTCCTCATAAGACTGCGGTCATGAGTGTACGTACGGCGTACGGGTGTGCAGAAAAATAGCACCATACCATGCCGCTACAAGGTATTAGCAAGGCCATAAGTATACTTTTATTTTATGGCCTTGGTAGTAGTATGCCTTCAAGAAGAGTGATTCCCGCCGATAAGGAAAGGTGAACGAGTGGAGGTTGAGTCAGGTGTACATACTACCTCGCCAAGTGAGGTTCAGACCCATCGGACCCCATCCTTTCTGACTGCGTTGCGTGTGCACCGCGACAAACAAATGCGTTGCCATCGCGGCATAGATGTAATGATAGATAGAGGCACTTTACAGCAACTCCACGTAATGTTTGATTTTAGAGATATATTGATCGATGGATAGATCGATGGAGCAAAGGGTCATTGCGTGTCAGAGTTATGTGGAATGCAGCAAGACGCCACATGTCACATCGCGACTAGTTGCGGCTACGACGCGTCCAGGCCGCATAGATGTAGTCGATCGTCACGCTCTTGTAGAGTGGCTGCATGACGCCATGCACGTCGACAAGGACGTCGAAATGACGGAGCAAGCTCGCTTCCAGCGCGTTGTGCAATGCCATGTTTGCCCGCTCGTCGTCCGTCAAGTGCGCCATCAGCGCGGACTTCATAATGACCGAGAAAAAGTTGGCGACCGCCGCCACGTCCTCAAACGGCATCTCGAGCGAGACCGTCTCGAGCGCCGTCAACGTCAGCTCGGGCACGTCCGCCGTGGCCACACGCACTTCATCCTCGCTGCGAAAATAGAGGGGCAAGCCCATAGCCTCCATGGTAGTAGGCGACACAAGGCCATTCGCGACAGCCTCGACGACCCAGGTGCCAAACGCCTTGTGCAAGAGTTCGGCGGTTGGACTGTGGGTCTTGGACACCATTGTGGTGCAGAGCACACCGTTGTCGCTGAGCTCAACGGCGCGCAGCTGCAGAAACCGCACCAAGTCGTTGTGGGCCGCCGTCTTCCACTCATGCACCAGCGCGGGCGGTGCCTTGTGCGGCACAAACATCGTCACGTGACGACCCGGTAGCGGCGTTGGCAGTTTTGAGAGCCACTGCAGCGAGACGTACGAGAGCGCTAGATCGACCGATTCCGACGGAAGCACGCGTTCGTAAAAGCTCTTGGAGATGACACTGGCGTAGACGTTGGGAAAGCGGTCGAGGTACGACGCTGGGCCATGGAGTGTCTGAAAGAGGGACTCGAAATCGTTGCCGGGCTGGTCCTCGTGGTAGACTAAATACTCGCGCGACAAAGGCGATGGCAACGACGCGTGCAGCTGCTTGAGAACCGTAGCGAGAAGCTCGACCGAGTTGCGGCCTTGGGACGCACCGAGGTCTGCGATACGAAGCAGCGGCGCGTGCTGCTTGGCTACGGCAAGGTGGTTGACGCTGTCTTGGAGAAAGGCGGAGGTGCGGTGCACGATGCTCAGTTGATTGAGCCCGGCCTTGTTGTAGGCGCCACCGCCTTCCATGACGGTCGAGAACCCCCGGCAAATGCGTGACCAAGGACGCGCCAGCATGCGTGATATGTTTGATGAATTGAATTGTGAAGTTTTTTGCCAACGGCGAGAAGAGCACGGTTGGAACGCGATCCAGTGTGGGACATCAAGCAGAACGATCAGACGGGCTCGTGCAAGAACATCGTAAAGGCCACACTCGTCTCGGAGCTGGGTTCACCAATCTGGTCACCTCGTCGTGTCGGTTCACGCGCCGATCGGTTGGCATAGTTTGACGAAACGCTGTGGTGCCTGCGTCGCGTCAGTGACGCGAAAAGCGATCTTGAAAGAGAAAAACAGTGGTGCGGGCCACCACTGCTCTATTATAATAGTGTCATGGCCAACTCAGATCCCATCGATGCCGACTGCGAGGTACTGTAGCGAGGCGCTTGGGTTCTTCAAAAGGTGATATATATCACACCAAGAGGATTATTGAGTTTCGAGATACCATGGTACGTATGCATACCGGTATAAGTACCTGTACACCCACTACTATACCGAAACTCAGTTGACGTGGGCTGCCTGTAAAGCTGCTTGGAGCCGCAACAAACTCCTACGAGTCCCAAGCAAGCGGGTGGGCTCGCTACCCCAGTGCAGCGCCTAGCTCACACTCTGCCGCAGAGCTCAACCGCAGTAGACAATAAATCGGCTATGTGTACCATGTTGGGTGGGGGCTCGATCCCCAAGTATGATGCTCTCTACCGCAAAAACAGTGAAATCCTCTTTTGCGAAGGCTGATGATCCTTTTGAACCGTCCTGCCCGCATGCTTAGCGCTGCGGCGTGCGCTTCAATTGATACGCAATCACTTTCCTATCGACGCTTCGCCAGCGTTGCGGCGTCGTTCTTGTACATTGCGGCACTTGGCTGCATGCATCGAGCACTCTATCTCGCGTGAACACAATACCTGTACTCTCTGCGCTACGCTCAATCGACTCGGATTGATCCACCTCGTTCGTGGCCAGGTTCGTACGCAAAGGGCTTTGCACCTCTGAGGTGTGGTCCGATGCAACGAGGTGCGATCGCTTGCCGCGCCGCTCGGTACTCGACATGACTATCACGAGTGCGGCGGATCCCACAATAAGGCGCCAGCTTCGCGCGTGCGTGTGCTGAGAACGCCTCGTTTTGCCTTGTACGATGCTTCGTGGCGCAATCAACAAGTCGCTGGACTGCTGACCAGTGGGAGGTAGCGGGTTGGAGACCAGAGAGTTACGCGCTGGAGTGCCTATGGTCAATTTTCGCGTCTGATGACACAGCTCAACTTTTTGCCGACGCCTTAGCTTTGTATGTGCGATGATGATGACGTTTTGTCGGCCTCTAGCACCAAGTGAGACACCACCAACCACGACGGTGCTTATAAAATTGAAGGGAATCGATGTTTTATTCCCTTGGTTGAAATCTCCCTTTCATAACCAAAAACGGCGCGTTGGGATCAGAAATCACTCGTGCATCAATCAAATTGACACTGTACATAACGAGTCTCACATTCCTTCGAGCCACGCGAGGTCAATCGCGTCAATCCAATGGGGCGTACACGCCAAAACAAGCGCGTCAAGGTTTTCGAGACCGATCTCTCTTGCGTACGACGTCGAGGATTCTGTCGACATCGCACGCGTGTTGTGGTGGGTTGCTGACTGGGATGCCTGCCAGAACTCGTGTTTATGGCACATGGGATGGCCCTGTGTGAAGGCGTGGCATTGTGGGAACGAGCAGCGCTTGCGAGCACCGTGCTTGACGCAGAGCTTGCGCGCGTAGACTTGGTTGTCGCAATGCATGACCGAGCACACGTGGCGGTTCTTGTGAAAGGCGCATTTGTACGAGTCGCGAAACACGGGCTCGGAGCAGTCGCGAAAGACACAGCGCATGAAGACCAAAATTGAAAAGTGCGCTCCAAGTTGAACTGGTCGCTGCATCGCTCGTTTGGATCCAATAGACAGCTGCGGCGGTGACGTAACGTCCAAACGATTGCCCTCAATCGTCCCAGCCGGTGACGCGTTTCGCACGGTTAATGAAAAAAGAAAAATAAGGCACCACCGGGGCAACGATACCACGTTCGCTTGAGCGTACAGATGAGGCTACTACCTAGTCGCATGCTCAATACACAACCACAATATGTATTCCGTTTCTCGTCGCGCTGTCCATGAGCGGCAGCGGCTCGTGTCCCAGGTGATCCGAATTCTTCTTTTCGGTGGTCATGTTTTGGCGCCGTTCCCGACGGGGGGGTTTGATGCTGGTACGCTTCGCACTCCAAGGACTCGCAGCTATGGGCAGCTCTTGGGGCCATTCGTCAGGTCCATAAAAGGTCCATCTCTGCCACGCATTTCTTTCTATTGAGAGCCCACTCGCAGCAAGGAATGCTGGGTCGACGAACGATGTCGCTGTTACTGTTCGCGGCACATCCCTCGCTTTGCTCGTACGAGATGACCATCTGCGGTCGTCTCCGACTCATGTAAACATGGGTGGATGACTCGCAGAGGACGCCTGCACGCCGCACATTGCTCTCACGTTGATCACAATGCGAGGTGTGTGATGAGGATCACGCAGACATCTGCACCAGCTTTATTTTGATAGAAAAGATATATTAGTAGATTGAAACACAGATGTTCAAGATCGCGGTGCGTGGCTGGACCGCTTGTCGCGTCGGTGGCACACCGGCTTTGCTTGACGTAGGTGATGCCAACGAAGAGCGACAAAAGGCGGCGCCCTAGTAACGTTACCACAGTACACATCACTGAAGGACCTGTCGTCGGACCGAAGACCATTGTGGTGTTCACTTGTTCCTTCCGAGGATGTAGCGTCGTTCGTTGCCTTGTCACGGGAACCGAGCAATCGCATCACATACCGGTACTACAACGAAAAAGTCGTCCGTGTTTGCGTGCCAAGCCAACGTACGTCATATAATAGACGCCAGGAGGTGGTTTGAATCCCGCGACAGACAACGCGACCGCCGTTCGTTGTCCGCGCACGCAGCTCGCGACCGAGATACCGTTGACCAGCATCATTGCAGCATCTTGAAAATTCTATTTAGCAGCGAGAGTGTCTCGACGTGCCGCCCGTTGTAGCTCAGCACGTCGACGACATCGCGTACATCGTGCGTACTAGGTGATACTTCCACGCGGAAACGGCGCTGTCGCCGACCAGATATAGGCAAATTGTCGAAAAAAAGACAGTCGTCTCGTCGGTAGCCTGCTGGCTTGAGCTTGTGCAAACAATCGTTACTGGGCCACTGGACCACCATCGCTTCCCCTCGACGAGGGTGGGACGTGACTCAACGTGTGACTTTTAACACGTGACACGCTTTCGTTGGTCAACCCCAGAGCATGGAGTGCATGTAGTCGTCAAACCTGCTAGTGATGGTGCGGCGTGTACATTTGGTACTTAAGTGTCATTTTTAATGTGTCTGGGAACGAGCACGTGGCGTCTTCGGACACTACTGCTAGATAGCCAAACGACGCTCCGCCGCTCGGTAGCCCCGGCGTCCGATTTGGCCCTGCAGTGATCCGTTGCCGGTCGCAACAACTAGGCACTGATTGCCGCGAGCTGCGAGCTTGCCACATGCACGAAAGTGTCTGCCGGGCCGTCACACGGATGCACGTTCAATAGGATGTGCAAATTTGGTCTTACTAATGCATACAACGTCGTCGACGGCGAGTGGCTGGTTTGAGCCAAAACGGGTGGATTGCCCGGGCTCCTTCATTCTTTGCACAGGCTACACTGCACGGAGCTCCCCAGCAACCAGTGTATCGTTCAGGCTGGTCAAAATTCCATGAGGAGAGGTAAACGATAGGGTCCATGCGTTTTTGCCACAAATTCATGAAAACACTCTAGAGCTCGGTCTTTTTGCCCAAAAGTTTGGGCGAGCGGTCGAGTGGAAAACGTACGTCAGAGGCATGCTGGGCGACGTGACTTGAAAACAAAGCAACTGGAAGCTGCGTTCGTGTCCGCGTCAAGCTGTATGTATCGCACGCAAATGTACGCAGACACTAGTTACATTGCGGAACGCCTCAGCGAGCGACACCAGAGCTTTGGCCTACAAAAGCAGTTGCCACTTGTTTGACATTCGCTGCGCTGTGGCGAGGCGACTTTTTCGGGTTGATGATCTGGCGTCGCTCGCTGCAAGATCACGGCAGGGTTCGCAGCCTGTCGTGTTTATCGGGGAATATTAAATTGTAGGTGCGGTACACAACCAAGTTTAGTCGACACACCGCGTTGACCTGGATGTTCCTGGCCACATCAACACACAGCGACACGCGTTGGAAGGCCCATTGGTAGCGGTCATTGTCCTCGCTCATACACTGATTTCCTTTCCAATACGCGAATACTAGTAACCGTATTTATCCCATTCACATCGTATTTACGCTCATATATACGGTTAATTTGTGGAATGAACGCGGGTGACGTGGCGAAACGACGGGATGGGTCTCGTGACGTGGCCGGCCGCCGAAGTCGCACGTTGAGCTGCCACCTCACGCACATCTGCACGCCAGAGCGACAGAGCGGCAGTGTGCCCTACGCTTGGAACCGTGTACATCCGTTTCTACAATGCCCTTTTGCAATTCGACGCATAGAACAGTACTGTGTAATTAAGAAGCATTGTCATCCCATGTCCATTTACTCGTTTCCACGCAATGCCATACCTTCGCAGCATGCATGACCCATACATCGACGTTGGTAGCCAGCCATAGGATAGCTGCAGGGCCTGTTCGTAGTTTGCCGATCGGCGTCGAGGTTGTAGGCCGCGAGCTGCGCCGCCGACACATCGGTGGGTGGTCATCCAAGCGCTGGTGAGCCACGTAGGCGCGTTGGCCCATAGGGCAGTCCTTGCTGTCAATGCGCGCGCTTCGAAGGATGGTAGGCGACTAGCTCCAACGTGTCATCAATTGTCCCATCCGGTTGTCAATGCGTGGTCCCTTTGTCCCATCCGGGGGGCACCGGGAGATGCGTTTGTTTTCCAACCAACCGCGTGCATGACCAGGAACTCGACTCTGAGTACAAAGGCCTGCATAGAAGATAAGCAGCGTGGTGTATCGGAGCGCATGACCAAATCAATAATCAGCGCAGATAAGGATCCAGTTTAGTTTGCGTGTAAGGTCGCAGTTTGACGTGTGGCTTTGGCCACGCTCAAACAGAGCGAACTCGAACTTTCGCACTTTATTAGCCTGTCGTCGCGAAATGCGATTGGCTTGGACCAACCATCCTGAATCTCATTCGTCGAAATGTAGCCAATCGGTATACCGGATTGAGCATCGACACGTATCCTGCAGCACTTGCTATCAGCATGAATGAGAATGATTTCCAGACCAGCGAGCCGAAAACCACAAAATTCCTGGGTTTGCAGCAGAGGAAGTGCTGGCGAGACGATCTCAGCCGAATTGCGGCTGTGCAACACGCCGAAGTCCACGATTCGGCGTTGCGATGAGAGGGCCGGTAGTATGTAGTATGCCGCTAGGGTACAGTATTGTATTGTGAGGTGATGGATACAGCATGGAAGACTCAATATTCGTCTGGTTCATTACCGGTAGACTTATGGTGCCAAACCCGACCTTGTTGAAGGCGAAGCATTCCATAATCACCGATGCCAGCCGTGGACGCGGCGGTCCGACATGCAAAGGTGTTTACTCTAGAAAGAGTAAGCGGAAGCTCTCCAACATTCACGTGCTACACTTGTTAATGAGCGCCTTCATGTGCATGTGCGCTTTCGCATGCGTCATCGTGCCTTGCAGCGGTTCAATCTCAGCCGCCACCGTCGTTGATAGCCTGTGGCCTCGGCGAGCGACGCCAACTTGTGTATGCATTCGCTTATACAGTGTAACTCATCAGCCCGGTACTGGCATGTCGTGCGACTTGGTTCTACTGGCAGGGTTTGCCCGTGCGATGGCTCTGGCCACATGGAGGTATCAGTCGTGCACAACGGAGATGACTCACAAGCCCTCAATCGGCCTCGCACGTGAGAAAAGTATACCAGAACTGAGTGACTGATACAGGAGCAGCGATCGGATACAAAAACAGAGCTTAATGGCTGGCACGCTGACGTGGCAGCCGTTTCACTGGCCTTTTGACATTGCCGTTGCAAAGGGGATCGTTCCGAGGAGCGGCGGCGCCAAGTACCGAGTAGTACAGTACACGGGTATTGCTGTAAAGACTTGTGTACTGATCGCAAAGCTGCCCACGGCCTCTCATTCGATCAATGGTTTGCTGCATCAAATGATTCTCATGGACCTTAGTCACGGGTGGGTCACGGTCGTCCAGGAAGCGTCCTGTGTGGAGACAATGCAGCGTCCGTGTGCATTTTCAACAGAATTTACAGTGCAGTCAACAGTGCCGTAGTAGCCTCCGGCTTTTAACGGCCTTAGATGTGCAAATGGAACGACGATTTCTGCCACGTTTTCGCGTCGTGTGCAAGCGGCGCGAGGCGCAACCTAGCGCGGCCGATCGGTCGCGTGTTCCTCAAATCCCATGCTCAATACCGGTCACGTTAACGTAAAAGGGCACAATCCTTCGTGCACCGTCACGTCTCGTAGAGGCCTCTGGGCAATAAACATCGACCACCTCGCATTTCAAAGGTAGGAGCCGATTTCGCAGCGCGTCCGTGGGTTGTACTGGATGCGCCACAACACTGCAATGCGAGATCGACTTGGTGCGATGAGCTGGTGCGATGTCGCATGGCGTGCATGGTCGATCCTTTAATGTAATCCTGCCGAACGTGGCCGCCTGCGCGCGAGACGATGGGTCTGATGACATCAATCATTACCGTTACCCAGACGCTGCTGGCTGCGTGCCATTTTGAATTGCTCGGCACCACACATTGAGTATTGTGGCCAGTGTGGCTGCCTTGCATGTCGTGTCCATGTGACGGATTACATCAAGGCCCGACGCGTCTCGAAGGCATTACAAAAGGTGTGTCCGAGGTACTATACAAACCGTCAAAGGGTCGTAGTACACTGTACACCAAGTGGATTGAAGACAGTGGGATATGATTACATCGAAATCAAGATCTTTCGTCGTGTCACGACAGCAAAAACGATCATTTTTGAATTTGCTCGGCATCGCGATGGCCACCGAAACACCCAAGACGCCATCTCTGCACACCAACACGAGCGTCATGCAAGGCGGTGGCGCCTACAACAAATCGGCGGTCGTCCAAATGACGCTTGTCGACTACACCGAGTCGCTGCTACAAACGCAGCTCGATCGATTTGTCGCGTCCTTGCCGTCGACGCCAGCGCTCACATTGCGCATCGCCGACCTCGGTGCGTCCGAAGGGCGCAACTCGGTCGCGCTCCTCTCGGCGGTGCTCCGCCACCTCGAAGCGCGTCTGCCGACATCCATGGAGCGCGAGTACTTTGTCATGCACGAAGACCAGCCCGACAACGACTTTGCATCGCTCCTCTCGACGCTGCGGGCGCCCACATCGTACGTGCAGTCGACGCCGAATGTCTATACGAGCGTGATTGCCAAGAGCTTTTACGAACGGCTCTTGCCGTCGTCGTCGGTCGACATTGTCGTCTCGTACATCTCGCTGCATTGGATGTCTGCGATCCCGCTGCCGCTGCCGGGCAACTACATGACACTCAACGCTCCGACACGCGCCGCGCTGCCCGACATTTGTGCCGCGTGGGCCGCCACCGCGCACCGCGACTGGGTGACGTTTTTGCGTCTCCGTGCGACCGAGCTCGTCGACAATGGCGCCATGTGTCTGACGATGGCCGGGTTCGCCGACCACGCGGTCCAAGTGGCGTGGGCCAACGTCGTGCCGAGCGCGCTCGTCGAGTGCATCCGCCTCGGGTGCCTCTCACAGGCGTCAATGGACAAGATGACGCTGGGTGCGTATCTCCGGACGTGCGACGAGGTGCGCGCGGGCGTCGCCGAGGTGCCGGACTTGGAGCTCCACGAGTGCCAAATGATCGACATGCCGATTGTGGTGCCCAACGCCAAGGCCGGCGCGGCCTTTATGGTGGCGACGACGACGCCATCCGTGGTCTCGGCCATGACATTAGACGAGCGCAACAACGAAGCGTTTTACGCCACGTTTGCCGCGCAACTGGAGAAGCAGTTCGAACGTAGCGTGACGATGCATGGGGTCACCAAGCCGCTGTATGCGCTCCTCGAGATGCGCTACTTGTACTGCGCGCTGACGCGCAAGCCGCGCACCGCATCGAGTTCGGCATGAAGACAAGATTAGTGTTGCTGTCCACAGCAGTAGTATGACCATCGATGCATAATAGCATTATTCGTAGTACATTTTATAGTGTTGTCATGGGCTGCATATATTATGTGGATTCGAGCGCCGAACCTCGTGCCTCGTGGGATGGCTGCGCTCCAAGCAGCCGGCTTCTCAGAGATGACATGGACGACAGCGAGCGGCAGATCTCTTTTGTATTGTATCAAGGCGACCCAAGACGGCCGCCGTTCATCAATTTTCGATAGCAGACTCGGTCGTTTGAAGCGACACGCTCGAGCACCACGCAGACAATATAAGAGCTGATTTATCATTTGGTCCAATTCTAGAGTACTGCGACCGGTTGCCCGGTAGGTAGCTGCGAGTGCAGGTAGAACCAGTTTCAACGCACCGTGGAAGCGTTGTGCATGTACACGAGGCGAATACCCAAGGGAATAACTTTATTCCCTTGCAGAGCAATAACTTTATTCCCTTGCAGAGCATACGAGGCGAATACCATGACATGCTACTGGGGACAACCTTACGCTCACCACGAGGGCTATGGTACGAAGCCGCGCTTCGTGTCGCAGCAAAATCCTGCACCGAGACATACACTTGGAATGGCTGTGGCACACATGGATAGCCTCAACACACTTTAAGGCAGTGGTTGAGCAGGACTTCACGTCACCCACGACAAGTGGTATGGGCAGACAGTGTCAGCGGTACACGACGCTATCGTTCGCTGTTCTGAGTTTGTGACACCAGAGCTAGGGCCTTGGACGGGGCTCGCATGCAAGCGCTCGTCACAAAGGAACTTCACAGACTACCTCGTGACAGGCTAGACCTCTCACGCGTCGGCCTTGGCTTGCCGAGCCCCACGACATGATCTGATTTGAGTGCCAAGGACGCGGAGGTAGTACACTAGAGAGGAGTCTGTCGAGTGTTGACGAGAGTGTACACGCAGAGTCGACGTTGACGAACGGTGGTACTACCTGTTGAAGATAACCTGCTGCTGCCGCGAACAAGTCTCCTAGGCTCGTGAAGCTTTTGGATAGAGCCGTGCATCGTGCTTCGTGGCTCTTCCACTGGGACACCACGGTCGACAAGCTACTTTTCGAGTAGTAGTCGAAGTAGTATCCAAAGGCACGGGAAACGCTGACCGCGCCATCGAGTATCCCATCAACCTATGCCGCGCTCGTACGCTGTGGCGGTGCCAGCAACGTGTATGCGACTCGAAAGCAGCGTATTTCACTAGCGAATATGCTGCCGTCGACTGCGTTTGCCTGGATACATGAACTGTCGTCAGTTGCATCTATGCGTCCGACCAGAGCCATCGAGTTGGATGGCAAGAGACAAATTTTGGCCTGTCTGGCTTCAACGCACGAAGACGTCAACGCCATACTAATTCATGTGCAAGATCCAGATCTTGACGTTGGTCTGGGAATACGCGCGCTGAAAAATCACACGAGCATTGTTCACCTTTGACCGACTTGATACCTACCGGTACTGGGCAGAGGAGAACTGCTCATTTGTGGTCTCTTGAAAGCTTGGCCAATGGTGTGGGAAGAAGCTACCCGAGCCGCGTTGACCGGTTCGCGATATCGACACCCATGAAGACAAGCACTGCGCCGAAGTAGCCGCATTCTGAGCAACGAACGACTTCGTCCACTGAGCCCGTGTGGCGACGTGACAACGTCTGTCGAAGTTCGAAGATATATATTCCCAAATAGTGTTAGCGTGCGCGAGATTCGCTTCGCGTCCCAGGTCGCGTACGCGGATGCGCACGCCGCCGTAGCGCGACAGCACGCTCAAAACAACTCCTTTGATGTCATTATGTCCATCATACTGGAGGTGGAAGGTTGTCGAAGCGCCACGACGCCGCGTCGCCGCCCTCGGCTACAAGTCGCAGCCTTGTAGTATGACGCAACCATGCCATCGAGTGCCACAGGTTGGGCCACACAGTGGCAAGCGCCTGATACGAGGATGGTCGTTTTTCTGAGTCGGTCGGTGCCCCAGTCGCACCTCGCGTCACAACCAGAACTTTGCTCGAGAAGCTACAACCTGATCCACATTCCCAGCAGTCCTGACAACGGCCGACGATCCATACCACCACCGCCACCACCACCACCACAAGTAACGTTATTGGTGGTTCAATGGTCAAGCTACCAGGGTGCCATCCCCATGGTCGTGCCCAGGTTATTGGTAGTGTCACTGGAAGCTGTCGCCTCGGAAACATACCCAATACGAAGAAATACTATGCCTCATCGACGACTCTACGATTCGGCATGGCACCGGCCGTGTTGACGCAATGCCGGCAATCCACCTAGCCGCCGCCGACACACGAAGTTTGGTGCGACGTCCAACCTGAAATAGTGTACGTTCGTGTCGTAGACACGTTTCGAAGTTGCCATTTGCGTGCCCCTTTGGCCGCTCAGATCAGACGCCGCGAGTAGCTTCAAAGCAAGGTGGTACCGCGCCACCGTGGTACTCTTGCGAGAAGCAACTCTTGCCGTTCACAAGTGAAGTTTCGTCGTTGAGAGCAATAGCGATGGTCGTTGGCGTCGAGTGGTCGGTCACGCTTCCGGACGGTTTCGCGGTCCGCGTCCAGAAAGACATGCTGGAGCTTGTCCACGAGTACTCGGACAGCTCGCCCGAGACGCGCGAGATCGACGCGTACCAAGCTGGGTACAAGGTCGCCACGAATACCCGACGTCCAAGGTGTTTTCGCGCAAAAACCACTCCTCGGGCTACGGTGAATTCCTTGTCGTTGGCAACGCCGACGTGACGATCGACGAGTACGTCGAGCTCACGTACTGCGAGTGCGAAGAGACGTTTCGGACGCAGCAGACGCTTTTTTACGCCGAGGACCTCCTTGACGCACGCGTTCTCAACGTCACGCTCGCGCGCTGCGACGACGACCCGTTTCGACACTTTGGTGTCCGCTACAAGAAGATGAACATGGCGTACAACGGTGTGTTTGCGCCGCGGGATACCACCTACGTCGAGGTATTTTTCTTTCTTTTGTCTCTCATTTTTCACATTTCGGCATCGATGCTAGTGCACCGGGTCATTTGTCAACAAGAAGGGTCTCCGCGGCGTCTACTGTGTCCGCGAATCCATGGACTTTGACGAAATCCCCGAGATACCTGGCGTCGTGCGGTTCTATATGAAGGCGATGTTCCTCCTCACCGAAGCCCGCGACGGCACGGTCGAGCTGCTCCAAGTCATGACTGCCAACCCGCTCGGGAAGCTACCAGCTTGGATGTTCAACAAGACGTCGATGGCGTACAGCCACATGAGCGACGACTACGCCAAGTATTTGCAGCAAAAACGGCTACTGGCCTACGTGGCGTCGAAGCGCAAGCCGCGCCACCCGATCAAGTAGACCATGTCGTCCTCTTGCATTGTATGTCTCATTGTTCTGCACGTGTAGAAAGGCCAAGACGTGTTCGTCGTGCGCAGGTGCTTTCCGCGGTCTCCGCGCCCGCCACGAGTGCTGGGGCTGTCGCGAGGTAGTCCCTACCAGTCGGCGCCAGGATCGACGACCAACTCATCGTTTGTGGTGCAGAGTATGTGTGGCAAGTGCGTCGTTCCGATCCCGCGCGTTTTGATCGGCGTCGACGGCTCGATGAAGGCGGTACCGGACGAATTCTGCAAGCGCTGCTTTCTCCAAGCGCGCTCCTACCGAACATCGAGCAGTGCCAGCTCGTTCCGTACGTCCATGCGCCGGTGGTTCTACGAACGACTGAGTTTCGATCGGCTAGGGTTGCATGCGTCAGACGACACCACGGAACACTCGCACCACTCGAACCAGACGCGGTCCAGTTCCGGCAACGAAAGCTATGCAAAAGACTTGACGGACGAGGACGACGTTCCGTCGGCGGTCCCGCCGCAAGCCGCCCCCGCCCCCGCCTTTGATGCGATGGACATGGAGTCGCATCTGAGTCAAATGCAGCTCGGCATCGAGACGCAACGGTACCTTGTGGCGCAGATGCGCTCGCGTCTCGAAGCCCAAGCCGTCTAGTGTTGTTTGTATTGACGTTGAAAATAGTATTGTACAATGTGTTTTTGAGAATGAAGAAGACTCTGTCGCACAGGGTCACGGACGCTTCTCTTAACGTTATCGGTCCCCTGACGCACCAACGGGTGGCCTGCGAGGTCTGTTGACCGATCGATCGATCGATGCGCTATCTTCCAGTTACAAAGCCTTTGCGAGATCGATACCTGGATCGACCTAGGACAAATGAGTCGACGATAACTTGATGCGACCCGACACAGCCATACTTACTCGTCTTAGCGTATTGCCGCAATGTCGAACTTGCGCATGCGACGTGGCGAACGATCTATTTTGGCAGATAAAAAGTGCCGAATCTGGCGCTCTGCAACCGTTTCCGTTGTCCTTCATACAGAAAGGCGCTTTGGTTTCGGCAAATGCGCTGGCCCCTTGCCGTTGGCGTCGGCGGCCTGCTCGTCATCTCGCTGCTCTCGTGCCAACGGCTCGACTCGCTTCTCTATACGATCCAGGACAGGGCCGTGCACCATGCGTCGGCCGCCGCGCACTATGCGCGGTACCAGCTCTATCCCTCGCTCGAGCAAGTGCTGCCGTACGCTGAAAGCTTCCTCTTTCCGACTGTCGTCGCCCGGCATGGCGCGAGCTACTCGTGCATCAAGTTTCAGTACACGGGCACGGGCGGTTGTCCAAGCCAAATCAACGACGTTCTGAGTTACGTGTACACGCCCAACAAGACGGAAGCGTGCGACACCGTGATCCACACGGGCATCTACGGCGTTCCTGGCTACTGCGAGCTGCGCGACGACGCGACCCATGAAACGATCCGAACCTTGTACACGAGCTGCGGATCGCTCACGGGCCGGCAGTTTACATGCGCGCTCGCCGCCCAGTACGCATCGTACGGCCACGACGCCTCGACGTTCATCTACGCCCTCAACACGAGCTATTTCGCCCGCCGCGGCATTGTGTTTTCTGTGCACCCGGGCGCGCTGGCGTCGGCATATGCCAGCATCGCGCACCTCCGGGCGACCAACTGCTCGCTGCCGATTGAGGTGTGGCACCGACCGGACGAGCTCCCGGCCGAGAATGCCATTTTACAAGCGCTGGAAACCACGTTTCGGGTGCATGTCCGTCCGATCTTTCATCCGTTGGCGACGCGTTTTTACTCCAAGATCTATGCCGTGCTCCACAGTGCGTTTGAAAGCGTTTTGCTGCTGGACTGTGACAACTTTGCGGTCCAGAACCCCACTTACCTCTTCTCGACGCACGCCTTTCAATCGACGGGCGCTGTTTTTTGGCCCGTACACGACCTCGCTTCATGTCGTGCACCAAGTGCTTTGTATAGGATTATTGGCGGCCCGGCCACACGTGCTTCAACATTGACGGCTACAGCCGACTCTGGGACCTCCTTGGCATCAACTTTGTCGATATGTTCGAGCAAGAGAGCGGTCAAGTGCTCATCAACAAGACCATGTCCGAGCCGGCGCTGCACGTGCTCGCCTTCTTTGCATTGCACGAACCTCGGTACGCGCTTGCGATCCTTCAATTTTGCTTTTATATCGTCTTTATCGAAGCATTGACCGACGTTCATGGCTGTCATTATGGGTCTTAGGTTTCTCACCGACTTTGGCATGGTCTATGGCGACAAGGACCTCTTCCGGCTGGCGTGGCTGAAAGCAGCGGCGCCGTTTCACATGATTGCTCGCCCCCAGGCAGCCTCGGCAAGCTGGACCGCGCCGACCGGACTCATTTTTGTGGCAACAGCATGGTCCAGCACGACACGAACGGCGACGTCGTCTTCTTGCACCGAAATACGATCAAGTTGACGGGCTGTCGCGCCGACGCGTTTGTGTGGGAGGCCCTTCAAGACTTTCGATTTGGGTACATTATACTCTACTTTGATCGGAGTCGTTGGATTGGATTTGGATCGAATAGCGAGGTCCATGTGGCGCGGTACCTCCCCGCGGGCTACGTGCTCCGCGACGCAACCTGCTTTGGTGTCCGCGAACCGTCGGACGATTTATATGTCATCACAACGATACGCCAGTCGCAGTTTGCCCATCTGGAAGGCGCCTTGTACCGGTATGCCCGCGAAGCGATGAAGCTCCAGCACCCCAACGGTAGCATCGATGCCCCGTTTTTGGTCCTTGTGCATCACGCGTTCTATAGGCTGCCCGGCCGATATCGCAAACGATGACCACCTGCAGTTTCCACTCCACCTACGCAACAAGCGCTTTCCCAGCTTCAATATCCGTCAACCACAACGTCAATACGAAATCGAGGCGTCATAGTCGTGTGGCCTACAAGTATGCTGATGGCTCTTCCATGGAGAAAACCGCGCCAACGACGCAGGTTTCGGGGACGTGGCGCTCGAACTGCACCCACCTTTCAAGCTCAAGTGCATTACCTCATACTTTGACGACAATCGAGGCGACTCCTCCTGCTACTTGTCCTCTCCGGTACCGGTAGCGTTCTTGACTCGGCGGCGTTGACGGCCCGTCGCAGGTGTCGTTGGTTGTCAGGCAGACACATTGGTCGGGTTAGACTGAATCTTTGTATGGGCATACAATCTTCAAGGTAGGCAACACGCCGTTGATTGGTGCACACTTAGACCGTGAACCAATCATCGCCGGCAGCGACAGACATACAAAAAACAAGTTTGTTTTTCGGCCAATGGCAATGCAGCCTGCACGCAGGACGGCCTTTCTCCCGACAACGCTCCCATTTCAGCTGGCAGCATGGGCAACGTGCTTGGCTGGTCCCACAAGACGCTCGACGAGCGCGTCTGGGACGCAGCCCGCGCTGGCGACCTTGCTGCCTTGACGGCGATTGCGCCCACGCGCAGCAGCATCGAGTATCGCGACCTGAGCGCTGGCCGGACGCCATTCACGATCGCGTGTGCGCACGGACACGTGGCCGCCGCGCAGTGGCTCCACGCCGCCGGCGCCGACGAGTACGCGCGCGACTATGAAGGCAACACGCCACTGCACCACGCCTGCCACGCAGGCCAGGCGCGGATTGTGCAGTACCTCTTGTCGCTGCCCGAGTTTACGCCCTATGTCCTCAACGCCAAAGGCGACGCGCCGCTCGAGGTCGCGCGGCGTACGTTTCAGGAGCGCGAAGGCGGCAACGACGACTTGCGCCTCGTGGCACTGGCGCGCTGCATTGAGCTGCTCGAGCAGGTACGTTTTCGACACGAAATCGAGATGGTCCTTGACACACTACTTTTGTTGGCCGTAGCGCTGCTCAGTGTACAGTGGTTGGGTCTTCCAACGCGTCGAGACGCTATTCTCGCAGCTCACAGGTATCACGGCGCTTCAAACATGGTCGCGACGGTACGCTGCCACGTCATGAGGTCATGGAAAGCCATATATGGCATAGGTACTGCATTGTGCTCCGGACCAGTTCGTCCATGTTTCTGGAAGTCGCACTGTTTGCCGTGCCCGACGCCGCGCGCCGCCCGCCCGTGCCAAGTACGTCGCTGCTCGTGCATGTGACGGCGGACGAGCCGTGTATTCGTGTGACCAACCCATCGTTTTGGTCGGATTTGAACCCGAAACCGTTTGGGTTTGAGCTGCGCGGCGCCCACAAAGTCGGATCGAGCCGCACCCAAGCGCTGCGCCACTTTTCGTTTGCGGCGCTGAGCGAAGACGGTGCGGCCAAGTGGCTTCGGTTCTTTGCCCACGACGCGGTGCGAGCCTCCACGGATGTGTCGCCAATTCTCACATGACGTAGCGGGACGGTCTCCACGATGCGCTGGTTTCGCCGACGCGCCAGTTCAATTCACACGTACGCTCTTCCATCCTTTTTGTTTGTAAACGGAGAAAGTGTGTAGGAGCTCGGACGGGCCAAGGTCTTCCCCGAGCCGTCGGCACCGCCGCTGCCCACAGTCGAGATTGCACAACCGGTCGTGTTTACAAAAGCGACGCTGCGCCCGCGACTGCTCGAGTGCGTCGTGTGTTTTGACGGCCCGCAAGCCGCCGTGTGCGTGCCCTGCGGCCACAACGTTCTCTGCATGACTTGTGCCACGTCCTTGCTCGAGACGACGCACGTGTGCCCCGTGTGCCGTCTCGCGATTCGCGAAGTCGTCAAGGTCTATCGCAACTAAGCTGTCTCTTTATTTAACCCGCAACCTCGCCGTGTCCGACCTCAAGGATCCCATTGTGATCATTGTTGGATAGCCGTATGGATGGAGCGCTGGATCCAAAGAAATGGGTATGGCTCGAACGGGGTGTACTAGTAGCGATTTAGGAAATTAAGGGAGACAAAGAAGCAAGTCGCTGTCTCTCGCTTCATCGTCAATCATAGATCGTTGGATGCTTCATGGCCGGGTGGCTGCATCGATACATCAAGCGGCATCGCATTGGATTCACACGGTGAAGCAGGTAGATGAACATGCAGCGTAGGCTATATCGTAGCTTATATATAAAGTATGCAATGGACATCTTGTCCTAGTGTACATGTCTACTTGATGACGACCGTCGTGTCCTTGAGCACCTTGATGTTGTACACAAGGCTCTTGACGTCGGCGAGCTGGTCGTCGAGAAGGTGAATGTGGCAGTTGCCGTCTTGGACCACCATGCACATTTCTTTGCCTGGTCCTGTTTCCCCGGCCGCAGTCGTGCCTTGCGTCGTGGGTTGGAACTTGGCTTTGACGCGCAATTCCTTCTCGGGCAACCCGAATGTAAACATGTGCGTCATGAAGAACCACTGCAGCGTGCTCAGACGTCGCGCCTTACAGATGATGATGGCTGCCCGATGTTTCTTGTCTTCGCGGACGTCGGAAATATAGTCGCATAAGATCGACGTGCTGTTGAAGAGCGCTTGACGACCGAGGCTGTTGCGCGCCATGAGCTTCCAAAACGGACGATTCACCACTTGGTCCAGAAGCGTGATCAAGAGAATGTTGGCAATCAAACCAATCACAATCGCATAACTCACGCGAAAGTAGAAGCTGTCGTAAAAGCTCACGGGCGTCCCATCGAGGTTCTCGACACTGCCAAACAAATCTTGGCGGACGCTGTTGTTGTACTCGATGTAATCGGGAATGTAAAAGAGCAAGATCGCGCTCAGATACAGCGATGTGACGCTCGTCAAGTTGAAGAAGCCCATGAAGCGGCTCTCGCCGCAGTATGTAGCCGTGCTCACGACACTCAAGCCAATCTTGCAGAGCTTGAGAATGCCGCAATTGAGCCAGAGAAGACGCAAACTCAATGAGAAGAGACGGACGCTCATGATGAACTGCGGCTTGATCGCGTTGTACACGTTGACTTCGCGGATGAAAATGAGCGAACTCTGCATGTCGAGGATGATCGAGATGCAAAAGAGCGTCACAAACAAGTCCGAGTTGTAGCAGAACATATCAAAGCGCAGTGCGTGGCTCAGATGCGGAAAGCACTTGGGCACGACCGTCTGCAGCGCCCGTGTAAAGATCGTGTCCGGCTTTGTCGGGTCGACCTCGAGCCACTGAACGGTCCGGCGGCTCGCGAGGTACCCGCCGGCGGCGAAGAAGAGCGCAATGAATTTGATCCAGTGGGACGCCGTGCTGAACGAATTTTGGCGAATGAGAAGGCCATGTCGATGCAGCGACCCAGGCATCGGCCGCGCGAGCACGTTGAGCGTCTTGTTGGCATCGGTATACGTCATACTAAAGTTGCAACTACCTCGCCCGAGCTCGGCAATCGGAATGCACCCGGTGCAGTAGCCCTTGGCAAAGATTTCCCACACGGGCACGATTTGGACTTGTACGTTTGATGTGTTTTCAAGCTTGATAAACTGCGTGAGACGGACGTCGGCGCCGAGGCGCGCGGCCGCGTACCCGCGTCGCTGCAGCTCGGCGCTTCCCATGCTGCGATTGCCCAAGTTGGACGTGGCTTCGTCCGTAAAGGCAATGGTAATTGAGCTGCCGCGCAAAAATGAAATCAAATCAAACGCGACGCCGAGCTTGAACGGATTTTTCGCAGCCAAGTCGACGCTGTAATTGCCCGAGAAGCGGCTGCAAATGTTGATCCTCGCATCAATCTCAAACTCCGACGTCGAGAGGAGGTAAATGTCCGAGTTGAGCGCGCCAAGGTTCGCGATCGTATAGTTGGTCATCCATAGACCGATGCTGGAAAGACTCGCGAGGTCTCCACCGTGTCGGAACGCGTAGGTTTCGACGAGGTCGGCCGCGCCTTCCGTGTTGGCAACCGGCGTAATGAACTCGTTACCGTCACCCACAAAGTCGATGATGGCCCAGTTGTTGCAGATCGCATCGATGGCAACAAGAACGACAACGAGGACACCAATGACGTAGGCGATGACGACGAGGACGCGGTTGATCTTGTCGCGAAAAGCGTACTTCTCAGAAATGGCCGCGAGCCAGCCAAGGGACCACCACGGAGCCTTGGCCTTGACGAGCACCGAGTTTGGGTTCGATGCCATGACGGTGGTGGCGCCAAAACCAAAAACGACAACTGTTGCCTCCACAAATATAGCCAAAACGGTTTGCGTCTCAAACATAGACAGGCAACCGGCGACTATCTTTAAAGAGGACGACGACGAGCAAGCATGGCCCCGGGCGCGCACCTCGTACGACAGCTCTCGACGCTTAACGAGGCGTACGCGCTCCGCGACAAGTTCAACCGCGTCCTCGTCGTCATCGCCTACATCATTGGCGTCCTCGTTGTCGTTCTTGTTGCCATCGATGCGATTGCCAACAACTGGGCCATCATCGACTTTGTCGGGAACGGCAACGAGTTCATTACACCCGTCGCGAGCATCCCCGATGCCAACGCGCTCGACAAGTTCTATACGTTTCCGTTGCGCCGACCCATTGCAAGTCTCTCCAGCATCGGCCTCTGGATGATCGACTATAGCGTCACAAACCTCGGTATGCTTGGCACCAACGTTTACCTCTTGTCGACCGACACGTTCTCGGCCGACTCGACCGTCGCGTTTATCTGCACCAAGTTCAACGGCGCCTACCCCGTTGATATCGACGCTGGCAGCTCGCTCAAGCTCGCGTCCGCCCAGGACTCCATCACGTTTCTTCGCGGGAACGCGCTCTCGATCGCGTTTACGGATGAGGCGACGGCCAATCTAGCGAATTCAACCATGGGCAGCGTCGACATCATGGCCCGAGGGTACCAAGCCGGGCGCATCGAGACCGACCTCCGGCTCACGCAACGCATCCAACTCCAAAACACCAGCGACACCCAGAACCAGTTGGTGCCATTCTACCGCATTTACACCAAAGGCTACTGCACGGGGTGTACACCGATCGCGGAGCTCGGCCATAGCGTCTGCAACTTTAGTATGCGATACAGCCATGGCAACCGGACGCTGCGGGTTCAGACGGCACCGCTCGCCAACACCGAGTACCGCATGGCGCTCATGATCCAACGCAATGCATTTAGCACGGCGTCCCACTGGATCAAATTCATTGCGCTCTTCTTCGCCGCCGGCGGGTACCTCGCGAGCCGCCGGACCGTTCAGTGGCTCGAGGTCGACCCGACGAAGCCGGACACGATCTTTACACGGGCGCTGCAGACGGTCGTGCCCAAGTGCTTTCCGCATCTGAGCCACGCACTGCGCTTTGATATGTTCTGCTACAACTCGGATTTGTTTGTGACGCTCTTTTGCATCTCGATTATCCTCGACATGAACGCGTCGCTCGTCTACATCCGCGAAGTCAACGTCTACAACAACCGCAGCCCTCAATTCTTCATGAGCGTCCGCCTCTTCGCGTTGAGTTTGCGTCTTCTCTGGCTCAATTGTGGCATTCTCAAGCTCTGCAAGATCGGCCTGAGTGTCGTGAGCACGGCCACGTACTGCGGCGAGAGTCGCTTCATGGGCTACTTCAACTTGACGAGCGTCACGTCGCTGTATTTGAGTGCGATCTTACTCTTTTACGTGCCCGATTACATCGAGTACAACAACAGCGTGCGTCGCGACCTCCAAAACACGGTCGAGAACCTCGAGGGCATTCCCGTGAGCTTCTACAACAGCTTCTACTTTCGCGTGAGCTACGCCGTCTTTGGCGGCTTGGTTGCCAACATTCTCTTGATCACGCTTCTGGACCAAGTGCTCAACCGTCCGTTCTGGAAGCTCATGGGACGCAACAGTCTGTGCCGTCAAGCGCTCTTCAACAGCACGTCGATTTTATGCGACTATATTGCCGACGTCCACGAAGACAAGAAACACAAGAACGTCCTCCTGGTCTGCAAGGCGCGACGACTGAGCACGCTGCAGTGGTTTTTCATGACGCACATGTTTACATTTGGTTTGCCCGAGAAGGAATTGCGCGCCAAGAAGAACAAACAAACGACGCAGCCGACGCATGGCACCGCCGCTTCGGGCGAGACAGGCCCCGGCCATGAAACCTGCATGGTAGTCCAAGACGGCAACCATCACATTCACCTTCTCGACGACCAACTCGCCGACGTCAAGAGCCTCGTGTACAACATCAAGGTGCTCAAAGACACGACGGTTGTCATCAAATAGAAAGTGTAGCTGATTTAATGATGCATATCATTCATACTATGTACATGTTGCGTGGTCGATTTGTATCACACAAGATAAACTTACTAGTACATGTGCTTTGGCTGCTGCGCCTACGCATCGACAACATGAAGACCGCCGACCCCGCCGCTACCCGAGACCTCCGCATCGAACGCAACCTAGTCATGCATAGGATCCGCATGCGCTGCCGCGACCTTGCCAACGCTGAAGCCGACGCCCTCGTCAAAGAGATCGAAGACTTGAGCCCTACCTCGCAGATGTTCGCAGCCGTCAAGGCCACGCTCCGGTGCCCCACGTCCAAGTTTCGCCTCAAGGACCAGCACGGCCACATCATCATGGACACGAAGGAGACAGCCAAGCATGTGACCGCTCACTTCCAGGCCCAGTTCGCCAGCTCGACCAACGCCACCGTACAGCCCGACACGACTGCCCGACCGCTCGACCAGCCCATTACGCCCGTCGAACTCCACGACGCGATCAAGAAGCTCCGCAACAACCGCGCCTGCGGCCCAGACACCATGCCGGCCGAAGTTCTCAAGGCCGCCGCCGACCTCATCGCCACGCCCCTCGCACAGCTGCTCAACGACGGTTTTACCAAAGGACAGCCGATTCAGCTCGGCGACGGGACGCTGATCTGCCTGCCCAAGCCCAACAAGCCCCAAGGCGTGTGCTCGAGCCTCCGCCCGATCGTGTTGC